TCTGGTCCATGTTTTCCTCTTGCCCCTTTGTCTGAAACATTTCATTCCAAAAATTCATACCCCTCCCCCACTCAAAAAATCTAAAACCTGTCAAAATATGCTCCACTAAAATTTTTTGATGGCACAATTTCCGTCATGAAAACCACTTATGGACAACAAATCATATTCTAGATACATAGATCTATTGGAACTAGTAAAGTTCAACATGTCGACCGGTACACAACTTTTTTTTTTTTAAGTCAAAAGTAAGATATACATTACAACAATATTTTGAAACATGGTAAATAGTTCTGTTCTCATATTGATAATTTTAAAAAAATATTTGTTTTGAATATGTCTCTAAAGTACATACTGTTGAATATTATAAAAATAAATTTATTGTTATTAATTCATATATTATGGTTTTTATTATGAATAGAATAGTGAATATTGTATTGTTTATTATCTATTCTTAAATGGTGTATTATAGTAAAATATAAAATAATATATGTGTAGTTATGAAAACCACTTTTTAAAGTGTTTTTTAAAACTAGATTCGTATACTCATGATTTGTTCATTGTATGAGCCGGCTCATATCGAAGTCGGCTATCCGTCTTTTTTAAAAAGTGGAGAAAAATCCTACTTTCTGTAACATAGCTTTAATTTAAACCAATTCTAATGATTTTTTTTGTCATTCAACTTGAACATTCTTAAAATAAAATCATCTTATACAGCTTGAGTTGAATCTATAAAACAAAAATTCATCTTTTCACTACTTTCTGAAAATATCCATCTTTGATTGAAGCTACTCATATCTTTGTTATTTGTTCAATATAGTACTGTAGGTGTTACTATGTAATAAAAACTGGATCGACAATCTGAATATTGCTAATAAAAAATAATATAATAAATAAACAATAATGTTAATAATTCCAAGTTCAACGTTCTCGAAAGTTAAACCCTCCATAACTTCCGAAATGTCAGGCTGACAAGATCCCAGCTTTCATTATTTAGGACATGAAAATGAAAATAGAAGAAAAAATATATATAATTGACGCCTTCATATTAGCTCTGTTATATAAGTGATATCAGAACATCGAACCAAGATATTAATTTCTAGTGAGAGAAAAAAATGATATCCTATTAAAAAGATTGTTTTTTAGTTATATAATGTTTAAAATGTCTTATTCTCCATAACATACCTAGATAACAAGGAAAGTGCCAATGTATTTCAAAGGGAAAGTATTCCAGATATGCCTGTAATTTAAGTATTATAATCAATAGTTATTAGGTTAAAATAACTCTAAACCCTTCATAAGTTGTAGTGATATAATTATTTTTATTTTCGTTATTTTATTTTACTATTTACAAACGAAAATGCGAGTGGATAAAAGCATAACGATTGCAGCGATAGCTGAGTTTTTAGTCGTATTTTCTAGAAAATAATAGACTTTATATCGTTGAAAAAGAGTGGGGGCGCATTTTTATATTCGTTCTAAAACCCCAGGAACACGTATAAAGGGGTTCCAAAGATGTCTGATTGTATTATTTTTTTCCGTTATATGTCTGTACCTCCAGAATCCCTTTGGATCAAATGTGCTGAAATTCGATATGTGGGTAAATTTTATCAAAACGTCCGTATGTTTTGTATAGCTCTATTGCATATTTGAATCCAATTAGAGGGTTGAAAATTTGTATGTAAATGAATTGGTGCTCAACTTTTTTCCTTTCATCTCTGCCATTATTTGAGCCGTTTTTCTCAATTTTTAATTTTGAACTACGAGTTACAAATACCAAATGATGATAATTAGCGTTCAGACATGTTCTAGCAGAAATGATGATGATTATTGGAATATAATCGATTATCAGTCACCCATTTTTTTTCAAACCTGCGGTTATACAGATCTTCTATGACCACTCAAAATAATCGGTTGTGAAAATAACCTGTTTCCGGTTATATTTCTCCAAAGCATCACTGCCCATTCAATACTGACATTTATACTAATTTATAAAAATATGAAATTATACTAATAAATCATAAAGAAATAATCAGTTTTCTATAAAAATGCTTCTGTAAAAAATAGCTCTTCTGTACAAAGAAAAATTTAGGTGCGATCTTTTGCAGTGACAGTAGCGATGTTACTTTAAGACAATTTTTTTTTTCAAGTCTGAATATTTTGCCCGGTCATTGCACCATTAAAAAGGTAACCGATTAACCGAAATTCTTAAATAACAGGCAAACCGGTTGTGAAAAATAACCAGTTTTTGATTAAACCAACCGGTTATTCTTATCCTTAATTGTTCCATCTTCTTAAAGAGAATCAAAGGAATTTACAAGAATCAACATTCGGTAGGTACATCTGTCAATCATTTCCTTTTTAGTATTAAAAATTCAAAATGTTAAAAAAAAAAGGTAGATAGAAATATATTTCTTTAATTTATTTTGAAATTCTATTTAATTTTGACAGGTAAACTTTAATTAAAATACGACCTTAATGACAGGTTTTTTTTAATGCTAATATCTAAAAATTGATTTTATGCACTCAAACTTTAACCCAAAAGTGTGAATAATCACTTTATCTACCCAAATAGATAAATTATGAAGTGCATTGGATTGGGGGAGGGGAAGAGGGGCGATGGAATTTGAGCTTTAATTCACACATAATTGCTAGCTGGCAGGAAAAAATAATTTTTTCACATTTAATTTATTTTTTTGATGATGATTAATAAATGATCCAAAATATATCCACTTAACATTTTAAAATTTCTTTATACTACCATTACAATACTAAGAACACAATTGAAACATTTCAAATAATTATGTACTGCACAGTCGATCAAATTTCTAAAATTAAGTAATAATACATTCTGAAACGGTTAGGAATAGTGAAATATCTATAGAAAACAGAAAAATGTTTTTCGAGCTGAAATTGAGAGTGATAAGAATAGTGATAGCTTATAAATAGTTGTGCGACTATTTTTAGGCTGGAGCTTTATTCTATTTTAACATTTAACCCATTGTTACATATTTTACTATCAAATGGTTTCCCAAATTTATTTGAAGAAAAGAAAATATTTCTGGATTGTTCTCTTAAGATTTAAAGATAATGTATCAATGCTATAAAAAAAAAAAAAAAAAAAAGAGTAACATAAGGAAATGAAGGTCAACAATTAATGGTGAGAAAAAGTGTTTTATTAAAAAGAATTATCTAGGTATTAAGAAATGTTTTGAATATATTAACTATTTATTTACATAGGTAATTATTCTTGCTTTAAAAAAAAAAAAGTTTTGTGAATTGAACATTCGAAAAAATTTCTAACTCGCCCATATAGTTAAAACATTATTCGTAAATTAAATTTTTTCTATTGAATTAATTTCTGATGTTTGGGATGTCTTTCAGCATTGAGAATTCCATGGTTTAAAGTTGTAAAATAGTGTTTGTTATTATTATTACATTCAAATTAATTTGTTCGAACTACATTTTTTTTAATGATATTAATAATATCATATTATGATACTTTTGACCACCTGCTTTTATAATTTAATTAAAAAAGAAAGACAAAACAAAAAATCTTATTCGAAAATGTTTACGATCGTAACATTTTTCTATACAATATATTATATTTCATATATAGGTAGGTGAAAGTAAAAGAAAGAACATTGATGATACTTATTTTTAATTTACCCACTTGGATAAAGTTTGAACGTAAGATGGTTAATGAAGCAGGGATGTGTGTCAAAATGTAATGAAGCATAAGTCGTATTTATTCAGGTATTAATAAATATCTTTAATAGACATTACTAATTTAATCTCAATAGTTTAAAGGGCGTGAATCGTTACGAAACAGATCCGAGGGTGTGTTTTCTTCAGATAAAGCTTAGGCAAGGTTATCAAATTGACATTTGATCCAGCAGTTTTATCAGTGGTGAGAATGAAGATCTCGGTCCACTAACTCTTCTGACTGGTTCCTGGCTGGTGGTGAGTTCCAATCTTTCTTTTTATTTGCTTTAGGTAACGGTTTCTGGAAATTTCTTTGTCTTTTATGATTTCTGTCAATACCGTCGAGTGGCCCAGATAAAATACCTGCCTATTTGCGGAAATCTTGCAGCCCTTGACCTAATCAGTTTAATAGATATCAAGTAGAGCAGCCTTCAGTTAGCAATCAAGAGTCATCCGGATCACTTCGTTGCCGGTTCGTACTCGTAACATATGTTTCTTTCGTAATTATAAACCTCCAATCTTATCAGATTCAAAAATTGTCCATGTTAGTTAACTTAAGTGAAATATCCTTTATGCGATCGGGTCAAGAGGTTTTTTTTTTTTTAATTCTCTTGAAAATATAAATTCAACTTTCAAAACTTTTCTTGTCTTTTAAATTCTTTGCTTAATCACATGACTGCCATTAGTTTATAAATGTTTAAATATTAAGTTACATTTTAGTTTTAAAATTTCAAAATAAGTATCCTCCTTTTTTACAGTTTGACAGCGATCACGTAAGTACGTCAGCTTCATCACGTGATGATTGCAATATTTTTAAGTCACGTATACGTTTGCTGAACATCACGTTTAGTACTGATTAGACAATTGTTCCAGAAGTTTTAAAATGCCTTTTTATCAATGCGATAAAGATTATATCGATTGTTCGCGGTTAGATTTGCATGTTGAAGGTTTTTATCATCTTTTGAAAACATTGACAATGTTAAATTACGTCATTGATTTTCCCCCTTTCTTGCTGATGATTAATGTCAGGATTGGATCTAAATGGAAGGAAGTTTTGTTACCGGTGATAACTTGGGCGTGTCCTCCATTCAGTTTCTATATACCTTGACATCGAGGTGGGTCTCACTGTACATATTGCCTATTCATTCTAGCTTTTAAATAAATTTGTTTTTTTTAATTTTACAATTTGTGTTGTATCATATAGGATATAAAGATTGAGTCGTTTCAGATTTGAACTCTTTTTAGTTTCCACAAATACTTGTACAACTATCATCTAAATTTTATTAGTATCATAGATTATTTGAATCTATCTATGTTGTTTTCTTTAGAACGCAAAAATTTACATTTTTTCGCTGTTTCATTCCTTAAAAAAAAAATAAGCCTTGAAAGTTATCTGCTGTGATGTAATGTTTCTTGTTTATCACTTTTCTATAAGTGCTTATCTCAGTTATTGTAGTGAGGGATATTGTGTTCATCCTTTAAGGTGCAAATATTTGTTTATTTATTATTTGAACCATAAATAAGTTGTATTTATCATTTATTTGTTATAAATACTTCTGTCACTTGCAGCAACAAATAGATAAGTTTAGTTAGTTTTAACTTTTGATTGATACTTTCTGATTATTATAGTTTCTTTATATATCGAAGTGCAAAATTAGTCTTATCCCACTACTGATAGCTTTACCTAATCAATTAATAGTAATGATAAGATTAGATGAAGTAGTTGTAAATATATAAATCATTTTAAAATTTTTATGGCTAATATTTATGCTCATTTTAGAAAAAATAACATACATTCAATATGACTACTTACTTTCACTATCCACCTCCACCATTGCAAGAGGAACTTCACAAGATTGCTGCTGCTATTGTCGCTCCTGGAAAAGGTATTTTAGCTGCAGATGAATCGGTCTCAACCGCAGGAAAAAGACTAAAGGTAATTTAATTTGACTTTTAATTTATTCTAGAGATTTGTACCTGGTTCCAAAAAGTTTATTTTTAATTTTCATTATTAACATTCCTATTAGATAATCCTAAAATATTCTTAATTATAAATTAATTTAGTTCTATTTTTTACATAAGTATTTCAAAATTTGATCATGTTTGCTTAATTTTGATTATTTACCTTTCTCATAAAATCAAAGCATTTTTATATCACTACGATTAAAATATTACTTTATTATATTAAATTAATTCTTAATAAACGAGAAGTATATGATATAGGAAATACAAAATTAATTTAATTTAAATGGTTTTGTTGAACTTATGTTTTGTATATAATCTTCTGTACCTCTGTCATTTATAATTATCTTAGTTTTTAATACAGTTTGGTTCATATTATTCCTGTTTAAGTTGAGTTATTTGAATTACGAATTTAGAAGATGAGCAATTAAACAAAAGAGCAAAATATAATTGAAGATATCACTCTTGCTAATTTTTGAAGGTCAAGGAAATCAACTATTTTACTTTTTGTGGGTCCAAGGTTTGCATTTTTAAAGGAGAAAGGGTTATCAAATAGATCTGTGGATGGATAATCTTTATTAATATTATGCTAACTGCAATAATAACCTTGAATTTTAAATCAATTTTAGTTTACTGTTTTGTATTCTACATATTCTAATATTTCTACATATTGCTTTTCTAGAGGCAATTAATAAATTCCGAATATTATCTTTCATATTTGAAAAGATCTCGATCATGAGATTATCGTTATTAAAAAATAAAAAATGTGCCAACAAAAAAATGTCTTTAGGAAATAATAAAGTATTTATCAGATTGGAAAAAACTGTAGTAGTATAGTGAATGTAGTATCTATGAAGTGGAAGAAATTATCATGTATACCGATTCTAATGGACTATTTCTATGTTAATAATGGTCCGATATTTTCATTTTGATAGGAATTTGGTAAATTTTCAAATAATAATGATCGAGAAAAAAATGTATACTTTTTTAGTTATTAGCAAATAAAGTTTCTTTTCATTCATAACTTTTTTCATGAAATTTCGGGTGATTCGTCACTGATTCATTTATTACCCTTTTGTTTGATACCTCAAAATCCATCACTCCTGAGAGCCGGAAAAGGGATCGTTACGGCCAAAAACTATCGTATTATATTATAAACATAGATTGGCAATTGAGTTAATGTGTTTTAGATGCTAGGTAACTAAAATATAAAATTATTCATGTTGTTTGATGGATGAAAATGTCAATTATTTAATAGTAATTGTGCTTTTTGAGAGATATAATCTTTTATTAGGATATTGGAGTCGAAAACACTGAAGAGAATCGCAGACGTTACAGACAGCTTTTGTTCACTTCTGACGCTGCGTTATCTGATAACATTTCTGGTGTCATATTGTTCCATGAGACTGTTTATCAAAAAACTGATGATGGCACCACATTTCCAGAGCTCCTCAAGAGTAAAGGAATCATCCCCGGAATCAAAGTCGACAAAGGAGTCGTTCCACTATTTGGGTGTGTTATTTATTTATTATGTATTTACCTAAATAGATATTTTTTATTATTTTAATTTTTTTCAAGAATTTTAATCTATTAACAGTTCTGAAGATGAATGTACAACTCAGGGACTCGATGATTTAGCAGAAAGATGCGCACAGTACAAACGAGATGGATGCCACTTTGCTAAATGGCGTTGTGTCTTAAAAATAGGAAAGAACACTCCTTCTTTTCAGGCCATTCAAGAGAATGCTACTGTCCTTGCCCGCTATGCATCCATCTGTCAAGCCAACAGGTAATTTCTTGAAAAACAAACTTCATTATGTTAGTATTTGATAATTTTCACAAATAAAGATTTTATTATACTGAACTCATAACAATAAATATACTACAATAAAGATTCGTAACCTATGGGGTGCCAAAAAAAAAAAAAATTTAACTTAACTTTTCCCAACTCTTCACTTTGATTCAAACAACTCCTTTAGAAAAATCTTACATATTCAAGTGTATTCATTATTACTTCACTATTTATTTTATTATTTTTTCAAAGTAATAAACAAATTAAAAATAATAATAAAAAAAAACAAAAATTTTGAACTCTACAGATGCAAAAGATTATTTATTTAAACAATCACCAATTATTTTTTCTGATCTGATAAATTTATATTGATTTTTATTGATTATAAAATGAAAGTTTAATCAATACTTTTCTTCTATCAACTATATAATTTCTAAAAGCTTTACTGTTTGAAAAATATTTTGTTTTTAGTAATGAAGTACTTTTATGGCTAGAAAAATAAATAAATTTAAAATAACAAAAATTGTTGGCATTTATTTAGTCAGTTTGGCAGACAGATACCTGTCTATTCCTATACCATTGAAAAGCTATTTGCAAATCAACAACTTTATTTTAGTTGGGAGAATATGAGTAAAAAGATCAGTTTACATCGTACATACTATTTTTGAAATGTAATTATTTTAAATTTTAAATAATTATTATAATTCATTACAATAAATTTCTTGTCCCTGACTTAGTTCACATAATCTTCATTTAATGTGATTATTTAATAAATTTTATAGAAATTATGATATTGTTTGAAGTATTAATGTTTGTGGAATACCAAGTGCTATTACCCAATAGTTGAGTATATGAAAATATTTATTAAAAACAAAAACTATTGTTGGTCAGACCACAGAACATGACATTGCAAATCAAAATTATAATCAATCCCGGTTAGTTTGCTTTGGATATTATTGTTTTTTAAATTGTATTCATTTATTTTTATTTTTAGGAAATAATTTTTATTCCGTCATTCTTTCTACTGGTAGTTCTATAGTTTAAAATTAATCTTTATTTTTTAATAGCAATTGATTTTTATATCTCATCCATGAGAATATGGCAGTGAGAAAATGATTTAAACAAGAATTAATAAATAATCTAGCATTCATAAATTCATTTTTAAAAAAACGCCCTGCCATAATCTTGTAGGAGCGGCCTAGAATATTTTTACTTCAATTTAACTCAAATCAATTAATTGTTTGCTACTAGATTAGTGCCTATAGTTGAGCCTGAAGTTTTGCCCGATGGTACTCATGATATAGAGCGTGCTCAGAAGGTCACCGAGACTGTCCTCGCTGCCGTATATAAAGCTCTGAATGATCACCATGTCTATTTGGAAGGAACCTTACTAAAGCCGAACATGGTGACCCCTGGTATGCAGAACCCAACCAGGTGTTCAGCCTACGAAATAGCTCAAGCTACTGTCACCGCTCTCCAAAGAACTGTAAGATATATTATATTCATAATTAAATGAGACTGAAATCTTAATTAACATTTAGACTTAATATGTACTCTGACATATCTTATAATTTGTTTCCTTGCTATATTCGTATAAACAAAATACCTTCAGGTTACGAAAGAAAAGAGTTTAGCTTACATTTACATGAAAAGAAAATGTATTCTTTAAGATAAATGTGTCCGTGCACGCTAGTAGTCGAACAAGAAAATTTGCAATATCTTAAATTTTAAAAAATAAATTCTATACACCTTTTGTTAATTATTATGTCCTAAATTTGTTTTAGTTGTTTGGCAATAATAACTTCCAGTTGTTAACAATTGAGTATATTTTACTATCAACGTTACATGTTAACAGATTAGTTGACGTTTCGGGACATTTATTCCCATCTTCAGAACTGCAATTCCAATACTCTAGTGGATGCAAGGCTAAAAAATTTTTTAAGTTACAATATTGTGCTTGTTACATTACATATTTGAATTATGTTTGTTACAATAAATTTGTAATTACCTTAAATTTAATAATAATAATAATAATAAGTCCTAAATTTAGATTTTCTAACTATATAGTGTAATTTAAGAAGGAGTTGGTCTGGGGTGCTGTCAATACATGATACTATATATTATATTGGATTTACAATGTTTTACCCTACGTTGTATGTCTTCATCAGGACTACAAAAGAAACAAACTATAAATATTAATTGGTACAAAGTAAAAAAACTGTAGTCTTATGTCATAATATAAGTTCTTTAATTTCTTTATTTACAGTAAAAAAATAAAACCATTTTTTAAAATGAAAATACTCCTTCTCATTATCCACTTAAATTTCTGTAAGTGTAAATAATAATATGCGGCTTCGCTACTGGTTGGTTTACAGATAATATCATCATGATAAACATATAATGTTCAAAGGCTACAATTTTTGAACAATTTAAAATAAATGAAATAATGTTTAAAAGCTAGAATATTTGAATGATTTAAATTCAAAGAAACAGTGTTTAAAGGCTAAAAATTATTAAACAATTTAAAGTGAGCTCAACAGTGTTTAAAGGTTTAAACTTTTAAGTGATTTAAAGTGAAGGAAGCAGTGTTTAAAGGCTACAATTTTTCAGCTTTTTCTATCTACTTACCGATAAGTTTTTTTTTTTCTTGTACTTATTAATATTTATGATTTGTATCTTCTGTATGATTAAGACCTACAACATAGTTTAAAACGTTGGCAAATCGAATAAAATATTATAATATATATTGATTGCATCCCCAACCAACTTCTTCTCATATTATATTCACAGTCACCATCTCCATCTCCACACCATTAGTTTAATTTAATTGGCTTTTTATCCTTGAATTCTGAAATGTACCATAAAAAGGTGATCAATGTATTAATTAAAAAAATAATATTGTTATTTTATACTCAATAATGTCTAAACAAAATATCCTAATATTATTTTGTTCATAAAACAGTGAAATTTTATTACTTTTTCACTCAATAACTTTTGAGCTCAGATTTTTAAAATTATAATTTTTATGATTCTGTACGGTTACATTTTTTTTTGAGTTAATATGTTTTTTAATTACATTTGCATGAAAAATGTTATAATCATCCCTATACATATTGCAGGTACCCCCCGCAGTCGTAGGTATCACATTCCTATCCGGTGGTCAGACTGAAGAAGAGGCCACCGTGAACCTGGACGCAATCAACAAATTTGTTGCTCGTAAACCTTGGCCTTTGACATTCAGTTTTGGGCGAGCTTTGCAAGCTTCTGTCTTGAAGGCTTGGGGAGGTAACTTGAAATTTTTTATAGCATGTGTTTTTAGTTAAAACCAAATTCTATATTTAGAAATTTCTTCTGTTATTTGTGATCTTAATAGAGACACTCTCTGCCATGAGACTGTATTATATTTATCTCATAAATTAAATATTTGACCTGAGATTAAATATACTGTCTAATCTATTATTTGTTTATTTAACTAGTAGAAAGCAAATTTATTGAAGGGAAAACTTTAGGTTCATTTTTCACTTCTTTTGTGGAGAATGAATTAGATTACATAGATCTTCAGTAATGCTCTGGTAAAGTCGACTAATTGAAGTGTTTTTTCATATGGATTAAAATATCTCAGAAACTAAAAGTCAGATCTGCATACTGTAAGCTAGGGAAATGATCAACATTTCATCCTCTTTATAATGAGCTATTATTTATAATTTATATTTCATATTATTAATCTTGCCTTGTTGATGTTTCACTTCTTTCGTGTGGTCTAAAGCACACACCTTAGTTTTTAAAATTTAATTTTTATTACTTAACACTAGTTAGTTGAAGTAGATAGAGACTTACTTATCCAGACAAGATTAGATGATCAGACACTCTCAAGTTTACCAGAATTGACTGTAAATAGCATAAGATAAAATATTTTTGTGATTTTCTTCCCTTCGTCTTAATTTAATTTTCAAAGCTACTAAATGTATTAGTCTAACTTTCTTGACCTCAAGGATTAACAAAATTGCACATTTTTATGATTAATAATCATAATGTATTTATTGTTTGGCACCACAGACTCCCCACCATTGTACTGTCACATTATAAAATGGAGAATTTAAAAAAATTAATATGCCTGTCAACTAAATACGTTAATTTCTTTATGGATTGTTCCAGGATTAGACATAATTTTTTTTTTTCTTTTTTCTAGTCCTATTCTTTGGGTTTGGTGCCATTTTCTCATAATTTAACATATTTCTATTATAGGCCATAGGTCACCAAAAAAACACACTGTTTTTTTGGTGACCTATGGCCTATAATAGAAATATGTTAAATTATGACATAATTTTTTTTATTTTCACTAACCTGTATATGTAATATCTAGTACCTTACTACTTTCCCTGAAAGTATTGCGATCATGAAAATTTTCAAATCCGAATTTTCAGTGGAAGTACATGTTTTGAGTGAGGTCCCCTAGGTCCAATTAACCAAGTCTCGCAAAAAGGTCTATGTTTTTCACTTTTTTTATTCTTTTTTGCCTAATTAAAACGTGTTAAGCTAGCACAAATCAAATCTTTTTAAAATTAATTTTATAGTCACCACTCACTAAATTAAATTTTTATGGTAGTAAATTTAATTTTATCTAAATTAGTTGAACTCTCTCAATTAGGATCAACTACTAATTCATAAGTCATCTAAAAATGATTCTCTAAAAAAAAAAAAAAAAGGTTTTTTTATTGCGAAAAACACTGATTAATGAAATAGGACTTGCATTTTTACTTTGTATTTTTGTAGCTTTTTGTTCCATAAAAGGATAGGTCCCAAAATGTTTTACTTAAGGTTACATACATTTGCCAAGCAAGAGAGATATAATTATTTATTTTTGTTTAATTGACCTATTTTTTGTACGTTAATAGGCAAAAATGAATGCATTGAATCAGCTCAGGATGAATTATTGAAGAGAGCACGAGCCAACGGTGAAGCTTCACTTGGTAAATACGTTGCTGGTACCGTCAAGGGACAAGCTGCCGAACAAGATCTGTTCATCAAGGGCCATGCCTATTGATCGCTAGTACAAACTCTCTTCAAATATACTCTCTCATTGCAGTTATATAACTTAGAAATTTTTTTTTGTCTGAATGCTTACTGAACTGATATATTTAAGTAATGTAGGAATATACATAAATATATTTACACTCTGAAATTTATTTTTTTACCTTTTATCGCCCTTTCATCGTGTTACACTTGAAACATCTAATTTAAAAATTGTAGACAGAATTAATGAAGTCTGTATGGAATTATAAAACCTTCCTCATATATTAATATATAGAAGCACATTATGTTTTTATTTAAAACAAGATTATGGTTAATAAGAAACAAGCACATAGCCAGGGAAGAGGATTCAGCGTCCTCCCTCTACAACAATTTTTTAAAAATTAACTTTAAGAAATTCATTCTTTTTGCATGAAATATAAATGAATCACTCATTTTGGAACAGGATTAACTCTAGTGTGAATTGTAATTGAGTTAACTCCTTTCTAATATTAAACCAAAATGGAAATTTTTAATCCTCTCTTAAATAAAATCCTGGCTATGGGCATGATAAAATAATTTGTTAAAAACATGAAATATCTTAAAAGTTCAGATAGAAAATTAAATTGCTTATTTGTTTTTTATACATCAAATATAATATTTAGTAGTTGATGTATATTTTTATAAGAAAAGTTATTTTAAATACATATTTATATGTTTTGATTACAAAATATATTTTGTTATTTATTGGATATGTTTCTTCTCTGATAAAATAAAAATCCACCTGCTTTCCTTTGCCTTGAATTGCATCAATTTTGTTGAATGATCAAACGCTTTCCTGAAATCACCATATTGCCCACATCTTCTTAGTTAATTTTCTCTCTCTCATGCCTTTCCTCTATTTATATTCGTATGTACTTTTGATACAGCATATTCATGTGAATAAATGCTGTTTATGTGCAATCAATGTTCTAGCTAATAGATCACCATATTTTTCTTCACACATGTTTGACCAGTTATTAACTTGAAGAAACTTGGGTATTCCATGCGGGTATTTAGATATAGGGAATAGTAATTTTCTTATTCTTAAGAAGACTATTTTACCAAATACCAGTTATATTTCATTTTTATATTATTGCTACGTGTCAATTTGGTTTTTGAAAATTTTTAACGGGATGCCACTGGATAATTATCCAGAATTAATTTATAAAATATTAATTAAACAAATTATGTCATTTGACATATTGATCCTTGATTAATTTATTGGATTACTTCTCACAAAGGCTTGTTGTGTGTTTATCTGTTCTCTAATTACTAAACATTACCTGTGCTTATAATTAAATAAATATGTGGCATTATCAAAATAACTTTTATGTACAAATTATGTTTATTTACAAGTTATATAAGAAAGAATGTTATATATATATATATATCTACAAAAATTAATGAACGCAACAATTGGTTGTGTGAGTGGCATGATTCAGATGGATAGAATTTAAAATTTATATTGCCATTAAATATTTATACATCTTTAAAAGGAATTGACTTATCTATAATGTTATGCGAAGTGTGAAGTTGAGATCATTGTTCAGGTAGGTCTTCAACAGTCCTCCAGACAGATAAAAACATCAGGGACCTCCTCAGGGCCGGGCAGCTACATCAGACCTCTCTTCTATGCCGGGCAGTCGCATCCGGCCGTAAGCCATAAGACTTCTTCTCTATCAGCCTCTCCTCATCCAGCTGTCCTCGCTTCCTTCCCAGCTTGAAGTCTCCTCAGTTGAGTCCCAAAAAAAGAAGTGTCTTAGTCCTAGTCCTATATTTCCCACCTTTCTTCATCCCCCTCTCTTTTGGTAGTCTTTTCTGATTGGCTGAATATTCCTAGCCTAAGGGATCTCCCCCAGGCCAAGGTATTCCACTAATCAGGTATATTTTAAGTATTTCTGGTGGAAGGTATTAATGGTAATTTGGATCCTGTTTAAACACTCAGCCGTGAGACTGTTGTCGATCTCTTGGGGTTCTTAAGGGTTTTTATTTCCACTTATAAAAGGTTGCCCTCGTGGGTCGTTACCCTCGCTCAGGTACTGCCAGATGTGAGCACTTATGATATTTATTTATTTATACCTTTAAAATAATTAAATGAATTCCACCGGTGATCTTTAGAATACACTATTTTTCTAGAAAATATACATTAATTCTGCATTGTTTATGATACATCTGTTGATATTTAGGGATCTTAACTTTTCCTTAAGTATGTATGAATCTATAAACTTTCTTAAGTGCCTAAGGATTAAACTTTGAAATGGACAAAAAGGGCTTGGTGTAAGTATTTTGGTCTATAAATGTCTCCATAATGGAGAGCAGGAAACTATTTAAGCTAATATTCTGAGGACATCAATTCTATAAATTTGCTGCTGTCATAATTTTTTTATCAGAATATCATAATTTTCAATGTCAGAAAACTTATTTTCCAAAAAGTTTTTTGACCGCAAACCACATTTAGTAAATAGATAAGTTAAAAGTCATCGAATATCAGGTGTTTATTTTGTGAAGAAATTTTCCTGGGAGCTATAACCAATAGAAGTATTGTTACAATACCAAAGTATTTTAATTTATTTTTCAAAATCAGATGTTAGAAATATAAATAACAACTGAACAATGTTGTTCAGTGTGTCTATTCTTCTGAATGGAAAAAATGAAGAGCTTCATTTTTATTTTCTGGATCATGAAAATTTTTGAATCTGAGTTTTCAGCGGATATACACGTTTTGAGGTCTCCTGAGTTTAAATAACCAAGTCCCGGAAAATGATATGTGTGTATGTGAATACTCTGGCTCTAAACCGAAAACTGTTATTACATATTTAAGACAGATATATGCCTTAGATGTCCTGGCAACTTTTACCTTAAAATCGGCTTACCGGAAGTGGCACTTTATATCAACGCTGAAACGCATTTTTAAAATTTTCTCAAAAACGGCTCTGACGATTTTGATTAAACTCGGTGTATCATTGTATAATTAAGTGGTCTTTAATATCATTTCGGTCTTATCCCCGTTGATGTCACTTTACAGGACTTAAATGCCCAATGACCACATGAGTCTCCCTCTAAAGTACCTTTAATATTGATTATTTTTAATAATCAACTATCTCTCATTATTAAAAGTTACGAAAAAATGCTAAATATAACTTTTGAAAGAATTCGATGATTGAATAAAGGAAAAAAAAAACTAAAAATGATTGTACAGGTCGAAACTGAATCTCCGGAAATACAAGTCAGAAGGTTTACTTATAAAACAGCGTTGGAAGCGTTGGAAAATGGAGAGTGGCGAAAAAATTATAAATAATAATTTTTGAAAACTGATAATATTTAACGTAAATCAAATGTTTTCAAGAAAATTAAACTGAAATTTACTTACTAAATGACAACTTTAAAAAATATGTTTACGTTTGTAGAAAGGAATTAAAATCCACCTAATCAAGGCAATGGCATTATTAAGAAAACCATTTCATTGTACTTGTGTGAAAAAAGAAGTAAAATATAAAATCATTTCATGGATGTATGAAGCATATGTTCATAACCTTAAATGCATTTACTGTAGTTGAGTGATTATAGATCTCATATTATATTTAAATAATTAGGTATCAACGTTTATTCCGAAAAATTGTCGTGTAACTTTTTAGAAAATTAAATTAGTGAATAATTTGATGAATTTTCCCTTTGTGAAATCCCAACATTATCATATCTTTCTCTAAAGTGCCTTTAATTTGGTTTATTATAAATAATAACTATTTATCATTGTTAGGAGTTATGGAAAAATGCTTAATATAACTTTTAGAAGAATTTTATAATTAAATAAGGGAGATAAAAATAAAAATACTTAACCAGATCGAAAATGAATCTCTGGGAATACTGGTCAGAAAGTATAGTATAATATTTCGTTGGAAAGCCGAGAATTTTAGAAAAAACATTTTCTAATATAGAAAGTTGTAAAACGTAACGAAGAGTGGCGAAAAATATATAAATAATAACATGTTTTCAAGGAAATTAACAGAAATTCTCTTACTAAATGTAAACTTTTAAAATTTTTTTAAAGTTAGAAAAAGTATTTAAAACCCAGCGATTCAAGGCATTGACATCACTCACTTATGTGAAAGAAGAAGTGAAATATAAAAATATTTCATGGATACGTTTATAACCTTATATATATTTACTGTAGTTTAATAACTCTAAATCTGACTTTATATTGAAATAATTAGGTATTTATCGGCCGTTTATTCCGAAAAATCATTATGTAACATTTTAGAAAATTAAATTAGTGAATAATTTGATAAATTTTCTCTTTACGATATACCAACAGAATCCATTTACAATTAGTGTCACAACTTTTGACCTGTCTATGAGAGACCACGCAAATCTTTCTATTCCGTTTTAATAAACTTTGCAATGGAAAATAAAAGTTTAATAACTAATAGTCGTACAATCCATAATTAACAGATCGAACAATCCATAATCAACGAATCGTAGAATCTAAAATCAACGGATCGAACAATCCATAATCAACGAATCGTACAATTCATAATAAATATGACTTTTGTTATTTTAATAGTATTTATGATTTGTTAGCTGCAATCTTTTAGCTATAGTGGAGTGAAAAATGCAATTCAAAAATTTTATAATAGCCCAACATGGCCAGAAAATAATTTCTATTCAAAGTTAAGCGGTAAATGAAAGTTGTGTGTTGTGCTCACCAGATTTTGTATGTTTCGTTGGAGGTGTTAGCAATAGAAGTATTGTTACAATAGCGAAATAAAGTTTTTTTTTTTTCGAAGTTCAAAATCAGATGTTAGAAATATAATCATAAAAGTAACACCTGAACGATGTTATTCCGTGTGTCTATTCTTCTGTCTTGAATAAATGAAGAGCTTAATTTTTTATGTGCAAATAAATATACACATCTGGTATTGCAATTCACACGATTTTCCTTACCTACGACTATAGGTGGAATGTTTAATACAACAATTGGTTGCTGTAGCCAATTTATTTATTTTTCAAAAGAGTTTCTTGATTTCTTGACGTGGCCGTACCTTCATTTGAAAAAATAACAAACAAAATTTCTTGGAAACTTACGCAATATGCTTTTAAAATACATTAAAAATCGTCGATACTAAGCTCATTTAGAAAATTCATTTTATAAATATTATCATTCATTTGATATAAATCGTATAATTCTTGAGTTTTGGACAGATAAAATTTTCTTGTAATAATTGTTTTCTTACCTTGTTTCAGTCATGTAATATATAGGGACATTTAAAAGGTTACTTTTATGATGCCTTTTAGAAGCCATTTTGTCGATACATTCTATAGAAAAATACTAAATATTTCAACTATCTCTGTCATGTTTGCTCTCTTTCAGTTATCCCTTACTCAGTTTAAATAAAATAAATTCTGATTTAATATATTTAAAATTTGATTTGATATGGCTATTAAAAATGACGTCATATTTTTTTCCCCACTTCTCGTTTATCATTTTAGAAATCTATGTCTCGGACAATACCTCTTTGCTATTACCGTATTTTGATTATTCCTTCTTTGAATGGTGCAGTATATCAACTTTTTAAAATCATTTTGGCTCACTGATAATGGAAATCATAGAAATGATAGAACAAGGAGCTGAGGCAAGAGTTTTCAATGTAACATATCTAGGAAAGCCTGCTGTTCTTAAAGAGCGGTACAAAAGGAAATACCGAAATCCACTATTGGATGAACATATTCTAAAAGAGAGAATGAGATCTGAGGCCAGAGGATTATTGAGGAGTAAAATGGCAGGTATTTAAATCAGTATTCAAATTAAACCTCTGCTTTATTAAATTTGTTACTTAATTAAGCATTGTAGGTGTTCGAGTACCAGCTGTGTATATGGCTGATATAGAAACTGGAAGACTGTGTTTAGAATGCATTGATGGCATTACAGCCAAAAAGTTCATTGATAAGGAGTTAGAAGAAAGGGGAGTTGAATGCAATGATTCTCTATTTCAGGTGATGCAACTTTGTGGGGAAAGTATTGGAAAACTTCACTCTGATAACCTTATTCATGGTGATTTGACTACATCTAACGTTATTATCTCAGAAAAGAAACCTGTGGAAGTTTCATTAATAGATTTTGGTTTAAGTTATGTCTCAACATCAGTAGAAGACAAAGGAGTTGATTTATATGTTTTGGAAAGAGCTTTGGTTAGTACTCATTCATCAGCGGATAAACTTTTTGAACAAATTTTAGCTTCATATAAGCAAACGTATCATTCTGGTGCTAAGGAAGTGTTGCATAAATTTGAAGAAGTGAAAGCAAGGGGAAGAAAAAGGACCATGGTTGGGTGAAATTTTTTAACTGATATTGTATATAGTTTTTTTGGTACCAGTTCACAAGAGTTTCACACAGATTACGTTTGGTTCACAATCACTTTGGTCACACTTGTTCATGGAATGCCGAATGCGTTCGGGTTTATCCTAAACAGAACTAAGGCGACCGATCTCTTGAGTCAGTTACTATTAACTTTCCTGCCATTAAAGTACTTCTATGACCTTAACCATGTTCAGTTATATAGCAGGATCCGACACATTCAAAATTAAGGCTACACATCATGAAAACTGAATCGGACTTACATATATTAGAGAGCTGAGAAAAAGAAATAGTAATAGATAAAAATCTTTATTATTACATCTCAGAATGCTATTTCACGATATTATTTTTCTTATTGATGATTTCCATTATTCATTATCTCGGAATTATCAGATATTCTTCATCAGTTGTTTCCCCAATATGTCAATTCCTTTCTTGAAAATAAACACGATTTTTTTTTTTTTTTTACGGATGATTACAATAATCCCCATATTCGGATTATCAAGCAAAATAACTGTGAATAAAAATAATTACACAGCTAATCCATTCAATAAAAATAATAGCGATTAAAATGAAAAAATAAATTTTAAGTTAGCAGTTAGCAGATCTACGAGTACCGTTGGGATTGGACATTTTTGGGAATAAATATTTATCTATATAATAATTAATAGATAAATTTTATTTATTAATATTGTAAACTTTTCTCGCGCAATCTGACATTATTTTCATAATAAGCGTCCTTGACAACTTAATAGTGGACTCTTGTATCTAAGAAATCCAAAAATCGATGAACAATTTTAAATCTGACAGTATATTCATAACAAGCTACGACTAGAAAATAGTGGATCCCTATATGTAAGAATTCAAAAAAGTTACATAAACTTGATGCTCAATCTCAAATCAGACAGTATATGCATACAAAGTGCCCCACACTAGAAAATAGTGGATCGTCGTATTATTATAAATCCAAAAGTTACATAAACTAAATAGACGATTGCTCAATTCTAAAAAAGGCTTGCTAAAATAAATTATAAATTCAATTATTCCAACATCTATTGAAAAACTCGAATAACAAATAAAAAGATAATAGATAACTTCAGATTATTTATTATTCAAATGATGAAAAAATCGTTTATACACAGTTTTAAACGGTAATATACCACAGTATATGCGTATTTACAGCCACTACATGTAAGCACGTGTCAATAAAAATGTTATTTCTAAAAGCATTTTTTTTTTAACAGGCCTTGAAGAAACAACTCGAACATTATTATATATATATATATATATATTTTTTTTTCACAGTAATAAACGTTATAATAAAAATTAACAATTAACAAATTAGTAAATACACAATTCTTTAATAAATTGTTAATAAGGAAGTTCCATCAAGGGAATACGTTTTTTTTTTTTTTTCAAAAATACATGAAAAGGGATTGTGTGTTGGGACAATAGTTGACGCCATAAAAGACGACAATATTCTGCTGTTTTCGGGATTCCATGAACAAGTGTGACCGAAGTGATTGTGAACCACATGTAATCCGTGCAGAACTCGTGTGAACTAGTACCGTTTTTTTTTTTAATTATATCTGTAACTCAAAGCAGATGAATACCTTCAAGCATGAAGGTGAAAATGTTTCAGATAATGAATTTTATGAAGCCTTTTTATCTGTTTTAATATTAAATCTGTTTTTTATTGTATTTCACAAGAGGCTAAAAACAATATTTATGAATAAACGTTTTTAGTCAAATATTTATAACGATTTTTGAGTAATCTCATTACCTATTCTTTAGATTTGGAATAGTTACATGTATAATCCATAAAATTTCAAGCCCTTAAAGCTTTTTCAGAAATTACTGGTATCTACCGTTAAGAGCAGAATAATAATTCATCACAACAGCTTGGGGTAGTCAACTGGACTAACACGTGTATGGTTGATAAACTGAATCTTATGACTTTGAGTCCTGGGGTCAGGGGCATTAATCTCCCTTCCTTGTCCCAGGAAAAAAAAACATTCAGTCAAAAAGACAAGGCAGAGGAGAAGAAAAAAAAATTGTTCATCACATAAGTTTGAAAAATTCAGCCCAAGAGCCTAATACTAACTTTTACTTTTATTCAATTCTCAAGCAGTTACAGCAGTAAAGAAAGCCTATCCTACAATATGATAGATTGTTCATTGTGGAAAAACAATCATATGCTATATAAATTGAAAACTTAGCAACTGGTGATGTAAAGTGTCATAAACACGCTATTGAAACAACAATCAAAATCAGAACAAAGACAGAAACTTACTTTCTCCAGATACTTGAACCAATTCGGTCTTACACTTCTTAAATTTTCTCTTATATGAAAAAGACACACATACAAATACTCTAACCATTCCAATAGAAAATATTCAGACAAGCACCTTGGTAGTTTTCCACCACATCTTTATAAACTCACTTACACTTGTCAGCTGTTAGCAAATTAATAGGAGCAAAACAATCGGCTAATAGTAAGAATAGCCTCTACCAGCATCACTGACATCATGAGCCTGAAAAGGCCATGGTCAAGAGACCTTTTGTAAATTTCTTTTACCCAAAATAATGCGACAGAAAATACACTACTTAGTATTTTTCTTCCTCCTGCCATGGATTCACTACTGATTTTGACAGGCAATCTATTGATTGTCAATGTTAGATGATACAGGTGTAGATATAAAAATAGAATTTTAATTTTATTTTTACATCTGTTTATATTTTATTTTATTTTAAATGTCTATTTATATGCCCTCTAAGATACCATAATAAAAATAAGTTTAACATGTAGTTGGAAAAATATTATTTCTACTCTTGGTTTAGCTTTTATGAAAAAATGTGTTTAATAATGTTCTTCTTTTGTATCCTTCATATACCCTTTAGTGTGGAGGGATCACGATCCATGTAATCCATTCTTGCCTATCTTGTGCGAGCTGTCTTATTTAGGCAAGATTTTCCCTCTTTTTTTTCTCCCAGCTTGCAGACAGTATTCCTCGCGGTCTTGTATCTGAAGATAACCAATAACTACTGTGGGTCTCGGTCCTGATTAATCCTGCATACATGACCGAACCACCGCAACTGACTTTTGTGAAAGTGTCTTTTAATGCAGGGATCACTCAGTCTTCTCTTATCCTTTCATTCCTTACACAATCTCTTTTCATTTTACCTGCTACTCTGTGTAAGTATTTCATCTTAACTGCGGTAATCAGCTAATATTTTTGTTATTTGAAACCCAACTCTCTCTTCTGTACATTAGAGTAAAGAGAAACACTGTTTTAAAAATAAGTTTCCAGTTGTTCTCCATTATAGTAATGCTGCCGATTTCTTGTTTCGTCCCTGGATACAATAAGTGCTTGACTCTTGGAAGTATTGATCTTCATGCCCTTATGCAAAAGCTCCTCCTGCTACTCAGTTATCGCTTGCAGTTTTTCTTTGGTATCTACAAGTAGCACAATATCATCTGCGAATAGGTAGCAGTTATTACTGTTAACTAACATTAGTATCTATCATGCCATTTGACCAATAATTGTATCATCTGTGCTTCAAAGAAAGTTTGTAATAATTGCAGTTATTAACATACATGTTAATCACCCTATAGAATCAAAAACAGAGTGAGACATATGAATGTCAATTCACTGAGACTGCATTGAAAAAGAATCTTTTTACTTTCACCTACGTATATATGTAATATATAGTAAGGATAAGTATTGCGATCAAGAAAATTTTTGAATCTGAGTTTTCAACGGAAATACACGTTTTGAGGTACCCTGAGTAGAAATGACCAAGTCCCGAAAAATGGTCTGTGTGTTTGTATGTTAGCAGTCTAGCTCAAAAGTCCTACGAAACTGATATTAGGTATTTAAGATAAGTATATGCTTTAGATGTGACGGCAACTTTTGCCTTAAAATCGGCTAACTGGAAGTGCCACTTTATATCAACGCTGAAACACATTTTAACAATTTTCTCAAAAACAGCTCTAACGACTTTGATTAAACTCAGTATATAATTGTACAATTAAGTGGTCTTTAATATCAATTAGGTCTTATCCCAATTGATGTCACTTTACAAGGCTTAAATGCCCAATGTTCATATACATCTTCCTTTAAAGTACCTTTAATATGGTTTATTTTAAAAAGTTAATCATTTCACATTATTCAAAGTTACGAAAAAATGCTAAATATAACTTTTGAAAGAATTCGATAAGTTAATAAAGGAGAAAAAAAAATAAAAAAGTATAAAAACCTGCATTGCTATAGACGGTAGCGCCTAAACGAATGTACCAATTTCAATGAAACTATGCTAAAGTCATTTTCTCGACACCCTATAAATTTATCTATATAACATACTTCAAAGTAAGAAGCAAAAGTAAAGTGAAAAGAAGCTGGAAAAAAAGTTATGAGAAATGGTAAAATTAAATTCCGAATAACTCAAAAAGTATACACTTTTTTGTGGATATTGTAATGGTTTTTTAAAAGTTTATGAAATTTCCTAAAAAAAACAAAACAAATAAAATCGTTAAGATTGGACAATTAGGAGAAAAGATATGGTCTCTAGTTTTTTTCCCTGAAGAGGCGAAAATTCGGATAAATTTAAAATATACTTTTTTAATTGTTGAGACTAAAAAAACCTTTTTTCTATAGATATTTAATAAAGTATCTTTCCTAAGAACATTTTTCATAAGAAATAAGTACCTAATTTCTATATTAGGTAATAAGTTTATTAGTATAATAAGTTCTATATTTCAACACTGCAATCACCATCTCTGGAATCAACTTACTCATTGTCTGCATAGATAACTTTTTCAACTAAAAATATCACTAAAATGACATCACTCAAAAATGTTGAAATTGGAGTTAGTCATTCTGTGGTTTATAAAAGCAAAGAAAGTTGTGTGGTTTATAAAAGCAGATGGAGTGACTAGATTTATATTGCCTGCCATTGATATATTAAATAGACATTTTGTAATTATAATGGTTTTAATGACTTGTTACCTGTAAGCTTTAAGCTTTAGCTCCGTTTAAAATGCACTTCAAAAATTTTATAATAGCTCAACATTGCCAGAAAATAATTTCTATTCATAGTAGATGGGTAAGTGAAAGTTGTGTGTTGCGCGCACCAGATTTTTTAATTTAGAAAACTAAATATTGTCCAAGTAATAATTTATTAGGAGATCAGAGATCAATCAAAGAGATATTTCTTTATTTATTAAATTCACCTTAATCAATCCATAATATGTTCAGAAATCATTTGTATTAAATTTGAGTCACGTTTTGAAACATCAATTAAATAAGCTTAAAAATTATTTAAGTGATGAAAAGAATACACAATCAACTGCTTAATTTCATCTTCAAAACCTTTGTGCATGTAACAGATTTCAAAATATTTGGCAGTGAGAAAATAAAGGATTTAAAAGAAAATAATAGACTTCTAATATACCTCTTCCATAATTTATTAAAAAAATATTTACAAAGACCTCCATTATGTTGTTGAATATAAAAAAAATTATATAATAATATTTCTATAATTTAGTATATATTTGACTGCACCCCCGATCAACTCCTCATAAAAAAAAATTAACAATTATTGTATTATTCTTATCACATTTTTTAAAAATCTAATCTCCTTTTTACCATTAGTTTTAAAATATTAAAGCCTAGATGGAGAACCTCCAGTAATAATTATAGTCTCCCCAGTTAAGTAAGAGGCATCATCAGAACATAGAAATGCAACTGCACCAGTGATCTCACTCGGCTTCCCTAACCTGCAATTGTGAAAATATAAACAATCAAACTGGAAAAATAAAAATTAGATACCGATATTGGTTTAAAATCAATGAATAACCAACCTCCTCAATGGAATGCTCTGCAATATGGTTTCTTTGATATCCTCTGTATCTGTCAACTAATCATAAAAAGGAAAACATTAATGGATATGTTTTAAAAATAGTTATGTTAATACATTTTACTTTTATGTCTGTGGATGAATCAAATACTAATGGTAACACTCAGTAAACAGCTGTGCTCTGTATTCCTAAGGTATTTGCCTGATGCATTAACTATTAACCTTAAAGTCAATAAGCAATAAAGGCTTTAACCCTTCAGAATTGTTAACCATTTGAAAGTTTGGGAACTATACTTCCAGGATTGAATGTACATGTCGGCCAGAGAATTTAATGGTAGGGAAGAAAAATTAAAAATGAAAGTCATAATCAACACCCAATGATATAAATCTATCAGATAACAACACTCATATCATTTGAACGCTTATTGCTAGTTCACTGTAGAAGAAACCTGAACAGCAGTTTATGGGAAGCTGAATCCATTATCAATGATCATCTTGGCTTCAGAAAAGACTTGATGAGTTGTTGACTGGTATAAAAATAAAGCGAGATTTAAGATCAATGAGAAATTTCTGAAATAATTTGATAAGGCATATATTTTTTGAGGTGCATCATCACATGTGATGGAAGGTTGATCCACTTTTACACTCATTCATCAGAGGATATATAATTTTAATTAACACCGTTGATTACTAACAGGTTTAACGCCTTTACTGTACAACAACTAACCATAACACTCCAAAGTATCAATTCGACAAATATAGGATTACCGCAAGAATAATCCTTGCTTTAGTTGGCTCAAATAAACAAATATAACAATAATGTTTTAATAGTCCTGAAAAATCATAGAAGAATTTTCGTTCTTCATTTCGCAAAGTGTATGTTTATGTTGTTCAACCCTTATATATAATTTTGTTCATAGTTCAAGTGATTCGTTCATAGTTTTAATTGTTTTGTTCATAATTTTAAATGCTCTGTACTTAGTTTTATCTGTATTGTATATAGCTTGTGCACCTAAGGTTTTCTTTACTTTTTATTTTATTTTATCAATTTTTTTTATTGTTTCAAACGTTTAGGCCAATAATATTCTATTATTTTGTACATTATTGTTATTCTGAAGGGACTTAGTCCCAGAATAAAGTTTTTTTTCTAAAAAAAAAAAGAATACTCACAGCTGAGGAAAATTTAGTCTGGATAATTCCGGGAGCAATACAATTAACTCGAATGTTCTCTTTAGCTAGGTCTGCAGCTCCTGCTTTAGTCAGCCCAAGCAGGGCTGTCTTGCTCACTGAATATGCTCCAAGTAGCTAAACATAAAAATAAAAAAACTGTTTAGTTATACAACTTTAATATGAATATAAGTAAACAACTTAAGGAAAACCCTTGTGGGTGGAACTTGTGAAGGAAGATTACACTCAACCCTTGTGAAATAAACCATCTTTAATAAATGGTCTTCTAAACTATAACATATTGAATTCCTATTATCATGTGCACCAATTTGTATGTTTTTTATCTATATCTGATATTTCTATTCACACGACTTCATAACTGCTTTAGGTGTAAAATGTTATATACAATTTTTGATTATATCTTGGCTAATATTGATTGAGTAATGTTTTTTGTTTAGTTTTGTAGACAATCTAATTATCTTTCAAATGAATATCGGAAGATTCCAGAAGAAAAGATAGTTATTGCAAAAAAAAAAAGATTGGAGAAAAACTCCATTTTGATTTTTATTCAGTCTCCAATCTGTTTAGCTTTAAGAGTGAATTTTTTTTTCAGAAATAAGGAATATATGAGGACTGGTTTTACTTTCCTACCTATACTAGGTAAGGAAAGTATTGCAATTGGGTCAAATTTCCGACCCAATGCGAAATGCGGTTTCGACGGATCTATATGTTTCAGAGCCCCCTGAGTCCGAAAAACACATTTTTAGCCATTGGTCTGTCTGTCTGCCTGTGAAATTCCCTACAAAGCCATATAAAAATCGTTCATTATGGACAACTATTAACGAAGTTACAACTATTCAATTTCCAATGTAAGATTACGGTTTCATATCCTGGTGTCAGAACGGTGTGAATGAGAGAATAAAGATGACTAAATGAAAGTAAGAAAATCTGTTGCTCGCATCACACAATCTTCATTATTTCCTCTACTTTTAACAGAAATTATTCTTTGACAATACTAAGCTATGCCAAAAAGTTTTTGATCAGCGATATTAGGAAGTATTGAAATTTTTACACTGATCTACCTTAATTTACATTGGTTTAGTTTATCAATTAAATCGAACTCAAAACTTATGTTTGATCAATTTTCAGGAAAATGTATCTAGTTCAATTCTTTTTTGTTTCTTGATGAACATATGTAAAGATATAAAAACTTTTCTGAAATATGTAGGAAAGTCGTGTGAGTGGACACACCAGATATTTTAATATTCAAAACCCAAATTAGCTTTCTTTGATGACAACAGATTCCTATGGGATCTCATAGCAACTAGCACAAAAAATAAAACCAAGCGGAAATAGAAAGCATTTTTTGAGTCCAGCTAGAAATTTTGAAAAGTAGACAAATGATCTAAAAGCTTCCAATCTAGTGGACAAGATAGTTCTATCTTGAAGTACAGTTATGTGTTAAATTAATGAAATGGCAAAAATGAGCTAGCTTATAAACAATTTCTAATCTTTGATTACCAAATATTTTTCTTCTACTTTAGATAAAAGTTACAATAAATTATCTGCTTCGATATTTGTTTACATTTGTATGGACTATCAGAATCTTGAAACAATTGAAGAGATTGAACTCTGTCCACATTGATAACTGAAAAGGATGAGTTAAAGAGCTAGTAGTCACTGCCAAATAGAAAAAACTGACAAATTTTTCTTAAAACCAACTGTCTTATTTCCCTTGCATGTAAAACCGAGAGTGTTCTAGTTAAAGATGGTCCAAAGAAGGCAAAGGAAAATATTAAATTAGTTTTATCTTCACTAAAACTCTTCAAAACCAGATTTTCTAATTTTGTGAGAAAAAAATACTTTTAGGTTATCTTTATCATTCTCCTTACAATTAACTCTTCAAAATTGCAACATTATTCCCCAGGAATTTAAATCACATTAGCCTACAAAACAAACAATTTAGTGTTAACATCAAAGTTTGCTGAGATTATAACTAAAACTTGATCACCGAATTATCTGGAGTTCATGAAGCCTTCATTGTGGTCAATTACCTAAGAAACCAGGGCTGCCCCTTAAGTCAGGAGTCACTTGTCTATTGTCAAAGCAACCTTCCTCAACATAATTCTTATTAATTAAAGCACTCAGTTCATTGTCTTTTCTTGTAGCCAAAAATAACTATCAAGATGAACACACTGGCAAATCTTGAATATTGGGGCAGCAGAAGACATTCAATTTTTTACTCTCCAGCTAAAAGGATTATCTTGGAAAATCTAACTATCTTTAAGCCATTTTTTGGATCACTTAATTGCTGAAATGCCCAGTGGTGGAAAAAATAAAAGAAGTGAAAATGGACCACAAGAACATCTTAAGGTATTACTTAAATAGCTGGTCGAGACAAAATCTCCGTTGTTATCTAATGTTATATCACATAACCTCTCTTCTTATCTCGAGTTATTCCATCATTTATTTTTGTTCCATTAGTGTGATTTTTGTCAAATTATATTACATTATGGGAATTGCCTTCTTTAGAAGAAGAAGCTATCAAATATTTTCAGTACACGGGAATAATTGTTTTGTTATTTTTTACATTAGTTTTCGTCTATTTAATATATATGTTGTAAAATAAAAGTATTTAATCAAAATTTTTTGTAATTATTACAATTCTTTTCATCTATTTAACATATATCAATGCCTGGGCAAGTCTGAAAACTCAGGCCATTATTATAGGTTCCAGTTCTATTCTTAAATCCATCTCCTTCCTTCCTCCTTTCGTCATCAACGATCATCCTATCACATTCAGCTCCTCCGTTAAAACCTAGGAATCACCATAAACGAAAACCTCTCATGGAAACCCCATATTGCCCTCATCTCCCGTAAGTCAATAAGTGCCCTTAAGCTATTCCATCGCTCCCGCCACCTACTCCCACAACCCATCCGCAAGCTCTTTGTACCCTCTCTTATTTTCCCCCACTTTGACTATGGCTGTGTGGTGTACGGAGGCATCCTGATGGTACTCGAGGATAGATTGAAGCGACTCATGAATACCTGCTTAAGATTTGTCTTCGGTACATCGAGGCGGTCTCATGTGTCCCACCTTTACGACGAGTTAAAGTGGCTCTTCCCTTCTTTCCGTAGACAATATTTCCTTGGATCTTTCCTGTTCCAAACGAACAACACCCGAAACCCTTCCTACATCTACAGTCTCCTACAGTTTAAACCCGCAGTCCACTCTCAGAAAACAAGATCCCGTGTTTCCGACCTTTATATCCCTTCCCATAGAACTAAGACGTTTTAATATTCCTTTATTGCCCGATCCACTGCCTTCTGGAATTCCTTGCCATCTGATATCCGCCATGCCTCTTCCTTGTCTTCATTTAAATATCATCTTTAGCAATTCCTTCTCACATCCCAAAATGACGTTATACAATCAATAAATATTGCGAAACAGATTTTGACTGAGGTGAATGGTGTTTAAAATTGATTGAGTTTTAATTTTAAAAATCAACCCATGTTTATTTTATTTTGTTTTCTCTTCATTTAAATAATGTTTTTTATTTTGTTTTGTTTTTTTCAAAATGGTGTTATTTTTACTTGTTTTAATTTAATTTTACTGAAGATACTGTATATATTCTTTAATATTGACTAATGTAATTTTTGGCCAGATGTAGTTTTTATTTTTTTTGTTCATATCTGTTATTCATAAGGGACCTCATCCCAGAATAAAGTTTACTTTCTATCTATCTATCTATATATTTTTTTATTACATTTGTTTTTGTTTACAATTTCAAAAATATGAATACAAAGATAGGAATTATCAGTGCCTTATCAGAATTATCGGTGTTAAGATTATAAACATTGGCAGATCACAGTCGAACCCGACCAGCTATTTAAGGAGTACCCATCTTAAATGCATTGTTTTTAAACCGAAGAATTTAGATAGTATCAAGAGATGCTATCTTTCAAGAATTTATACACTAAAAGAAACTAAAATAAAGCAAGATTTGTTATTACTGATATTGGATGAAATCCTGCTATTGAAGATATGTAGACAATTGAACCACTACCAGCTTTTTTCATTAAGGGAATGGCTTCTTTAGACAGCATAAAAGCACATTTAACGTTAATTTCAAAAATTTTATCCCACACTTCTTCAGGGCACTATAAAATAAAAATGTATCAATTATTGAATAAAATCAAAATAAAATATGACAATTGTCTAACCAATTAAAATAGTAATTCAATAAATTATTTAGAGAATCATTTAAAAAATCGGTGAAACAAAATTACTACTTACATCGAATACGTCTCCAACAGCAGGATTTACAGCTGCATTAGAGACAAGGATGTCAAGATGGCCAAATTTATCCTCAACCTATTCATAACATTTATTTTATTAGCAACGCTGATTAAGATAAAAATTTTAACTTAACCATAATTACACTATTACTCCTAAAATAGTCTTTGAAAATGCAGATCAGTCAATAGCATGAATTCATTATTATGAATTAATATGTAAGGGCCTAGGAACATCAAACTCAGCTCAGGCTTTGACTACCCCTTAAAATATTTATAAAAATAAATATGGAGTTCCATTAAGTTACATGCAAAATAAAGGAATATTCCTACATTATAATAAATTAACCACAATTCAGGGAGTAAATGAGAGATTAATTTAAGAGCATTATTTTAAAACTGGACTTCATTCAAGAAATAATTGAGGGCAAACAAAAGGCTTAGGAAAAATAAATGATTCAACAAACCAATTTAAAAAGAGATTCTCTGTCTTCTTTTTTTGCCACATGACATGGAATTCCAAATGTCTTTTTAAGTCCTGCACTATGCAGCTCACTTAATGCCTTCTGTACATTTTTCTCCTTCCTACTACTTATGACTACATTTGCTCCTTCTTCTGCCAGCCTCTTTGCAATAGCAAATCCGATCCTTAAAAGAAGATCTCATGGTAAAACAAACCAGATTTACTTCTTACATCACAATATAGTATTAATCATTCCATCTAACCCATCAGTGGATGCTGTCACAATAGCCACCTTATCCTGAAGTCTCGTTATTCCACTAGACATGGCTCTAGTCGCTAAAGCTTGACCTGAATAATTAAGTAATTTGAATGCTGACATCATGATGACTAGATAAATATCAAGCCCCAATGATTGTTTTTATTGTAATGAGTTATCATTACTGATAACAAAATGAGATAACGTTCGTGAATGAACCGTCGATGACTAGCAGGAAGGTCGTTTTCCAAACTTTGAGCCCCATCTTGAGTGTTATTAGTTATTTAACACACTTGAAATCTATATTTAAATCTCAAACTCACTAGTTTGCCTAAACAATTTGTTTTAATAATTCCTTCTATCCACAACCACTAAATTTCAAGAAAATATTTGATTTATTAAACTGAGGAAGGAAACAAATTGATTTGTTGTAGTAGGTCACTTTCTCCAGTCGAAATCTGTAATCTACCAATGACTGAGAATTGGTAATGAAGGTATCTATGATTTTAAATATTTGACCAGTATGGATATATATTCTAATGAATTATTCTTTTTTAGAATTTGCTATATACAGTATAGAACTCTTCCTTTTTCACCTCTCAACAGCAAAGGATTTTGAGAAACGAGGTGTTAAAGAAACCGAATATCAAGAAAAAATAATGAATCCCGGTTCGAGTGATATAACAAACCTTCATGAAAAGTGTTGATACTAAGTGGCCGTGAAACTTGATACTCAACAACTTTATTTTAATAGGGTTTTCTTATGAATCTCGTTTCCAAGCTGCAGAATCATTATAGTAATTTGGCTCAGTTTTTGACAAATTAGGTAAAAATCAGCATTCGTTCACCGTGGTTATCGACCATGCCACTTAACCTAATTATTATTTTTTTTTATTATTTATTTATTAAGTATTACAACAATCTGTCTCTTTGGCATTGGTTATAGCGAGGTAAACCAAATTATTAAGTTTAGATACTCCTTCGAGGAACAGATTAATCGTCCTTTAATTTCTTAAAGAATATGTTTTTCGCTTCGATGCATCGTTTAGTTGTTATGGGTGAAAAACCAAATAAAGTTTTCCTTTAGTGGCCCACATTAGCAAGTTTGTTTTTTTACATATTTGAACCCCCATGTATACAAGTTAAGAAATGAAAAACTTTTCCGTTTCGATCTTAAGTTACTGGAATAAAATTCTTAATATTAGTCAATATTTTGTTTACAGCAATGCTTCTGGATTCGGTAGACAAGACTCATTTTACTTAGAATGAAATACACTTTCGTAATTTACATTCAAACCTTTGCCTCCGATGAGGGTCACAATTTGGATCCTGGCTCCAGGGCTAATAGTAATCTCAGATTATAGCAAGATTTAGCGCTCATCCAGTGAAAGCTGCAACATACTAGAGAGAAAAAAAAGAAAATTGGATTAAGGAAACAGAATTTAAACTATCAGTTTCGAAATCCAAAAGTATTAATTTTTGCGGACAACGAAAATATCATCTTAAGCCTCAAGTTGTATAAGGAGGTTCAATTATCGATTATGTCGAAAAATATTAATACTTGGAAATAATAAAAGGTTACTTGTGTTCGTCATATAAAACATTTAAGAGATGAATGCATAAAAAGGCCTGGACTTCTGGCTTGTTCACACTTTCCTTAAAATATAGCTTAGTGTAATTAGGAGTAAAATTGAATATGGGGCCCAAATATATGAAACAGGCAATTCTAATATTAAAAATGCTAAATTCCACCGACACTTTGGCTCTTAGAATCTGTGCAAGAGCTTTCCAATCTTTTCCTGTTGAATGTATATAAGCCGAATCTGGAAAGCCATCTTTAGATACGAGAAGAGAATATTTATCTATAAAATATTTCTAAAAATTGAAAGCACACCCACAACACCTCTTAGGTACAAAACTTGTGAGGAATGTGACATGTGAGGACTTAAGGACATAAGGGAAAGCACACATAAATAGCCGGTTTATAAAACACTACACAGGGTGTTTCGTAATTGCACGGCACTATTTTAGGTATGTGTTCCCTAACACAAAGTAAACATGAAAGTTCATATTAACATATATCTCAAACTCATTTATAAAACAGATATCAAAGGTTAAAGATTTATTATTTATTTACTACATTAAGACTGCCTGTACAAAGTTTAATGTGTTTGATACTAAATAACAGGTTTTAATCACCTGATAAACAAATAAACCAACAATGGCGAGTCTAGTTCTGTGTGTTTTAGTGTGAGTGAATAATATGACACAGTTCAATTTATGATTATCATGGGAAACACCATAAATTTATTCACTTTTGCAGGACAAACAGACATGCTTTTAACTTATGGCGAGTTACATAGAAACGGTGCTGCTGCTGTTCGAAGAAATCGTGAAAAATTTTCTAACCGAAGAATAACAAATCGTGAACGTCGGTCGACAAAGATTTCGACGAACTGCAAACGTCGAAGAAGAAATGCTTGATGTTGTTCAGTTATCTCCGACTACTAGTACCAGAAGATTGTCTCGTCGTTTCGATGTTTCCTCCACCAGCGCATGGCGAACTTTACGGGGACAACAATTGTATCCGTTTCACTTATCCACTAGGCAAGATTTGTTATCACAAGAAATTTCTCTCAGTTGTTAATTCGACAATGCACACGAGATCCTAACTTCCTAAACTACATTTTGGTTATTGATGAATCTTGCTTTACAAGAAACGAGATTCTTAATTTTCCAAATACCCATACTTGGGCTGAAGAAAACCCTCATACGACTGCTGTTAGACATTACCAACATTCATTTTCTTTAAATATCTGGTGTAGTCTTCTGAGCGACATCATCGGCCCCTTCTTTTTGCCACATAGGCACCTGTCAGGGTTATCTTACTTGCAATTTTTGCAAAATAATATTTATGAACTCCTACAAGATATTCTGCTAGGCATTAGGCAGAGGCTGTGGTTTATGGACGACGGTGCTCCAGCTCACTTTCCTAATATTGTCACTTATTATGTAAATGCAACTTATGGAGACCAATGGGTTGGTCGAAACGGGCCTGTTAATGACACCACGATCTCCGGATTTAACGCCATTAGATTATTTAGTATGAGGCTGGATTAAGTCTATCGTTTATTCTGCGGCAGTTGACAGGCAAGAAGAGCTAAGAAAACGGATCATGGAAGCGGCAGTAGCTATCAAGCACCATCCTGATGCTATGAGAAGCATGGATAACTCTTGCCTGAATGTTGCATTCAACAAAAGGAGGACCCTTAGAACAGTTACTCTAAATGTTTTTAATAACAATAAATCTTTAACCTTTGATATCTGTTTAATAAATGAGTTTCAGATATATGTTAATATGAACTTTTTTGTTTATTTTGTGTTAGTGGAACACACTTAAAATAGTGCTGTGCAATTATGAAACACCTTGTATAATGTGAACATGGATTTGAACACAATTATATGTGGGGTTTAGGGATGGATATCTTTATGGATTTCTTATTACAATAAATATAGACAGACTATTGACATATGACAGATTTACCAGAGTAACCACTAGAAATCCAAAATATTTTTTTCAATTATTAGAAAGATACAAAGGTTTTTGTCATATACATATAATGATGCCTCCAAAGTGGAAAATAGTGTTGATTGCACTGCCTATGCTAATGAAAACCAATACCACATTCTGTTTAATTTACCAGGAGAAAGGAGCATATTCACTGAAGAAATAACTGCGATTATGAAGACCCTCCATTGGATATTAAGTTCCAAAGAGAATAATTAGATGATATGAACAGACCCCAATAGTGTCATGGCAGCAATTGGTAGCCCATGACCAAACAACTCCCTAACCAGAAAAATATTAAACCTAAGGTCGGAGTTGAAAAAATAGAAGTGAGTATAGTCATTGTCCGGATCCGCCTCATTGTGGTATCTCAGGTAATGCAAAAGCGGACCAAGCTGCTGATTTAGTGAGGAAGGGAGAGGTACCAATCACAACTGCTATTATTAATATCACAGAAGATAGGTAAATGAGTAAAAAAAAAAGAAGATATTAGTAAATTGAGCAAATAAATAGAAAATTAAACAGTCTAAACTATTAGAAATTAAAACGGAGTGCAACAAATAGACTAAAAACATGATCAAATCAAGAAGAAATGAAATCATATTGTGCCGTGATTTTCACAATACGGATTGAACACTGCCTGTTTACACAAGAGTATCTTGTTAGAGGCCCAGAAGCACCCTCATGCCAAAAATATGGTAATAGACCACAGTCAGTCAAACATCAATTGCAAAAAAAAAAAAAAAATCCACAGCGAGAGTAAAGACAGTCACCACTCTGTTTCAATACTTAATAGAAACAATGTGTTATAATAGAGTATAAAAACTCACTGCCAATGATCCTATAGGGTAGAGGCAATTACAAATCCCCACATATATTATTACAGTAAGGCTCGAAATCGGTTTGTACCAAATATAAACTCCTTTCATGCTCAAATACCACGAATGGGGTACCGTTGCATTCAGAATTTCACGGGGGGTTAGCGAATCGTATTCTCCACTTTTATTTTTCTTTCTAAAATAAATAAAGTCGATACAAACATTTTTCTGGGCTTCAATACTGGGACGGCGGTAGGTCTGTAGATCGATACGGGACAAATTGGATCTTGAAGATTTTGATGGTACAGCAAGACCCTGATATTTCCTCGGAACTATCGGATCCTGCGTTTTAAGCCCAAAAACGTACTATTTTCGGGATAACGCAAGGCATAGGGTTCTCATCCACACAACCTTACGTTAATTGTAATACTGTCATTGAATACATGTCTCATTTCGTCGATTTGAGGTCTCTATGATTGAGAGAGGAATTTATATTATTTATGATGGTGTTTTTGATCAGGAAGCCATATCATCGTTAATTATTCACCAAATCTCAAGATTGAGCCACCTATTTCGAAGGTTTCCTTCTCCTTCAGGGGGGGCAAAATAGTCCAATCACCTCGAAATTCAGGCAAACAAGTTATGAAAGAAAACAAATTTTATTTGCGAATAACCGGAAAATTACGCACTTTTCCCTTGGTTATGCCCATGATTTTATAAAAGATTACTAAATTCTCTACAAAATGAAAAAAAAAATCATCGAAATCGGACAATTTTTAGCAAAGACACAGCTTACTGAAATTTGTAAACATGTTGGTTCCAAACAAAGATAAAGATTTAAATTAATTTTTGTTTCCTTTTCGATTATATTTATCGATAAAGTAACAACTGATTTCTTTATCTTTTGATGCCTTGCACTATTTTCTTTTCTTATTAATTTGGCATTTGATAACAATATACTGTGCGAATTTTTCGCACCAGCCTACTAGTAGAAAAAAATCTGAAAAGGTAGACTTAAAACAACCAGGAAGGTCTATGTCAATATATAAAAAACATACATGAACAAATTTATTTCAAAACTCTGCACAGTTTATATACTACATATTAATAAATTCACTTGGTGTTAAAGAAAAGTAGGAAAAAATAAATAGTAATAAAAATAACTTTTAAGTTTTATTTTATAATATAATAAAATAATTTATTAACATTGCAATTAATTATATACAAGTTATGTACAATAGAAATAAATTTCAATTAATTATACCATACAGGTATAGGTTTATGAATTAATAATATTATAGAAAAATATAATACAAAATAGTAATAAATTGTTGGCTTTTCTTTCTGTTTTCATTTTGATCTAAAAACTTCTTTAATATGTTATTTTATGGTAAGATTGGTTTTAAACCCCATTGCCTGTTTCATTGTTTGATGAAGATCTGAAAATGAAAATAAATCACTCCAGTTAATTTTAACATTAGATATAAGAAACATTTGTTCAAAACCAAAAAATCCATTTGAACATATAACCATTATAATAAATAATTATGCAATATAATTTATAAATTAAAACCCTAAATTTTATTATTGACTTGGCCAGTTGGAACTTCGCAAAAAAATTAATAAATAAATAAAAATAAAATAAAGTGAAAAACCATTTACTTCAAAAATTAGTACTTCACTCTAGAAGACAGAAATAATAATAATAATAAGATATTCAAAATTATCGTGCTTAAGTGTAATTCAATTTAATGTAATTGTAAACATAAAGAAAAATTGAACACGTGGTATTATTCCATAATATGTCTTTTTAAAATTTTCATTTGAATTATCCTTCATGATTAAAAAATAATGAATTGATAAGTTGTTAGGTAAAGAGTACAGAAAGCTGCATTGACAGAGTTCTTTTAAAATAACGTTGTATTATATATCTTTGGAAATTATAGAAAGGCTACATTTACATATATGGGTTAACAGTCAAGCAGGCGCCAATTTATTTGTTTTCCAAAATTTTTCATTGTCAATAATAATAAAAAAAATAATTAATTATTAAAATTAAAGTGTATTTAATAAATAAACTAAAAATGTATACAAAATATAAATATAATTTATCAGAATTATCAATGCTAAAGATATGTGATATACGCACTACAATTTAATAATCAGCCTTCTTAATTTGGTGAAAATGATCATAGCGATCTGAAACAATAAAATAAGAAATAGGCATATGAGTACTAGAGAGAAGTACAATAAACTTGTAACAATGCTCACAATATTTAGTGAACAACAACACTGTGTATGTAATGCAGTTACCGACAGCTATGTTGACCGTTGTCACTGGTTTGATAAAGCAGGCAAAATTTTGCCTATGGGCACAAGTGACCTTACTCCAGACAAAATGGAACTAATGGCCGCAGGCTTGGGGATCCAAGCTGTCCATGATTTTATAAATTCGTTTTAACTCTTTAGAATATTGGAGTAAGTAAAAATTTAAAATTAAACAGATGATATATTCTATGACTAACTAATTTCCGTTAACAGTTCAGTTGAAAATTGAACTCGGATTTTCTCTCATCAATATATTATGAAAAAAATGGCAATACTCAAGGCTAAATATAAACTGAAAAGGAATCAACTATCAAAAAATATATTTCAAAAGAGTAAAGTATATGTTAATTGAAAGCCATCCTGTCTGCCATTTGTAATTTTGTAATCAATATTAAATAAAACTTTCTTAGAAGCAATTGATATTTCGATAGTATTCACTTAAAAAATTATAACAAGAATTCATGATCTAAATGTTTGGAGTAGGGATGGGTCGTTACAGATTTTTAGTGTGCCCGTTCCAATCCATTCCATTCTCCAAATGGAACTGTTCCAAATTATCAATACCGTTCCAAAGCCTTTACTCCAAAAATTTACAACCTAGGCATAGGAGATAGTCGATAGTTTTCCACTATCGATGAAAAATTAGTGGCAGTATCGATAGTTTTCCACTATCAATGAAAAACTAGTGGTAGTATCGATAGTTCAGCGACTTCCCACCACAGACTAAAGGAAGATTTACTTGCGCTCTATTATTTGTTCATTTACTTTAAAATGTTGCATAAGCTTCAATTTAATTAATATAACGTTTATGTGAAATGTAACATTAATATGAAATAAAACATTTAAAATTATAAATTTTATATTTCGATTTTTACAAGATTCAAAATCCAGTTATATGGTTACAGTCATATTGCAAATAATCTAAAGAAAGCAAAGAAAATTAATCAAAATTAAAGAAAAGAAACCTAAAAGTAACGTCAGTAAAGAAAACTAATTACAAGGATAAATGTTGGTGTCTAAAAATGCGATTTTTTTTCTCATAAAATTGTAGAAGTAATAGTAACAAGTACTAATATAATTTTAATGATATAAACAAATTTTTAAAGGATTCGGTTCTATATGTTTTGGCTTCTTCGTTGCAACATCATTTATATATTTCGAAACAGAATTATTAAGAAGAAATCAATATAAGTCAATTAATAATTAAAGGCAAAGTATTTTACAAATTACAACATTTTTTTCATTTTTAAAAATAATATATATTGTTACAAATGCTTTTAAAAAAATATGTACAGAACAAAATTAGTAGAAATGTAGATGCTACTTATGGTAATGTACCATTGCATGTTAAAATAAAAATGTAAAAACTTTCATGCACTCCTGTTTTTAGGATAATTAGGATTACCAAATTTTGTGTGTTGTTTTTGTGGTTTTAAACATTTCAGAACTATAATTATTTAATATTTTCGTAAATAAGTTTATTTTTAAAATAGTGAAAGAGATAATTATTTAAATAACAGGAGTTCCATTTCTCCGTTCCTTATTTAACCGTCCTCCCCACTCCTTATCGATCCAGCTGGAACAGAATTGCCAACCGTTCCTCCCCACTCCTTATCGATCCAGCTGGAACAGAATTGGAACGGGTCTGGAACGATTTGCCAACTGTTCCTCCGTTCCTTATCGAACCGGCGGCATAAATAATTCTCAGTCGTTGGAACAGTGCCGTTCCGTTCCACAGTGAGATTAAGTTCCCGTTCCCGATCCAGTTCCATTGACCCATCCCTAGTTTGGAGTATAATGTTCGATAAAATAGCTAACCGTTGACTGAGGCAACATCTAAGTTATAATATAATAATAAAATATAATATAAATTAAGGCTTACACCGGCTGTCTCAGTTCTTAATGGCCGAAATCTGAGGGGAGGGGAGGAAGGAAATTTCCAACAAAAAAGTTCATTATGCATGGACTGACCGATTTTGAAGAGAAAAGAAGTGTCCAATTTTTGTGTATTCTTAAGGTGTTCACATTTTCTCTTTCATAGAAAGCAATTACTCAAAAATTATTTAATTTAGGTAGTTAGGAGTAGCTTAAAGTAAACTAGACAAAATTTCCTTTAAATAAAAACTTGAGTTTGTCTTCATGAAAATCATTTAAAGTAAAAGTAGACTTCAACTACGTAGAGGTTAAACAACGCTAAGTTTTGTTTTTATTAATCATTGATTATTCGTGATATTTTTTTTAACTTCTTACAACAGGATTACAGACATCCCACTTTTATAAAAAGTTTATATATATATATTACTTATTTTTATTGAATAATATAACATTCTATCACAGTAATAAGAATAGTTAACATAAGAAAACAGTTTATTCACACCAAAGAAATTATTGATAGCACAATACCTGTCATTTATTGCTTCAGCTTTGTGGAGATGGAATTCAGAGATAAAAACGTCTACTAAATGAGTATTCAAGGTTTTGATCGCCTGTTCGTATATTCTTGAAACCACATCAGGTTTTCCAAATTTTGATTCGTATTTGACATACCACATCCAAACATCTTTAAAAATAATTTTAATGAATCAATGTTACAAAATATTTTTTAAAAAAAACTTTTAAATTAATCCACAAAATAAAAATAAAACAAACCTGTATTTGTTTTGCCAAATTGGTTTACAGCTGTTTCAAAAACCACTCGAGAATTTTTTTGACTAACTTTTGGCTGTGCATCCTCCAGCTTGTACATAGCCTCATGAAGTCCAAGTGAAAAGGGAGGTGTCATTGCCAGAATTACATATGCTCTCCTTGCAACCTCTACAATAGTTTTATATTTATGCGATTATAAAAATATTCACCTTTAATTTTATATTAAAATTATAAATTGTATTAATTAGTTATTATATCTCTCAATTAAATAAAAAAAATGTTAATGTATGTTATATTTTATTTTATTTTAGTATTAAAAGCACTAAGAGGTTATACAGGAGCTCTCCTATTAGCACTATAATTAGCACAAATTACGCAGCTGTTCATTTAATTACATATGTGTTGAGCTCTTGTAACCTACTACTTTTCTAATATAAAATAAAGATTTTAGACTAAAAATTTATGAGGAAAATGGTATTTATTCATCTGGAGGTGGTAGTTTGATTTTACCTAGGTGGCAGCAGTTATTTTTCAATCTAGACATTTCCCTTTGAATACAATATATTAATCATTAAATTATATTATGATGTAATTATAATTATTATGAAATAGAAAAGGAAGCACAATATAAGAAACAACGAAAATATTATAAATAAAAGTATCAAATTATTGTTGGGTTTATATGAAGCCGTACAAGTTGAATATATATTATGGTTATAAATACAAAGATTTTTAAAGAAATGAAAAACTTGTATGAACTGTGGTTTCGTTCAGTCTCTTCTTCATTCTGAGCTACAGAATACATTTAAATTACAGTTATACAATTTCAGCAATGGGTAGTACAATTAAATGAACAGTTCTATAATTCGTAAAATGGAGGTTGGTCCACCGTTAGGCAAATAGGGGGAACCCCCAAGTTTTTCATAAATATATACACTGCATAATTCTATTAGATAGTCTGCCTAGCAATACAATAGTTTCATTAGTAAAGAATATTACTTACTGATTCCTCTAGTCATGGACAACCATTCGATATATCGTCCTTTGAGAGCTGCACCAACGATGGGATTGTTTACACCTTCTTCCCACAAACTTTCAGCCTAAAGCGAATATGTAATCATTATTTTATCAAAACAAAATACAGAAATAAGTCAAAATTCTTTTAGGAATAAGTGATAACAATACTTTCTTATTTCATTCTTTAATATAAATATTTAATGCATGTTTGTTTTGACATCTCGGAGTCTTTTTTTTTTTTTTTTTTTTCCTACCTCGCCTTTTAGGTTATACGGAATTTTCCTGGACCACAGGGTGAAGGCGGGGAATTTAAAATCCCCTCTGGGACCGGGACGCGAACTCGTGACTATTTTCATATCATAGAATCATATATCCGGTTGCCGGACAACAGCGGTGCAGTGCAGCCCATTCGGCCACCCCGCCTTCATCTCGGGGTCTACACTGGTCAATACATTTAACCTTCCTTGTTTAGCCAATTACATTTTAATATCATCCGATAATTAATCTCATCAATCTTAACAACCTTAAAAAATAAACTAAAAAACATTTTCCAAAGATTGTTATTTCTCTATGAGGTCAATGTGTCAATGAAATCCTGTGGCAAATCTTGAAAAAAGTTTCGGAAGAGTCAGAAGGAATATAAATTAAGTATTCTTATTAATAAAAAAACATGTACCACTACAACCCATGAAGGGTCTTGGGTACAATATTATGTAGAGAAAGCACTGTTTCTTGGTCTACGGTTGTGCAAGGAGGTGATTTGACCAAGATCACGCTCAACCACCAGGTTTTTCTCCTTAATTATTTTAATTAAGCGTACCCACTTAATAGAGGCTAGGTGTGCCCCAGGAGGGTCTACCTACCCAGGGTTGTAAATAATTTGAGGAGTTGATCGGGGGGTGCAGACAAATAAAAAAATAGTCTTAATTAGTTAATTTAATACTATTTCTATAATTCATTATTTATTTGACCATACCCCCGATCAACTCCTTCTCATATTATATCACGGTCAACCATCTCTACACCAAAATAAACAATCGTTCTGCCATGAGCCGGGATTCGAACCTGGCACCTTTAGCATTGGAAACTCAGTGCCCTACCACTAAGCTACCCCACTCCCAAGTATTCTTATTAAACAGTGAAATAAGAAAGAATTTTAATCACTTGTTACCACAAAAAGGTATAATTATTCTTCTGGTTAACAAACAACTTACGAGATCAGAATTGTAAGAAATTGCAATTAGGAACTTAAGAATCAACCCTAATTTACATAAATAATGTGACATGGAGCCATAACCACTGCATCGTACCGTATGTTGTAAATTTGTAATTTAATTTTTAATGACACTAGTGATTGAATTACTTTAAAATAAAGATTAATCATTTATAAATGTCAAGCCAGGACATGAAAATTGTTTAAGGTTGGCAAGATAAATCCCACAGAAAGATCCTAACAAACTTGGGAGGAAGGATTACAGGAATATTAAGTTGATAAATTGTTTTGTAAATTTCATCTTTGGGATCCCAAGAGAGGTCACTGTCTCCCTTATTTATGAAGAGTTGAAGTGGCTTTATCCAGCCTAAAATTATAAGTACTCCCTGGCATGCTTTCTCTTCCAAGTTATCTAATCCAGCTTTCTATCATACATCTTCAAGCTCATTTAAGTATTCTGTCGAACTGTCGGGTAGCTATGAATAAAATTAATTTTTAAAATAGAATTTTTAGCAAAATTGATAGAACTTTTAAATAAAACCTAAACTTGAAAAGTCGCAAGGCAAAAAGTTCTAGTTCCAAAAGAACTGAATAAAAATTCCGATTATAGCGAAACTTTTTAAAAATAAAAGATTTTTTTCTGTTTCAAGCTCTGTCTGTATGGCACAATTTTTATATGAATTTATAGCATGAATGCCTCAGGACTGCCAATAACTGTTTTGTCTATTTTACTCAACAAATTTTATAACTACATTGTTTGTTAAAAAACAATTTTTTACAAATAATGATTAATCATATATGAATATATAAATTCCTAACCTTTTTAGTATCAATGATTTGGTAACACTTGAGGACCAGCAACCAGATATTGGCTTGATCTGGGATATTTGGGTTTGAGATGATCTCCTTAAACACAGCCATAGCTCCTTCTTCATCAGATTTGCTGAGATGATAGCGCAGTCTCCATGACCAAAGTTTACTACTTGACTCTAACCTCTCAGTTCCCCATTTCAGGATCTTGTAAGCATCAACATCTTCAACTTTCTTGAGCTAAAAAATTAAATCAAAATAGTATAATAAGTAATATGTTCTGAAGTACTGATGGATAATTTAAGGAAGAAAAGGTATGAGGAATATTTGGACTGAAATAGAGAAGGACTCTTGCTTCCGGATCATATCTAACAGTCGTCTAAAATTAAATATAAACAAAACCAAAGAAGAATCCTAAATGAAAAAATAATTGAATAATATTAAACTGGATGTAAACCAACACTGGGAGGAAATAGAGAAAGTTCTAAAAGGAACAGCTAAAGAAGAGATAGGTATTCAGGAGAAGCGAAAAGCTATGAAAGGGTTCACAGAAGCATGCAAAAAGGCAGTAGAGGAAAGAAGAAATATGAAAGTCCTTTGTCTAGCCACAACCGAGCAAGTTACTCTAGACAAGTAAACAGGTTAAGTACAAAGTTCAAACTGACTTATGGCAGGAAGATGGACAATCACCGATATTGTTTAACTTAGTGCTGCAGAAGGTGATAGAAAATCACATGAAAATGGAGAGGTGCACATCAGAATGAATTATAAAATCCTTCAATGATATAGCTGCCCTGCGGAAGTAATCAAGGGGACATTGAAAAGCTCGCCTAAGACTCTGATAAGATAAGCAGAACAAATCGGCTTACAAGTAAATGAAGACAAAACAAAATACATTATAATAAGCTGAAAATTCCACTCCAATAATACGGATCTGCATAGAGGGAAAATTGTTCCTGGGAGTGGGCAAGTTCAATTACCTCAATGAATATATATAATAATCTCAAACAGAGCTTTCTTCTCCTTTTCAAAGGTATTGAAATCAAGAAAAAGGAATACACATAGTAACATTTCTGCCTATCCAATTTTGCTATTATCAAACAAATTCTACATATGTACAAATTGGTATAATAGGTATTGACAAATCTTATTTAGTAAGATTATGAAATTCACATTTTAAGGTTTTGGCCAGGTAAATCAAACAAATTCTATACATGCATACCACAGTATAACAGGTTTTGATAAATTTGAATAAATTACACAATAAAATTCACGTAGCAATTAACCAACAAATTCTATATATCATCAGCACCAAATTAAAGTAACAAATGTTAACCTGCCCAATGTTTCACAGTTGTTACTTTAAAATGGTGATGACGAGATGAACAAAATAGTATGGTAGGTATTGACAAATATTATTGACTTACATTATAAAATTCATACCTTGATGTATTTATATATTAAAATAGTCTCTAATTTAAAAACAATAGTCACTAAGCCTAATTAATACACTACATACCCAAAGAAAATAGTGTTTTTCAGAAAGCATGTTTTCTCTGTGTGCAGCTTCAAAAGCATTCTTTAAACAATCTTTCTTAAATTCAGGCAGTGCAGCAGGGTCATCGTTTAGATTTAAAATGTAATCAAGATAAAGCGACCACATTTTTCTTGTTGGAACATTTTTCAATCCATCCTCATATACTGATATGCACTTCCTAAAACATACGATCAACGAAGTGTAAACAGACAGTTTTATAAGTAAAATTTCAATAAATACATTTTTATAAAATCATAACATGATATTATTTAGAATAAATAAGTCATTTAGATATTTTATTTTTAGTTCAATAAAAAAAGTTTTAATACTAAAAACTATAGCTTTTGGTTTATTATTTTCAATAATGAAACATTGTGATCGACCGAAAAATTCAAAAATATAACCCCCTCTCAAAATTTGAGGTTTCACGTTTCAAGGCGCGTAGAATTCGAAAAACGAATAAAAATTTTTTTGTCCGTCCGCCATCCATCCATTTTCTCCGAAACTACAGAACCGATTTTTTATTCAAATTTTGATATAAAATCAGAGGTCACCCGAGGATGATCCTCCTTCATCGACATTACTCTCCGCCTTTAACATTCAAAATGGTGGCTGAAAAACCTGTGTTGCTATAGACTGTAGCTCCTAAACTAATGTACAGATTTCAATGAAACTTCGCTAAAGTCATTTTATTGACGCCCTTTAAATTTATCTATATAACATACTTCAACGAAAAGAAGCTGGAAAAAAAGTGACGAGGGATGGTAAAATTAAATTCCGAATAACTCGAAAAGTTTTTACTTTTTTGTTGATATTGTGATGAGATGTTTCAAAGGTATTTAAATTGTCTAAAAAATGAAGGAAGTTTCATCGAAATTAAAGCATTATTAGTAGAGATATTGCGGTTTTTACATATTACTCCAAATGTCATATCCTTTGTTTGGTTTTTAAATTTTAAATGTGTTACTGAACTAATGCTATTTTTTTAGCATATTACTAATGATTAAAGAAAAACAGTTTAGTCCACTAATTGGAATCACCTTTTGTTTTTTTTTCTTTGTAACTCGGAAGGTAATGTTACTTTAGATGTATAATTGTTTGAAGATAATAAACCATTGTGAAATAATTTGCAGCGTTTTTTTTTTTACAATTACCCAGACCTGACTGTTGATGGTTTATAATGATTTTTTCTGCCAATTATATTAATGATCTACCACTATTCATTTATTATTTCTATATTCAGACTCGTTTCAAGAACTCATTAAAAAAAATTCTTGGGTTACAAAAAATAAGCTGAAGCTGTTTAAAATAAGACTAAAGGGATTTTAATAGGTTCATATAATCCTAGGTTTAAATACATATTATGTCATCTCCTAGAGATCTATCAGAAATCTTGGAGTCTTTTCTGAACAAACCATCTCATGGATAAAACATTCAACTATAATTTCCTGTCAAAACTTCACTACATTAAAACCTTTCCAAGTGATCTTTGTCACGATCTTCCATTTGAAACCTAACAGCTCCTAATAACTCCCCTCACTTCCGTTGATGATGTGATCTTATGGAAAGACTTAAATTGCTTTTCATCTTAAATTTTTTTCTCATTTCCCATTTTTATGCAGATGAGATATATCCTTCCTGGTTTTAAAAGTAGTATCTGGCAAACATATTATATTGATTTATTCAACCATTCTTTGAAATTCTTCTCTTTAAATCTTCTGTGGTAATTTAGTCCAAGTTTGAAAGAGGAGAGGCCAAATACCACAAAATGTTCCCAGTGTGTTTGTCAGTGAATAGCCTAGCTCAAATCGACTAACTGGAAGTGCCACTTTATATTGTCAATTTTATACATTTTTACAATTTTCTTGAAAATGGCTAGAACAATTTTGATTAAATTCATTAAATCAGTGTAAAATTAAGCGTTTTTTAAATATAATGTAGGTATTATTCTCATTTATGTTCTTAAACAGGGCTTAAATGTCTAATTTTCAAAAAATTTTCCTCAAAAGTACCTTTAATTTTTTACTCTCACTTACCTATATATGTAACATATAGTAAGAGGAAGTATTACAATCGTGAAGATTTTCGAATCTGAGTTTTCAGCGGAAATACACGTTTTGAGGTCCACTGATTCTAAATAACTAAGTCCTGAAAAATGGTCTGTGTGCATGAGAACATTCTAGCTCAAAAACGAAAAGTCGTAAAAAACTGATATTACATATTTAAGGTTTGTATATGAATCAGATGAGACAGCAACTTTTTCCTTAAAATTGGATAACTGGAAGTGCCATTTTATATCAACGGTGATACACATTTTTACAATTTTCTCAAAAAGGGCTCTAATGATTTTGATTAAACATGGTGTATCATTGTATAATTAAGTGGTCTTTAATATAATTTAGGTCTTATACCCATTGATGTCACTTTACAGGGCTTAATTGCCCAATGTTCAACATGTCCTCCTCTATAAAGTTCCTTTAATTTGGTTTATTTTAAATAATTAACTATTTCTCATTGTTAGGAGTAAAACTGCTAAATATAACTTTTGAAAGAATTAGATAATTGAATAAAGAAGAAAAAAGCTTATCCAGGTCGAAAACTAATGTCTGGAAATACTAGTCAGAAGGTATACGTATAATATGGGTGATAAATATTAAGGACACAGTCATTATAAAGTTTTTATTGATGCTGATGTTTCAACCCAAACTTGTGGGTCATCATCAGTACTCGAAACACGGCCTGATGTTTGGGTTGAAACGTCAGCATCAATAAAAACTTTATAATAACTGCGTTCTGAATATTCACCCGTGATATGTAGAACAGTCGATAAACTTCCTTCTATACGTATAATATATCTTTTAGTTGTTTGGCAATAATAACTTCCAGTTGGTAACAATTGAGTATGTTTTATTATCAACGTTACATGTTAACAAGTTAGTTGACGTTTCGGGACATTAATTCCCATCTTCAGAACTGGAATCCCAATAATCTTGTGGATGCAAGGCTAAAAAATTTTTAAGTTATAATATTGTGCTTGTTACATTACATATTTGAATTTTGTTTGTTACAATAAATTTGTAATTACCTTAAATTTAATAATAATAATAATGTGCTCCATCGTCAATTTTCTAATTTATGTTCTAAAATTTATCATCTAGAGCAACATCCTCCTTTTGAACAATAATTGGGTTTCTGCCATAGTGAAAAATTCACCTTTGGATCTAACTTTTTTATCTGACTATTTTGATTGTTGTTGTTAGTGTTTATTTTATGTGTCTGTGATTTCACTTCTATTAAATTTTAATTTTGTTCAATATGTCTGTATAATGGGTTCCTAAATGTTTAGTGTCTGTTTTGTAGTTGACTTGTTTTTTGTAATGTGTATTGCTTCAAGTAATTTTCTATTGGTGTTTTTTGGTTCTGTGCCTATTATCTGTGGTTTGTTAAAGTTAAATTTAAGCTGTAGTTTTATACTGTGATGTGCTAAGGCTCTTGTGTTTATGTTTTTTGGATTTTTACAGTTGGTGATATGTTGTGAGATTCTAGTTCCTAATTGTTTGGATGTTTCACCAATGTAGATTTTGGGGCAGTTTTGACAGTTTAATTTATATACTGCATTTTTCTTGTTTATTGGTGATGTGCCTGCTTAGTTTCTTGTTATTATATTGTCCGAGTTTAATTTCTGTCAAGTCATAATCTTTGAACACATCTTTTTTTTATTTATTTAATTTTTATTATATACATTACAACATGTCATACTGATAAGCTACATGTTTATGGTTGCATTAACCTTACACATGACATAATGGTGGTTTGAATACTACTTAGAAAATTGAAATTAATTTTTTACAGTAGGAAAAATCTCATAAAAACCTACATAAGATGTAAATTAAAAAACTAGGTTACAATCATTAAAAGTACAAGAAAAACTAAATATAATTTATATGCAAAAGGAAACTATATATATATTATATTTACACATACAATACTTACTCACACAACACACACACACATATATATACACACACACACACACATATATATACATACACACACATATCCTATAAATACAATTTGTTGATTGAGGTGATTGAGTTTATTGTTACTTGTTGGCGATAGATAAGAAATCGTTAAATTTTCACAAATCAACTGATTGATTTAGACGTTTAGTAGTATGTGTTTAGTCCGTCTGTGTGTATACCGTTTCAAAGATGTTTTGTCATAGTTACCTATTGTTCGGATCATAGGGTTTTCAGACATTGATGTAAGCACAAAAAATCTCTGTGTTTTAAAATAAATATATTTTGTTTATTGTGGGAAGCTGTAATTCTGCTAGCATAATAGATACTTTGGTATAAGGTGGATAGTTGTTTATGATTCTCATACACATATTTTGAATTACTTCGAGTTTTTGTAATTAGTCTTGCATGTATAACTCCATACTGGGGCAGAATAAGTGATTAAAGGGCGCAGTTTATTTTTTGTATTCAGTTGTGAATATCTATTAAAATATGGTGACATTTTGCTGATCAAGTTTTTTGCTTTATTGCACTTGTTCATAATCTTTGAACACATCTTTAATTTTGTTAGTAAGTTCAGGCATGTATGTCATTTTGTAGTAGTAGTTGAAGTTCATTTTGTTTGTTTGTGATATGTCATCCTGATTGTTCTCGTTTGTTGGATTTGTTTTTTCAAAAAATTGGGTGATGAATTGTTGTGTAGGTTTCCTTATTGTAATGTTTTCTTCTGGTGTTTTTGGTTCTAATTTTGTTATGGTGTAGTGTTGTATGTAATCGACTGTACCAAAGTTTGTTGATTAAGTTTATAGGGTAAAAGTTCTCGATAAGTATTTTGTATATTTCTGTTTTTACTTGTGGGATGTAAGGTTTGTCAGTGAGTTCTATTGATTTGTGAATTAGGTTCTTGGCTGTATTAATTATTTGATGTTTGGGATGGTTTGAGCTAAAGTTAAGAATTCTATTACTGGTATTCTCTTTTTTTGTCCATTTAGTAAGTATCTGTCCTTTGTCCATAATTATGTCCATGTCCAAAAATCTGATTCTATTGTTTGTGGCTTTTTCTATTGTAAAATTGATTCTTTTGTTGTACTGGTTGAAGCTTTTCATTATTTCATTTTCCGAATCTTTTTTTATTATGAGTAGTAAGTCATCTATGTATTTTTTTTATTAACAGTGGTTTTTGTTCTAAGTTAGTTAGTTGTGTTGTGATCAGTTTGTTTAAATATATGCCACTTAAATTCGTTGATAGAGTAATTCCCATCCCGACTCCCCAAAGTTGTTTATAAAATTCATTGTTGTATTTGAAATAATTATTTCTTGTACAAAGATTTATTCCTTCGATGAATATTCTTTTGTCTTTGATTTTGGTTTGACTTTTTACACTGTTCCAGTTGTCGTCAATAATTTTTATACATTCATCGAATGGTCAATTTTTTCACTATGGCAGAAACCCAATTATTGGTCAAAAGGAGGATGTTGCTCTAGATGATACATTTTAGAACATGAATTAGAAATTTGGCAATGGAGCGCATTATTATTAAATTTAAGGTAATTACAAATTTATTGTAACAAACAAAATTCAAATATGTAATGTAACAAGCACAATATTATAACTTAAACATTTTTTAGCCTTGCATCCACAAGAGTATTGGGATTGCAGTTCTGAAGATCGGAATAAATGTTCCGAAACGTCAACTAACTTGTTAACATGTAACGTTGATAATAAAACATACTCAATTGTTACCAACTGGAAGTTATTATTGCCAAATAACTAAAATAAACAGACAACTTTCCAGAAAAAAAGAAAAAAGAAGTATAATATATCATTGGAAAACAGAGAATTTTAGAAAAAACAATATCTAATATAGAAAGTAATGGAGTGTGATGAAAAATTAGAAATAATAATTTTTGAAAACTAATATTATTCAACGGAAATCACATTTTTCAAGAAAATTAAATGAAATTTTGAAATCGAAGAACAACACAGTATGTGCCTGGAAGATGACAGACTGTATTATATGTTGTTTTTTTTTCTTTTATTGTTCACTTCACTAATTTAATGAACATTTTTATATTAAAACAAAAGACTATTTCATTATTCTAAATTACTCTGACATATACTTCATCATTTTTATAAAAAAGAGAGAACTACAATAATATTGCACAACTGCTCAACTGCGTTGAGTTGCTAAATCACACAGTATACTAGATCAATCAACAGATAATATTAAAAAAAAACAAAAACAATAATACATAAACCATTCCAAATACAATCAATTAAATAATTACATATATCAGTAAACTTTAAAGTTTAGATAAAACATGTGTATATCATAAATTTAATATTACTAACATTTATCATAAAAATAATAATGATAATAAAAAAGTACCTAATTTTTTCTTGTAATGTACCACCCCGTTCATGTTCTCTCCTGGCCATAGTATCCCAAGTTATTTCTTCATTTGGGTATTTATTTTTCATTCCCCTGTAACATTTTTAAAACCATTATAAAGAATAACATGTTACTTAAATTTATTAATCATGATTAGGAACTAGCTGAATTGACCATATGAAACTAAAAACTGCTATTGTATATATTTTAACCCTACTTTTATAAACATGCATTTATAAAAGTTAATGAAAAATATTTTAAATTAAATATTTCTCTTCAGAGACGAGGTGATAGAAAAACGTAAAGATATCTTTAGGATGGAAGTTTTGAAACTGAAAACACTATTATAAGCTGAAAGGTATAAGCAAACCAACGATATGAGCTCATGGTTTTTTCTATGCAGGTACTCTATTCTCCTCTATTTCATCATAGACTTGGAATAACATAAAATTCAACTTAAGTGTGTTATTACAGAACAAAATATGTTCTTTGATGTCTAAAACATAAAACATAAGTGGAAATTATTGATTTAAGATATAAATTGTTTTTCAGTTCCTCAGCTTTTTTTTTTATAAAACAAAAAGCTGAGGAAGAAAAATTATTAATTACCTAAGAATGACGAACCTGTTTTATTTCTTTTGTGTTTAAAGAATTTTATAACAAAAATAAATCATTGAAGTAAGTTAGTCGACTGTTCTGACCCTCTACAAAGCCCCATCCAACATAATGCTTTTAAAAGGAGTTACGACAAAAAATTGGACTAGAATATCTTTTAACTTTTCCCACAAAAAAGTGGCTCACCACTCTCAAGATGAAGGAATCCCCACGTGATCATTTGGCAGGCTAGTTCAGGTGCTTAGTTATGCTGACTTCTTTGGTATAGTAGCCTCCACCATCTTTAAGCAAACCCTACACGGTCATTCGGAATTGCATTCCAAGGCACTAATGACATTCCAAATTATCATGTAAGGAAGTGAATGAAGTACTGATGGTGATGTGTTGCGGATTTCCGAACATCCGAAAATCAAAGGTTCACTCACGAGAAGTAGAGAGGGGACTGAGGTAAAAGTAGTGGGGTTACTAACCATACTACTGGATAGGTTAGTTTACCTAGGCCTCACAACCATTATAAATTTCTGATTTTCATTATATGTAAATAGTTAAATAATTTTTCATATCCCTTGTTTGTATTTTATAAACCATTTTCAACTATTTCTTTTAAATAGTCAAGTGGACAACAAATTAAAAAAAAAAAAAAAATTGGAAACTTCACAAAATACTTAAAGAAAAAAAAACTTTAACTGTTGTGTATATTTGTCAGTTCTTTTCCCATTTTCCTAAACAAATTTATTATTTTCGCAATACCTTTCCTTAATTTTCGTAAGTAGTAGACTTATATTTTACTAACTTTTGTCAAAACGATTTTCTATGAGACTAATCTTACTACTATATAGGTTAGTTTACCTAGGTCTCATTTTTAAGTAAATAATTTCATAAAAGTAAATAGTTGTTTATATCCCTAGTTTATATTTTTATTCACTATTTTTTCTTTAAATAGTCAAGTAGGCAATAATTTGAAAAAAAAAAAAAGTGGAAACTTCACAATTTACTTATAGAAAAAAAATCTTTAACTGTTGTGTTTATTTGTCATTAATTATTCTATTTTTCTTAACAAATTGATTATTTTCGCAATACTTTTCCTAAATTTTTGTGTGTAGTTGACTTATATTTTTTTAAGTTTGGTCTAAACGATTTTCAGGCACTAGGAAGTAATTATTATATCTCCATTTTTCTCTTTATGCCCAATAATATAAATGACAATGTCCAAATAAGCATATCTATGCTGTTTCTTTGTTTACAACTGAGCTAAATTGGCTTCAGCAATGATAAGTAATGATTAAACGTGTAGGGGTCTTCATGATCAAAGCGATCCCGAGCAATCTTTGGCATTCTTGTGAAGTTCATTCATGAATTACCGTGTAGGGTCCGCTTTATAACTTTGGCTTCATTCGCAGTGGCAGATGTAAAATCCTCTTAGAGATTCGGAATCGGAAGCGGTATTACTAGACAGAGCAGAACGGCGGAGACTCGTTGAGGAAACCATGATCCACTCCGGGTTGTAGCACAACACGATAGGTAGATAGATAAAAACATGATGACCTATTTCTGGCCCCTCATCCCATAGTTCAGCAGTGATTAATTTTTAATAAGCCAAAATAGCAAAGATTTGCAAGGTAGATAACAAAATAAAAGAGAATAGATTCGTAAAAATTATTTTGAAAAAAATTAACTCACTCTACAATCTTTTCTTGAAGAGAAGATGTAAAATCATATCCTTGAGCAATATTTAGCAGATTGACGAAAAATGTAACATCATTTATTTTCTTTACAGCAGAGGCATAAATAACCTCAGCTAAATTTCCTTCAATAATTGGATCAGCTGGTGAATCATTTTCCTTTTTTTCCACTTTACCTAAAATTATTAAAAAGGCAATTGAAATCAAATGTACCACAATATAATATACAAAAGCACTTCTTTAAATTCTACTTTAAAGAGGAAAAAAAAAAAAAAAAACCTTTTGCTTCTAACAATTTCTGGTTAGTATATGCCAGCTCAAGTCTAAATCCTTCTGTAAAGAGCAATTTGGAGTCTTTGTGAATATGAAGGCCTTGGTGTATAAACCTGCGTGCACGTTCTATTGAACGGCAGTCATTAAATTCCCAATTGGCAGCTATTTTAAAAAGGCCTGGTTTATCGCCATGTAGTTCCAACATTTGATCAAGTAATCGGCTCACACATGTATAAAGTTTCTAAAACATAAATGTACACCAGAATTCAGAAAGAAAGGTTTTTTAATATAATTTACATTGTTTTACTTATTGGGTTATATTACTTATTGAAGTGAAAACTTCTTTAGGCACGTTTTACACTCTTGTTTTGTGGAGAGTGAATTAGATAGAGCCGTCAGATCTCCGATGTGTAATGCTTAGGTAAAGTCAGATGGAGTTGACTAATTGAAGTGTTTTGCATAAGGATTAAAATATTTCAATAATTAAAAATCAGACCTGCATATTGTTAGCAAGGGAAATGTTCATCATTTCATCCTCTTTGTAATGAGCTGTTATTCAAAATTGCATCTTAATGCGATGATGCCTTGTTAGGGAGACTAAAAGGAAAAATTTGTCGAAAACTAAATGATAACGAGTTATATTAAAGATATGGATAAAAATATCTTAAGAAATTAAAAATCGGAACTGTATACTGTAAGTGAGGGAATTGTTCAGCACTTTATTCTCTCTATAATGGACTATTATTCAAAATTCTATCTTAACACGATGCCATGAGGTGAAAAGGGAAAAAATTGTGTGAAAACCAAATGATAATGAGATTTATTGAAGATATGGATTAAAATATCTCATAAACTAAAAATCGGACCTGCATACTGTAAGCATGTTGTGTAAATGTTCAGCATTTCATCCTCTTTATAATGAGCTATTATTCATAATTTATATTTCATATTATTAATCTCACTTTGTTCGGTCTAAGGAACACGCCTTAGTTTTTTTTATTTGTTGAGTACTAAATGGTTAACCATTGTGTAATATTCAGGAAGGAGATGGTACGGGTACATAAACACAGTCAGTTCTTGTTAGGCCTTTACACACTTCAGTGAATGTATCAGAATATGTTTTAATCATCGGTATGAGATCAGTTCAGTAAATCTATACTAAATAATACAGAGCCTAATATCCAATCATTGTTTTCAGTGAAAACTTGCAAAAGACAAAAAATGGGTTTAGAACCTATGTGGCTCTAAAATGTACAGGGTCTATTGAAAACTGCACATCAAAATTTTGACCTGATTACAATACCTAATTTACTTACAAAATAGTGTTATAGAAGCAAAAACAATCGCCAAATAATAAATTATGAGAGAACTCCAGAAAAATAGCTTCTGACCCTCCAACATACCAAAAATTGATACAAACAGGCATGAATACAGCTTGCTAGTTGGTTTCATGTAACTTTATATAACATGTTTCTAATTAGAATTACACAGCCTTACCTCTAGTTTTTATATAGTAATAAAAGCTTATATCCTGTCCCTAATGATGGTTCGAGATAGTTATGATACAATAGACTCAAGTATTATATTCTAGTCACCACCAAACATGGTGGATCTCTTTACCTCTTGAGAGAGTGGACATCAACTATTGTCATAAACAAGAAACAATATAGCAAATAATATTTTTTTTTATTATCTTTCTGCTAATATCAATTGATTCAAGTAAATCGTAGAATACCAAGAGTTTTTGTCACTGAAAACTACGGTTAACACAATAATTAAAGGGAACAGTGTCAATAATAATGAATACCTGAATAAAATCTAACAGAACACTGCATAACATAAATGATTGAATGTAAAGAAGAAAAATCTTTGGAAAGAAAAGGAAAATAAATGTAATTATAATCCAAACTACAGGATATAGGCAAGTTTATCATAGTGCTATACTAAAATACCCTTAATACAGATTCCCATAATTGATGAGTTTAAGTTTTAGTGTGTTGCAGACAGATCATGAATTATTTTAATACATTTTTCCAAAATTACTTACCACTTGCTTACAAAATTTGAGATAGGATACCCATAGTTTGCAATCACTTGGGAATCTTCTTATGGCAATAGTATATAGCCTGTTGACACGATTAGTAATACTATAAACCAAGTTATTTTTCTTCAGATGTATTCCTTTCTCCTAGAGTTTGAAATTAAATTAGTCACATTGGAAAAGTCAAGTGAATTGATCAAAGATATTTCAATGATAAAGTTTAAAACTAATATTACTTGTGTCTTTTGCTTGACCACCATCAATAATTCTACTTCAAACTTGATGTATCTCAGTATGTCGTCCTTTGACTTAGTAACTCTCTGCAGTCTATGTTCATGCATTTTTCTCTTTTTTATTACATTTCTGAAAATTGATTAATATTTATTTGTAAATGGTTTAAAATGTAATCATTAAATACTATTGAAAATTTTATAATTTAATAGCTGGAAACAATAGAAAGGAACAAACAACGCTAAATGTAATCATACTTATTTAATTTACAATGTAACCAATATTAATTGTAGTTTTACAATTAATTGAAATAGTCACTTAAATTCACTTTTCATATTCTTAGTTTTACAATATAAAATAATTAATAATCAACTTTCTTCTTATAATTGATAAAACAAACCTTTTTTCATTTGTATTTAATATTCCTAATTTATCCATCATCTCCAGCTCAGGGATCATATCCTCAACCTGTAATTCTACCAGCTCGGCCATGGTTAAGCTGTTATTTCAACTTCACACTACTTAATAATTAAAAAAAATAACTATCCAACTTCAATAACAGAAGTACACAGACTAAACCATGAGGAGACAATAAGAGCTAAAATACGATTCCAAAGAGATCGAACCGATTCCGGACTGCGGTCTCCTGAACACTTCTACACAATGTCAATACTTCAACAGGTTCTCTCTAAAGATTTATGTTTTTTTTTTCAGTTTACCGTCTTTATGCTATATTGAAAGCCTCCTTGAAGTTATAAACATTTTTTTGGTTGTCGACAAAATTTCGAAGGGTCCAGCTTAGGCAAAAGTTTTATTTTTTCGATTGCTTTAAAAAATTCGTATTGAATTGTTTTTTTGGAAAACGATTAACAGCTTTGTTGCTCAATAAAAAAAAACATTACTAGATACAAGGCTGGCTATGAAAAAATATTATGTATGACAGATAGATACAATATAAAAACAATTTAGACCAACAGACGCACAGTGATTCACGACATACCAGTGTGAGAGCGAATACATGTTTAGTGAGAAACGAAGTTGATATAAGTTTTTCGCACCTCCAAATAATTTATATATGTATATATTTTTTCTTTGCTCCATTGGAACAAACGCAGGGACTTATGTCCCGGTTGGAATATTTTTGATGTAGTTTCACCGAAACAAAATGGTTTAAAACAGCGACCCATTAAACGGTAGATTCTCCTTATATGTCTTACTTCTCCATCCACTTATAATTCCATATTCTAAGTCTGAAGATTCATCTTCTCCTTGATGTTTCAGTCCCTCCCAAAGTATAGAAGAGGCTCATCCCACCCATTTGTAGGTACCCACAATGACTTGGAAGATTCCTCATTCTGACACCAATGATCATAATCTTTAAGGGGCTTTAAGGAGTAAAACTTAAAGGTCATCAACCCTTACCAATGATCATAATATTCAGACCTCTCATCATTAGACCAAGCCCTCTAAAAGGCTTCTAGGATCTGTTTTATATGCAACACATATCTTTAAAAGAAAAGTAAACTTAAAAAAATAACTCTGAAATTCGTTAGGAACCCCAATAGTAAGTTACTTTTTTTAATTCACAGAAAAAAACAGAATAATTTATTATAGAAAGGAAGCAGTTCATGTTAATATCCAGCAGTGAGTCAAGAAAAAAGGCACACTCTTTGCACTAATCCTTCGTTCCATCACTTACCAGTGAAAATTTTTATTTGCCTCATATTTCTCCTACTGACCTTATTTTATTTATTATGAAATCTCACAAGAACTCCAATGGATTCTTTATGTGCTCCTTAAATTGTTAAAACTCTGCCTTTCACAAATCCCCCCAGCTCTTCTTTCCTCTATGATAATTTCTTTGAAAATTCTAAAATCCCTATCCTACATCTTCTAAAGCTGCCAAATCTCCACCCTCTCTGACATTTCCAAACCTCTAGAAAGAATAGTACAATAATAAATTTACAATTTCCTAGAAGAATCAAACCTGACTTCTCCAAACAATCCACTCTGGTCAAAATTATTAAGTTCATACATGGATGAATTGAAGACAAAAAAAAGTTTACTGTACTAATACTTCTCGACTTTTCTAAAGCTTTTGATTTGTTGATCCATTCTATCTCTTTTACCAAATTGAAATCACTATCCTTCTCAGACAACTCTATTATTTGGTTTAAATTTTTCCTCACTGAACAGTCTCAACTCTCTCCTTGAGAGTAGTCCAGATTTCAAGCATCTCTCCTCACCTTTCCAGTTTCTATATCAACGATGTGATTCAATACAACACTGCTCCCACCAGTGTATATGCTCAGGACTCCTAAATATATATTATCTTTTACTTACTTCCAGTTATCGGAAGTGTTTGTCTATATTTAGGAAGACCCAGATAAGATATAGTCGTGAATAAATTTAGCTAGTAAAAAGTCAGACCATTATCATCGGTCCTATCCCCTCTTCAGATGCATTGGAATCCATCCATTGCTTTGAGGATGGGATGGCCTAGAGTATTCGGACGTGGGACCCCAGAGTACTTAGTTCTGAAGTGGTTTCGAATCTCTCATGGGTTAGTTAATATTTATTTCTGAAAAATCCCAGTTAATGAATCTTAATACTCTCATTCAGCTTAATACAGGGCAGCAACCTCAAGGTAGTATCATCAATGGTTGGCACAAAGGACCAGGAGATCCACTTGCCGCACTAGTTTCTACATCTGTAGCAGTATCCTTTTATTTTTAAATAAACAATAGTAATTAAATTACATACAATTTTGAAATATAAAGAAAACTTCAAAAGTACTTTTATTTTGTTTTACAATAAATACTTGATTCAGATAAAAAATATGTACAATTAATATTTAAATTAAAAAAAAAATATATCTATGTACACATATATAAACCAATGGTAATAACTAGACAATAGTATCAAGTTACTAAAAAAAAAAAGTTTTCTTGATCATAAAATCCTCTTTAGAATGATTTTAGTTTCAATTCTGATAAACCAAGAATTAAATAGGTAAAATTACAGCGAAAATGGACTTTTTAGATGCATCAGGAATTTATAATTGGGTCAGCAAACGTCTGAAAATAAAAGTAAATTAATAGTACAGTTAATCTTACATCTCTGAATAAAGAAATATTTCATTGAAAAAGAATACATTTTATTAATATTGTCATATCAAAGGTCCACTATCGCGCCAAATACTTTTTTGCCAGCCAGAAATTAAATGAATAATTACTCTTAAGTTACACAAACAATGGAATTTCCTTATTGTTATGCATTACATTATAGGTAGTAATGTTAATACACTACTACGCCTCTTAATGCCTGCTACACAATCACAAGGATAATCTTTGTCTGAGTTAACCTCATAAGAGTTTTCGACGGAGTACCAAGTTGAGGACAATTATCATGAATATATAAAAGTAGCTGCTGCTATGTACAGGATGAACTTATGTGTCTTTACAAAAGTAAAAGTCAAGATGGTTCCTGCACAGAAATGTAGAATATATCTAAAGGTTTTTGACAACATAAGCATTGTGTCAAATTTTATAATCAAGGCTTGGATTTTTAACAATTACATATTTTGTTAATATTCGTTTTCAAAGTATTGATATACTATTTTCACGTATTAGTGTACTCAAATGCATTTCATCTAATTTTAATTTATGATGAAAGCATATAATTGCATATTTAATAGTTCCTTTTTTCAAACATCAGATTTGTTAGAGACAAAAAAAAACTATAAATTTGTTAATTAATTTTTATGCAGAACATGTCAGTTACTAATCCATTTATGTTTTATTTATTTGGTTTATACTGTAAATTATTTTTCAAAGACAATCATTGCTAATTTTCTTTTATTATTAATTCTAACTTTCAGAAGTGATTTAGGGTCTAGAAAAACTAAGTGTAAAAAGAAAATTAATTTTGGGTAGAAGTGGTAGATCACAATTTCGATTCTAAAATTTTTACTATAACTTTAATAAAAGCGATTGAGAAATATAAGTGGTTAAAGAGGGAGAGTGATGTTCTCATTTCAATTTATAGATCTTTGAACTGAAAGAATGAATCTGCTTGCAACACACCGAATTCGCAGCTCAATAAATAATTATTTGTTTTCAAGGCTGCGATACCCAAGGTTATTATTGTTTTGTTTTTGAATATGAACAATGATTATGTTCTAATAATCTAAGTTAGATGTCTGGCTTGTCAGAGATATTACAGGTCTCATAGCTCCAAACCAGAAAGTCTTCGTTGTGACGAGTACAGATGAAGACATGTCCATCAACGGTTGAAGTGGGACTTCTAATAATAAATCATAGATAACTAAATTTACATCCGGCCAACTATAAATATTTTTGAATATTTAATGGTTGACCGTTGCATTATAAAGGAAGGAGATGGTCCGGGGTTGCGGTCATAAAAAGGCTAAATAGTGGTAAAACTATTTTATTGAAAGCCAACGTTTCGACCCGACTTTGCAGGTCTTCATCAGGGCTAGAACGGACAAGATACAAAAGATAGAGAATTGTGGAAATTACATAATATTTAGACATAATTTATAAACAATGTGAATAAGCTTATTAGAATTATAAACAGTAAGTACAATACAATATGGACTAAGTAAGCTAAGTAACAAGATCCTAAAATAAAGTAAATAGATGCTAACAATTGTTGTAGTGTAATATATAACAAATGAAAATGTGAGTATAATTCTACAAAAAATACAGGAGAAAAAAAAAATAAGATTAGAGACTTACAGGTGTGTTCCTCTAGGAGTTTCACTTAGAACTGGAAAGGCAGCGGTAAGGATTGCAGGTATAGGGGGGGTTAACATGTGTTAACTAAGTAAAGGATTGCAGGTATAGGGGGAGTTAACATGTGTTAACTAAGTAAAGATTGAAAAACCCAGGAATGTACAGTACCTAGGAATTTTTGAAGATATGGATGGATATAATGGAAAAATACTATATCTATAAATATTAAATTATAAATATATAAATATACATATAAAATAGAATTGAGAGATGTGAGAGGTATTTCATGATTCTAGATCAGAGTACAAAGTGAATAAACCCAAAATTGGTAAAGAGTAAAATGTAAATATAGAAATAACTTCATTAACATACATACATTGCAGAGCTAACTTAAAAGTATAGAGAGGGAAAAGAAAAAAAAAAAAAATAATAATAATAAATAAAAAAATATAGGGTGGTCATACATTGGTGTAGAGTGTAAATGTAAATTTAGAAAAATAGAAGAGAGATCATACAAAGAAGGAATATTTCGAATAATGAACAATTAAATGAATTAATTAATAAAAATTGAGAGTAGATGAAAATAATAGAATAGAATATTTTTCCCTTATAAGACTTAAAATGTGTCTATATGTAAGAGAAATACAGTTTTTGTCTACTTTGTGATTAACGGGATTGTGTTCCATGTGAATGTATATAGATTCGGAAATGAGTCTTTTTTCATGGTTAGGGACCGTGGAAAGGATAGAGGTTTTTTCAAAATCAAATGAGTGATTGAGTGTTACAGCATGTTCTGATAGTTTGGAGGCGGAGGGATTCCGGGAAGTTATGGACGTTTTATGGTGGGAAATGCGGGTTTTGAGATAGTTTTTGGTTTCACCAATATAGGAGCTATTGCAATTAGGAGTAGAGCAAGGTATCCGGTAAACTACATTGGACCGGTGTTGTAAGAGTATGGGATCCTTCAAGTTGGTGAAAAGGGAAGAAAGTTTGTTATGGGACTTAAGGCCAAGATGTAAGTTGGTTATAGTCGATTTTAGGAATTTTTGTATATTGTCTGAGAGGATAGGGATATAGGGGAGAGATTTGTATATGAAAGGAGTGGTAGATGATTGTGGGGAGTTAGGAGAGTGAGAGGCTGTATTGTTTTTTGTTGTATAGTAATTTAAAAGTTTATGTATGGTGTTCAGAGGAAAATTGTTAGAGAGCAGTATATTTTTGACACGTTGAGTGTTGGCTTGATGGTATTGTGGATCGGATAAGGAGAGGGATCGGTGAATAAGGTTTTTGGCGGTATTGATTTTTTGGTGATATGGGTGTTGGGAGTAATAGTTGGGTAGTCTGCCTGAGTATGTGGGTTTAGTGTACCAGTCAGTAGAGACAGAACCGTCAATGTTTTTCATTATTAGGAGGTCTAAGAAGGGGAGCGAATTGTTATCTTCTTTCTCTATGGTGAAACGGAGACGGGGGTGATAGGAGTTGAATAAGGAAAGAATTTGGGGGATGCTGTCAGGGTTAATAACAAGGAGGAGGTCATCAACATATTTTTTTATGAAAATGATGTCTTGATGAAAAGAAGGGATAACAGAGACATCATCAAGACATCATTTTCATAAAAAAATATGTTGATGACCTCCTCCTTGTTATTAACCCTGACAGCATCCCCTAAATTCTTTCCTTATTCAACTCCTATCACCCCCGTCTCCGTTTCACCATAGAGAAAGAAGATAACAATTCGCTCCCCTACTTAGACCTCCTAATAATGAAAAACATTGACGGTTCTGTCTCTACTGACTGGTACACTAAACCCACATACTCAGGCAGACTACTCAACTGTAGACAAAGTATCACAATCACAAAGTAGACAAAAACTGTATTTCTCTTACATATAGACACATTTTAAGTCTTATAAGGGAAAAATAACATAAATATTCTATTCTATTATTTTCATCTACTCTCAATTTTTATTAATTAATTCATTTAATTGTTCATTATTCGAAATATTCCTTCTTTGTAGATCTCTCTTCTATTTTTCTAAATTTACATTTACACTCTACACCAATGTATGACCACCCTATATTTTTTATTTATTTATTTATTATTATTATTTTTTTTTTCTTTTCCCTCTCTATACTTTTAAGTTAGCTCTGCAATGTATGTATGTTAATGAAGTTATTTCTATATTTACATTTTACTCTTTACCAATTTTGGGTTTATTCACTTTGTACTCTGATCTAGAATCATGAAATACCTCTCACATCTCTCAACTCTATTTTATATGTATATTTATATATTTATAATTTAATATTTATAGATATAGTATTTTTCCATTGTATCCATCCATATCTTCAAAAATTCCTAGGTACTGTACATTCCTGGGTTTTTCAATCTTTACTTAGTTAACACATGTTAACTCCCCCTATACCTGCAATCCTTTACTTAGTTAACACATGTTAACTCCCCCCTATACCTGCAATCCTTACCGCTGCCTTTCCAGTTCTAAGTGAAACTCCTAGAGGAACACACCTGTAAGTCTCTAATCTTATTTTTTTTTCTCCTGTATTTTTTGTAGAATTATACTCACATTTTCATTTGTTATATATTACACTACAACAATTGTTAGCATCTATTTACTTTATTTTAGGATCTTGTTACTTAGCTTACTTAGTCCATATTGTATTGTACTTACTGTTTATAATTCTAATAAGCTTATTCACATTGTTTATAAATTATGTCTAAATATTATGTAATTTCCACAATTCTCTATCTTTTGTATCTTGTCCGTTCTAGCCCTGATGAAGACCTGCAAAGTCGGGTCGAAACGTAGGCTTTCAATAAAATAGTTTTACCACTATTTAGCCTTTTTATGACCGCAACCCCGGACCATCTCCTTCCTTTATAAATATTTTTATATCATAATAGAAAATCTGCGAAATGTGCATCTCATTTAGAAAACAAAAATTTTCCAGAAAATAAATACATATCAACGATACAGCAATAAATGAAGTATCAGAGTATTTAAATATTTATTTATAAAGAAAACCACAATCCTTAAAAAATAATTCATGACTTCTTTGGGAGTACCTCAAAATTAAGCAATAATGAAAATGATTGATATCAAATAAAATTTATTAATAGAGTTTAATACCTGTTACTCCTTAATATTTCAGCCTCGTTTAGTCGATATTCAGAGATAAAAACATCGACCAATTCACTTTCTAGAGTTTGGACAGCTTGGTCATATACTTTGGTAATTTTCGGTTTGGATCCTTTACTCTCTTGAGCCACAAATTTTATATACCTCATCCAAATATCTAAAAAAGAATAATTTCAAAGACTAAATATTAAAAAATTCATGTGCTTGAAATTTAACTGCAAAAAGAAACTAAACAAACCCGTGTTCGTTTTGCCATACTCCTCTAAAGCTTTGTCATAAATCTCCTGAAGAATTTTTGCACTGTATTTTGATTGTGCATTCTCCATATCCAACATAACTTCGTAGATGTCAATTGATAAAGGAGGCGTTGCCGAGAGGATTTTACCTACTCTCCTAGCAAATGCTACAACAAAGTTTAATCTTATACTGGGTTGAAGAAATTTTTCTTATAAACACCTAAATTTAACCCTTAGTCAGGCGCAACTCATCTTTGAGATTAAAACTCAAATTTCTGTTTAAACGAGTGAAAATTAACATAATAAACCCTTTTAAGTTATTCCTTGATAACAGCTTTCAAATGTTTTAACCTCCCTCGGTTCTGAAAGTGTTTCCAGAATCATCAGCTGAATCATGTATAAATTCTGAATTTTAAAAGTTTTCCCAATTCCCTTTATGCTATACAAAGTAGGTAAGTTATATCATTCTATTTCTTGTAGCTCATTGTAAATTTCATGGGTCATTTTGCATCTTTGTCCCGGATACATAAGCTCCCCAGATTTCTGAATTGAAACTAGCAATATTTTTGTTATGGTAAACATGCCCACTGGCCACCTAGCTAAGTTATAGATAGTTTGTCCACAAGTTATTGACTACATCAACTTCAGATTTATTAGCGTTGAATCCTAAAATGATTTCTGGTTTCTTAAGTTATTGAGCATAACTCATCCAGGAGACAAAAATATCTCCTCTAATATCAACAGTGTACAGTGGAAATTTGAATCCTACCTAGGTGTGACGGGTAGAAAGTTAGGATGCTATCATAATCTCTAAACATTTTCAGCAAGCAGAATCCTTACGCATAAAAAACCAACAAAACACGGGGCCATCTTCTATTCAGACGCCTTGGAGGGTTATCAGGAATTGAAGAGGAAGATTAGGAGGTTAGGGTTGGGATGATTCTGATTCGGAAGGATAAGTATCTGGATTGGATCAAATCTCAAACATAAGGAACATTAAGGTCATCATGGATGATTTTGTTTGTAACAAAGTAGAGAGCATTGAGGATTTCACGAAGGATTTTGGATTGTAAGAATTGGATACGAGAGGTATTCGATGGTTTATTGGAGCTCCGTAGCTCAACTCCGTAAGTCCAAATAGGCCTTATTATAGTCTTGTATATGAGTCTTTTGTAATTAATTGGAAGTTTAGAGCGTTTGTCTAGTAAGTGCTGAAGTAATTGGAAACGTAGAGCGGTTTCTTGTTGTTTCAGGCTGGTATGATGATTCCAAGTTAGACGTTTATCCATATAGAGTTCCTAGCTCCTAGAGAGAGAATCACTTTATTATCATAAAATAAAATAAAATGGTGCTGCCCAATTACATTGGGTTGCTAACAACACAGCATACTTATTAATCACTACAGACAATATTTAAAATGTTTATACAATTATATAGGATTAACAATATGTATGAGCATAGTATGCAATATTTTATACATATATATATATATTTTTTCTTTTCCTTTTTATTTTTTTTTTTTTTATTCTTACTATTTCTTTCATTCATTTATTATCATTTTGTACCCTTTCTCTTCCTTCTCTCCCCCTATACATGTTCCCACTCCTCATACTTGAGATACTTCATCTCACAGATCAGGTGTAACTGACCGAGTGTTAAAGCTAAGTTAGAATAGAAAAACAAAGATTACATTTCAACAAAAGCTCTATACATTGAATAAATAAAAACAATAACATCAATTTATCATAAATGTATACAAAATAAATAAATAATTTGTTTCAATTAAGAAATTGAATAAGTTCTCACTGTTTTTTTGTGAAAATTGAAGCTTTATTTAAAGTAAATGGTAAAAAACATGTAGACACATGGACACAGACATGTATAATATTCATTACTTTCTCCCATCTCTCATATAAATTCCTATAATCTTTTGAGGCTATCCAAGAATTACCCATTTTTTTGGTATCATCATAAGAATGGAAGTGCTGCTCAAACAACCCATGTGCTATCGAACAAAATAAGTGATATTCAGAAGAGACTATACAATGAATACTGCGGGTGTGGCAGAACTTCCCATTAAAGGGTTTCCAAGTAGGCTTTTACCGGTTTTACATGTGACCAAGCGTTGCGATATAATAAAATCACAGTGTGTCTTTGCTTATAGTTTCATTCCATTTGAGCAGCTCCTAACAAATTAAACCATCTGATCCCACCAAATACACAGAAGCTTTGAACCATGCATATTTGGCTTTGCAGATGATGTTGACCTTTTTTTTTTTCTATTTTTCTTTTAAAATTATTGTACTCTACAATTTTCATTGCCTGTCACGGTATTATGCAAACAACTTCAACTCATACAGCATATAATGTCTTTACTTCTGCATCAACCCTAATGCTTTCGAACATTTCAAAACCGTTTTAACATCTATTAGTAATGAATTTTTAAGTTGAGCTAGTGTCTGAAATAGGTCTTCATTAAGTGATTTCACCTATTCTTTGTCTTAAAATGTTTGCACTAAAATCAGTCTCTACATGTCGTTTCTGAAAGAAGAATGCGTGTGTAAGTCTCAACAAGAATTCTGTATGCTTCAGCGACACATTTCTTTTGAAAAAAATTCCCACAAATAATCTTTACTTGGCATAAATTTCAATTTTTAGAAGTGGAGCGGGCAACAATGGATTGTTGAAATGAGCCAGATCTGTGAAAAGGAGTATAAAAGTCAAAGAGTCGAGATCTTACAGTAAGGAAATGGATCGAGGACTTGCATTGGGGGAGCATTATAGGGTATAGGAAGGGCAATTGTGATTTGGTAAATTACAATATAAGATTTAAAATGAGGATTTGTTAACTAGTCGGGGTGTTGAGAAAAGCACCTTTACATTGACCTAGTGAGTAAAGCCTTAGATCAGAATTTATGTTTCTTTTTATTTCTTGAATAAACGAATGTTATAATTTTCCTATTTCAAAATAAAATTAACTGGTCATTGCCAAATATTTGGTCTGAATAATAAACCATATTAGGTTGTTCCAGCTTGTGAAATAGTAAAGAAACATGATTCTAAACAAACATTATTGAGCAAGAGTTAAATTTTCTTTAAGAGTGGATCTTAGGCTTGCCATGCCTCTGTACTGACCTAGTGAACAACAAGCTTAATAAGAAGTAATGGAGAAAAGATTATCATATAAATAACAGCTTATTGGTTTTTAGTATAGTATTTGGTGTACAGAATTTAAACTTTTAAATTAAAGCAATTTTATTTCAATAATAATTAATATTGTTATGAATTAAATAATTATAATGTACTTACAATTCCCTTTTTTCATGGCCAACCATTCAATATATCGACCCTTTAGAACTGCACCGACGATGGGATCTTTAACGCCTTCATCCCATAGTCTTTCAGCCTAACATGAACATAAAATTAGTCTTATATTAAAATATTGATTATGAATTTTTTAAAATAAGTATTTACAATATAAAAACACTGTATTAATAAAACATTAATGTTTCAGGGTGTCTACCAAAAAAAAAAACTTTTTTGGGGAATTCGCCAGCTTTCCCAGAATTTCAAGCACATTTTTGAAAGAAAAACAAAACAAAAAAAAAAAAAGATCATTGTAACAGTATATATAGTTCGGAAAAAATATATAAAAGAAATGAAACAGTCAAAGCTGCTTTTTGTTCTCACTGATGGAACTAGTGGAAGCCTAGTTTAGGCTAGTAAGAAGATCGAATTTTTACTTGTTTATTCCAAATTTCACATAAAAGAAATCGAATAGAGTGAATTGAATAAAAAAAATAGTCAAGCTGAACTAGGTCTATTAAGAACTGTAGTAAAAATAATTAAGAAGGCCATTATTATTAAATTGTACTATTAAGCAATTTTGTTATAAATAAACAAATAAATTGTTGTACTTTATCTTTTACTCTTGTAAATATAAGCTAGTGGTAAGTTCCATTTCCGTAATACCGTAATCCATACATTATAATCTGTAGTATAGATCCCTTTATATAAAATTATTAACATCCGCCTAAAACTTCATGAATGGCTTCATTGTAACCTTTATATTAATTACTAAATTAATTAATCAATTAATGAGGTAGTAAAAACTCATAAATACGCATTTGCCTACCACTTGAATGGTAAGATAATTTCATCAAAAAAAAAAAAAAAAAAGGTGGCTTTCAAAAGCATTGGGCCATTTGGCCTATATAACCTGGGGGTGTAGGTCATGCCATGATCAGTCAATTATTATAATTCTTACCAGTAATGGATCCAGGATATAATTATGATTTTTTTTCTTAAGTTAATATTTTAAAAGAAAACAATTCTTATGAAATGACGTGTAAGTAGTCCCTTTTTTTCTTCTATCGATAACCCTACCTCACGATTTATGTCATACAGAGGGATGGTTCTAGAGGTACAACCAGACCTTAGATCAATCACAATAAACAAATATGGAATAATGAAAAAAAAAAATGTAATACAAAAAAAAACAAGTATCAAAAATACTACAAAATCAAAATTAATTAATTCACCTCGTTAGAATCAATGATTTGGTAACACCTGAGGACTAGCAACCAGAGATTGACTTGATCTGGGATATCTGGGTTGGAGCTTATTTCCTTTAAAACAGCTCTAACTCCTTCGCTGTCAGATTTGCCGAGGTGGTAGCGCAATCTCCACGACCATAGTTTACTGCTCAAACATAAGTTCTCAGTCCCCCATTGTAATACTTTGCAGGTGTCTACATTCTCAGCTTTCTTCACCTAAATGTATTAAAATAATATTTAAAAAATTAAAATAGCCAGGTGTGTTCTGTAATAATCAGCTACATTTGATATTGAATGGCAGAGCCAAAATAAATTTTTTTAACTACTTATACTGAATTAAAATATTTTAAATCATACTAAATTTTAATTTATACCTGTGAGGAAATAGGTGACTGCGGATAATATGGTTGGGAAGCTAGTTGGGTGTTGCAGTCAGTGAAGAATAGACCCAGCAGGAGGTAAGTATGCTAATTCATCTTTTATTCACATTATTCCTACTTCATTTCTCCCTCTCCCCCCCCCCCCCCCCGCTTTTAGATCCTTATCACATTTTTTTCATATTGTTACTTGGCTAATAAGAATCAATAATTGAATTGAATAAGATGTGTTTCTATTGATATCACTAAATCTTATTATTTTCTTATAACTCCTTTATAAAATTCTTATACCTAAAATTTAATATTTAAGATCAACTTTTTTTTTTCTTTAGCTCTATTAACAATTTAATTTATTTTTAAAGTAGACCATTCAATTTCAGCTACTCTGTTAGTATATTATATATCAGTAAAAGTTGTTAATAAATAAAATATAATAAACTAATTTAAAATCACTAAGTTAACATAATTTGGAAAAAAAGTCTGCCAAGTAAGGTCAATATAGCTTCCTCGCCGTTTTCATTGGCTAAACAATATCTATCATTTTTAGTAGGAGAATAAAATCTCCGGAAGAAACCATTTTAGGAAAAATAGTAATCCCTCAACATTTGTCGGTTTGATATCCACAAAATTTGTTCATAAGTGAATACTAAAATACGGAAGAGTTTCACATTTGCAGATTTAATGATTCGTGATTAAAAAAAAATCCCAGTACATATTGAACATGCATATAATTGTAAGTGCAAAAGATTGTATATAAAAATTGATTGTTTTACAGGAGAGTATAAAAACTAATTATTTCTTTATAATTTATTAGTATAATTTCATATTGTATTACTCTCTGCTATTTTCCTCAGTAGTAGACTACAAAATATCAAAATGTTTAGAAAAAAAAAAAGGAAATTTTTATATACGACATTATGCACTAAAAGGAGCGATATACACTTAATGGATACTAATACATAATAATACTTACATACATACATAAAACATACGTTTTCACTTGTAAAATGGATGGAACAAAAAAAAAAAAAAAATTGCTGATGAAAATGAATTAACTTACCCAGAGCAAATAGTGTTTTTCTGATAGCATGTTTTCTTTGTGAGCGGTTTCAAAAACATTCTTTAAACATTTTTTCTTATAAGTAGGTAATGTTGTAAGGTCTTCATTTATTTCAAGAACATAATTAAGATAAAGTGACCACATTTTTCTAGTTGGCACATTTCGAATCCCATTCTCATAGACAGAGATGCATTTCCTTTAAAAATAATATTTGCACGATCAAAAAAGTGTAAAATGTTTGTCACAACTTAATATTTAGTATGTCATAAAATGCAAGTATTAATTGCAATTCAAATAATGAAAAAGTCTCAAGAAATTTCATATTTTATGATGATCAATCTCATTCTGATTATTCATTTTCAGTGGGATCTTGATTTCATTAACAAATTTAGTCAATAATCGATTAAGGTTTTACAGAGTCTACATTACTCCCCAATATTATTATAACAATAAAAAATCTTTCAACAATATTTTTATTAAATATATATTATGAAATTTTGGCTTTCATCAAGCAATCTAAAATAAAACAATAGTTAGAAAACAAAATCTTTAAAATACTATGTGTTAAACTACTCCTTAGAGGTTCTTGTAATGGTAATAATTTGATTGAAATTCTTATATAACTCTAGTTGTTTTCTTTTTCCACTTTTTGTCACATCTTTTCTGAAAATTAATGAAGTATTTGTAGAACCTTTATCGATTATTGATTATATTCATATTTCACATTATAGACAAAATTGAAGAAGTAATAATGATAATAAATATTTACGAACCCTATTCTTTCCTTTAGTGTACCCCTCAGCTCAAGTTCTCTTCTTGCAAGAGTGTCCCAAGTAACCTCTTCTTTAGGGTACTTGCTTCTCATCATTCTAAAACATAATTTGAATAAAATAAAAATTACAACAATACTTGTTACAATTACAAAAATATGACAAATCATAATCATTCCATGTATCTTGTAAAAATAATTTTTAAGATTAATAATTTAAAAAAAAAAATCTTTTGTAAGACCAAATAGTCTCCAGACAAAAAAAAAAAAAAAAAGCGATTACTTCCAATCACAACACTTTTGCCTTCAAAATTAAAGTTATGTTATAATTAGATGTTTGGTGCAGCCAGTAATTTTTTTTACAAACAATATTTTACTTCTCAACATAGATGATTCATCATTACACATATAACATCAAGTTAAAAGAAGTTTAATCAAAATATTACCATAACAAGTACCACAAAGGAGTAGTATATTTTAATTATATTATTTATATATTTTATTTTTATATATAATGTTTTAATACTTTATTTATTTATTCCGGGACGAGTCCCTTTAGAATAATACAAAAAGACAGAAATGTGGGCTAAGGAGCCTCAGAGACACATAAACAAAAATACAGAGTAATTAAATAGTCATAATAAAAAATTATAAGTTACTTTCTAATTTTAATCAGTTAATAATAAAAAAAAGAAGTAAAAAAAAAAGTGAAGGATGATCTAATAATTTATATATATATTTACAGTAGTTTCTATTTAAAATTTTTTGGGGACTGGATGGATAAGAAATGATTGAATAGGCGGGATTTAAAGGTAGAAAGGAAGGGTATTTGATTGACGGATGTGGGAAGGGATGGAGCTCCATAGGGATGAGGATTGGATAATGAACGATCGGTCGAAAGCAGCGGTTCAGTGGGCCCTTGTGTATAAATCTAAAGAACGGGAAAGAGTATTGCGGGAATGAACAGAGGATTTGAATTGAAGGAAGATGTATAAAGGACAGCAGGATTGGATGACTTGAAAGAGGAAATATTTACGATGGTAGGAAGGATAAAGCCACTTCAACTCTGCATAAAAACGGGAAACAGAGGCATCCCGTGGGATCCTGAAGATGAATCATATAAAGCAATTTATCAAACATTTTAGTTTCTCCTAGAGATCCCCAGAGATGCCCCCATATATCGTACAGCAATAGTCAAAGTGGAGAAATATTAAGGAAGGGTTTCAAGAGAAAATAAGTGACGGAAGTAATTTAGACATTTATAGGTGGAAAAGGTAAAGTAGATATTGGATACATGGTTTTTCCAGAAAAGCGTTTGATCTGGTGGGGTGAAAATTAATGGGATTATCATGGAGGAACAGAGTTGGAAAGTTGGAAACAGTTTTAAGGAGGTGATTGGAGCCTATTAAGATTGCCTTCGTCTTTTCCGCATTCAACTTCAACCTGTAGCTGTCGCCCAGTCACAAATCCCCTCCAAGTCTTATTAAAGTTTTTCTGTGGCTGATAATAGGTCGGTGGGCAGGAAGGACAGGTATATTTGGAAATCATCTGCATAGATATGGTATTGGAGTGATGGATCATGAGGGGAAGGTCATTTATGTGAATAGCAAATAGAGTAGGTGATAGAGAAGAACCTTGAGGGACACCACAGGAGAGGGAGAGGATCTTAGATGGGGGTTGACCTGGGACGACTACATACTGGGACCGATATGAAAAGAAGGATTTGAACCACCAAGGGCACTGTTGGATATAGGAAGATTGTGCAATTTAGTAAGGAGGCTGTCAAACGCTTTGGAAAAATTAGGAAGGATGAGGATAGTAAGGTTTCAGTGTTCAATGGAGTTTTGGAGGTCATAGGTTATTTTAAGGAGAGCGGATTGCGTTGAGTAACCAGGTTGAAAGCCAGATTGGAATGGGTTGATGAGGGAACGTTTCTCTAGGAAGTTAGAGAGTTGATTTTGGACAAGGCGTTCTAACGACTTTGACAGATTGGATAGGAGAGAAATAGGACGAAAGTGGAAAGGATAAGAAATGGTCATTGAGAACATCTGGAGTAACTGGGATAGAACTAAGTTTATTGGATTCTAGGAGGGATAGGTTCGAAGTATTTTCCATTTGGATTTGGAATCGGGAACATTGGAAAGGACATTATGGAAGTATGTGGCTTTGGCAAGTCGGACTGTGGACTGGGTTCAATTGCGAAGTTCCTTGAAGGACACATAGTCCGCAGGCAAACGAGTTCGATGGTATTTGCGACCTTGCTGCATCTCTTCTTTTCATCATTTCTTTTATTTCAGGAGTCAGCCAAGGTGCAGTGAGAGGTAAGGTTCTAATTTTCAGAGGAGATTGGATATCTAATAAGGATTGTAGATTTGAGGTCAGGGTAGATATCATAAGTTCAATGGAATAATAGGAAGATATGATGTCCCATTGGAAAAAATCAAGGTCAGGTTGAAGGGATTCATAGGAGAGAAGGTTTAAATTGCGGTATGAAACCACTTTGGGAGTAAAAGATTTCACAGGTAGGTCGTATGTAATTTGGATCAGGTCGTGCGATGAAAGAAATGGAACGGGATGTTGAGAAGAGGAGAGGATTTTGATGTATTGATGTATATTAGAATATAATTTAAGATAGAAAAATATGAGGAAGGTAAACAATTCTATATTTAGCAACTGTTGCATTTAACCTTACCAAAGAAAGAAGTAAACACAAGTAGAGAATATTCTTGGAATAGAACTTGTCTAAAGTATTGGATAAAAATAAAAAAGTGCTTTCCTAGATTATGCGTTTTGTTAGAAAAACGTTTATTGTTATTGTTTTGATTTGCATTCTCACGCATTCTTGGCCTTCAATATTAAATTTTATTATTATTAAAAATAAAAAAATAAAAAATTAATAATACTGAAAGTAAGATGTAGTCCTTCGTCACAAACTAAAATCTGGATATCAAATTATCCTGAGTTGAAATTTGATGGAAAGTTGTTTTCTGTATGCCCTCTGAAAAATCAATTGGTATGATACAAATTCACATATAGAAGCTCTCAGTAGAACAGGTAAGAAAAATATTTCTATTAAAGAACTGATTTTCTTTCTTTATTTTATTTTTTTTAGAATGAACATAACTAAAAATAATTTTTTAGTGATCTAATAAAACAAATAAAATATATAAAATAAATATTTGAACACAGTGTACTTCTTAAATTTCCTAAAAGTTCTTATTAATTTAATTTTCAATGTGCATTTTAATTTTTTTATCTCCTTGTCCATTCATTTGCTTAATTCATTCATCCATTAAAATTATCTACAGGAAGCTAAATACAAGATTTGATAAGATTTCGGTGTATTTATAATAATGAGATATGGCAAACCAAATAGATGATATTTGCACGTTTGTAGGTGTTAATTACACAATTTTAAATATTTTTGGTTTTTACTGTAGAATTTTGCACGTACTGAGTTGAGTTGCTGCACATTTTTCGGATTTTTATTGCACAAAGATCCGGTCTCTGTTCATCACACAGTATGGATTGTTTTCAAACATAATTAAAATATATAGGTTAAATCCTAAACTAATAAAATCTAATATAACTCAATATTCCAAGAACTCACTCTAATATTTTATCCTGAAGTGAAGATGTAAAACTGTACTCTTGGGCGATATTTAGCATATCTATGAGAAATGAAACATTACTTATCGTTTTTACAGCAGAATTATAAATAACCTCAGCTAAATTCCCTTCAATTAGTGGATCAATCAGCGAATTGTTATGCTCATTTTCCCCTTGCTCTAAAACAATAAAAAAGTTTTGAGTACTAAATAGATTAATGTTAAGGGGGGAAAAACAGTATCTAATTTCCTTATAATATTAAAATGTTCTCTTAAAAAATTAGTACTTTTTAAAATTTTATTCCAAATTTGAAAAAAAAAAAAAAAAACCTTTTGATTGTTCCATTTTCTGGTTAATATACGACAGCTCAAGACTAAATGCTTCTTTGAAGAGTAATTTAGATTCTTTGTGAATGAGAAGACCTTCTCGTATGAACTTGCGAGCACGTTCTATTGAATGGCACTCGTCAAATTCCCAATTAGCAGCTAATTTATATAAAGCTGGTTTTTGATCACCTAATTCCAACATCTGATCAAATAAACGGCTGACACAAGTATAAAATTTCTGAAACAATAAATTTAAATCAAAGCCCACCCAAGATTTATTATAAAGCATTCCTATTGATGATATATACGTATTCTAGTTATATTTAAAATCTGGTCATAACCTCCCTTTACCCTTCTAATTTTAACAGACATTATTTTCAGGCAAAGTTGAACTATTACAAAATGTTTTTTAAGTGCATTTTCAATTGAGTTAAAACTGAAAGAACGCATTTGTGAATTACGGTTATATTTATCACTGCAAATCTCATTAAGATCATCAAAACAGGACAAACCCCGTTTGCTATATTGATAGTAGGGAATAAAAACTTCATAACTCCATCAGTCTATTTGAATCACATAAATCCAGTCTCTGAGCTCAATATACAAAGATGGATTTGAAAATACATATATTTAACTGAACTTCTCAAATTTCTGCAAGTTACTTCCTAAAATTATGAATTTTTATTTCACGTAATTGTGAAAGAACACCATAACGGCAAAAAATAATTAAATATAAATGACAATTAATGTAAAATAACTGATATTTAAGGGAAACAGTAAGACAAATGAGTATAATCTATGGGTTTAAGTGCATAAATTCAGCACTGAGATTAGGAATATATCCTTTATATCAATAAACAAAATAATTAATTGTCATTATAATTAAAATGACATTCATCAATACTGATATATTAAAGTCTTCATAAATTTACTGTAGCAATAAATTTCATATATATCAGTAATTTATAAAAATAAATAAAAAGAAGACTGTTTTAATAATTTACAAACCATTCTCTTACAAAATTTAATATAACCCAACCATATTTTGCATTCGTTTGGAAATCTTTGTATAGCAAGATTATATATCCTGTTAATGCGGTGTGCAATACGATACTCCAAATTACTTTTCTTTTGTAGTAATCCCTTTTCCTGGAATTCAAACATAAATTTAATAATACATAATATAAAATTAGAATAACAATAAAAGTTAACGAATCATTTTACTTGTCATTTTTGCTTGACTTTCATCAGTAAATCAATTTCATGATTAATATATCCCAATATCTTGTCCTTTGATTTGGGAAATTTATTAATTTTATATTCAAATACTTTTCTTCTTTTCAGTAACCCACTAAAAATTAATTTCATAACACTGTGAATAAATGATTTAAATCACAGGAAAAAAAACCAAGTTTATAAATAGTTATAATATTTAGTTACCGAGAAAAGATTAAATCAAATATTTAAATCAGAGATTTTTAAAAGAGAATCACTAGACAAAATTCAACTACAATGGCTATTATTTGTCAAATTTAAGTAAGTAGATTTTCATTACCTCTTGGGGTAATTCTTTCAAGTTTATTTTTTAACTTATGAAGTTTGATAATTTTGAGGAGTGCAAGAGGAGATATGGCTATATCCAAGTCAACAGCCTAAAGGTAATAACTGCAGCAGAAAATGTTATAAGGTAAAGTATTAATTATCAGGTGGAGAAAGAGATGAATCTCTGAGAGCCAGGGATGATTACTATTAATAGTTGTACCATCGAATAAAAGATACTACCAAAACAAAAAACAATGAAAAATGAAAACAGTTAACAAAAGTAATATTTCATTAATGTTTCCATGGCTTTAGTTATAAGTTTTTTAATCATCTGCCACACTGTTTTTTCCTAGAATTTTTGATGATGGAGTTTTATTACAATAAACTCCAGGGATTTTTAACACAGGACTTTTTGGGCTAAAAAAAATTAAATTTTATATTGAATACTCGATGGTCGACCAATGTACATAATTGTGGAAGATAGTTCAGGGTCGCGGCCATAAAAAGACTTACAAGAGAAGACTTAGAACAAGATAAAAACTATTTTATTTCGAGCCAACGTTTTGACCCAAGTATGCAGGTCTTCAGGGACGAATGCAGGTCTTCTAGAATGAACAAGATAAAATTTTAATTAACTCCCACTATTGTCTATATCCTTTTGTATCTTGTTCGTTCGAGCCCTGAAGAAGACCTGCATAGTTGGGTCGAAACGTCGGCTCAAGATAAAATTCTTTTGACTATTTTAAGTCTTTTTATGACCGCCATTCCGGACCATCTCCTTCTTCTATAAATTATAAATATTTATTAAAGTATGGATGGTATTACGTTATTTATAATTTTTCCAATTATAAATCTAATCCTGACAAATGATGAGCTGAGATATTAGGGAAAGAAGTTTAGCACAACTGTAAATAAACGAAAAGATTATTTTTTTGAAGTATTTTAATCCCAATGAAAAATTAAAAAAATTATTTTTAATCTGCTTACCTAGCCAACTTGTCTACAAGATCACATTATTGAAAGGGTTAGAAACTTCTGTTAGCTTTGGGAGAAAGGTAGTAATGGTGAGACATGATGTGGTGGCTGATACAAATGTTGTCGTGTAATGAAAGAAGGAACATTCTCACAGTTCTGGCCAATTTGGAAATCACAAGAAAATCGGAAGGAAACCAAGGGTTAGATTTTTGATATTAACATAATGTTGGTTCCTCTATATGCATGTGAGACTTGGTGTAACCAGGTAGGTGACCATGAATTTACTGATGTTTTAACAAACTTAGAAAAAGAAATGACTACAGAACAATTATCTACAAACGCAACTTCAAAAGACTCATGGATAGCTAAAACATGCAATTACATGTAAATTCGAAGTTATTTTATTTGAATATTTGGTACTACTGTCAATCAAGTGTCATCCCACTTTAATCAGTGGGTCAAGTTCCTATTATAGACAGAATGCCAAGGTGTTCATAGTATAACCTGCTTTCATTAAAAATTTATAATTTTACCATCTTTCTACTGGCCCTTTTCAGTTAAAATTGGGACATTAACTAGCTTTAATTAAATCGCTGCTTTTGACTTCTGCTCACTCAAAAAGGTCAAACAAATCCCCAATGATTCCTTTTCAGTTGAGGTGAGGACCTTACCAGGCGATTCAGTCACTTCCATTTACTTTTGAGCACACTCAACCATTCTTGAGATATTGTGTCATCCATCAAAGTGGAGTGACACTTGTACATTAGTATCAAATATTTGTCATATTTCCACTACTGGCAAAACTACAGTAATATCAATCCTGGTTGATAGGAGGGCCAAGCTCACATTAGAAAAAAAAAAATCACTTTGCATTCCATATAAGATATAATAAATGTGTTCATGGCCCATCATCCAGACATGACAACTCTATAATTTTACCAATTATTTTTAAGTTTACTGAACATAAAATCATAATAGAAAGAATTGAAACAAAGATTTATTTATCATACAATAAACAATATTTTAGATTAAATACGTTTTCTGGTTGCTTAGTGAATATATATTACAGCTTCAAATGGAACTATGGTTTTCAGAAAGCTGAATAGAATGTTAGACATTGAGATGTATACAATTATGTAATTTTTATTTCAAAAACCAATTAGTTTCTTGGTGAGTTCACTAAAGCAAATAGCAAATATTAGGAAGAGAGATTTGGTAACAAATTAAAAACATTTTATAAACTATTAAAGAATGATATAAAAAACTAATAGAAACTAAATAACACCTTCTGTCATTATTTTGAAATATTCCTAATTTTTCCATCATATCCAGCTCCGTATCCATATCTTCAAATTTAAATCCTGATATTTCAGGCATAATTAATTCCTTTTTGGAAGAGGAAATTCCACCAACAACTAATCGATAATACGTTAACTGTCCAGTGTTTCCAACATATTCTTTTAAATTTCCCTTTTGGGCATCAAATTTTCCCTTTTTTCCCTCAGTAAGAACTTGAAAATCTTGCATTAAATAAAGGTACATCAATGTTTGTATTGAAGCTATACATAAATATATAATAATTAATCGAATTATCCAGTTACGACAGCCACCAATTTGTTTTGTGTATTGTTATTACAAATTAAACAGTACATTTATAGCTAAATTCGGTGGTGTAAATGAAGCCATTAATAAAGAAGAACAAAAAATTAATTGTTATTGCTAAAAAAAAGAAAGTTGTGTATGAATGACACTGGAGTATTTCTGTTTACAACATTGTAGGCTCTCCATTCGCCCCCCCCCAACTACTTACAGCTCAGAGTTTGAGCTAGTAAACCCAGATCGTGGATGCGCAGCAGCTGATAATTTATGTAATCCATTAGAAGATCAAGATAAATTAGTTTTCTTCAATATGAATGATTTAGAACAAAAACTGTCTGAATCACTAAACGCGGATAAAGCTAAGAACAACCAACCAGAATTGAAAATCTGCGCCTATTGTTGCAAGTAAAGTCCTGTACTCTATGATAATATTCAGAATGGTATCAACTAAATCCTCACATATTAGGATTGGATGCCCAACTCTGGATAACTACTTTCAAAATACATCAAGAATCAAAACTAAAACAGTATAATATTGTTAAAATGTCAACAGACCAGCAAGATTCTAAATTTTGTCGACCATTCATAGAAATAAAAAGATAAAAAACACGCAAAAAGGAGAGAGAATACATCCTCATGACGTAACCAATCCATCGTAGTCTGGCTGTTTTAATGACTTGTACCATATCTACATTTTAAAAATTGAGCTCGATATTTTTTTCTATTGATATCGGTTTGAATATTTTTCCTCTTGGATCTCTGGAAAGGCAATTAAAGCTTTCGGCATTGTCGAGTCATAGGTAAGGACTGCGTGGATCAGTTTTGTAGATTCTAATCTTTCCTGTTCTCAAAGCTGGCCTACGGAGGTATTTTTGAAGGGTGAAATAGCACGCATTTGCTAAGATCTTTCTATTCATGTCGCCATTGATGATGTTTTGAGGGTTGTCTTGGGCTTCCGGGCACACCATGAGTTTCAGGCGGATCTAAGGGGGTGGAAGCCCTCCCCCCCCCCCCCAAATGGTAAAATATAACCATGTTAAAAATATTAAAAACTATCTCTTAAAGCATTCTTCTTCCTGTAATTACATTTGATAGGATTTCAGGAACCACTTAAACACGATTTCATATAGGTAGTTAAATTCTTTTTTTTTTCAAATTAACTATCGTTATATGTATATGAAAAAAAAAAAATTTCGGACTGAAGCCCCCCAAAATTAAATTCTGAATCCGCTAGTGCCAAGAGTAGATAAAGTCTAGTACATTTTAAAATGTTGGTAGTACATTTTAAAAATCTACAATCAATTTATGTTCACGTTGAAGAGTAGATGTTTTTCGTCTTTCTAAATGAATTTTAGCAGTATATTTTACATTATGAAGAAAACCTTCAACTAACAATTACTGGCGGTTCTACAGCAAGGTATTACTGGAGGAAGTCCAACTAAAATGGATTTTTTCTCCGTTTCAAATATTGCTTATACATCATTTTATATAGTTAGTTTCTTTTTCTCCCATAGTAATTGTTGCTATAAATATAAAAAGGTTTCATTCTGAAGCTCCCCAAAATTTAATCCTGGATCTGCTACTTTTGACAATTCACAGAACTTACATACTCATGTTTGTCAATAGCATTAATCCTCTTTTTTTTTGTGGTTAACAAGTGATTTTTGATCTAGTACACATTTTATACTAACTTCTTGTACCATATGAGGTAGTTTACCTCAGTCTAATTGACCATATAGTTTTCCTTACAATTTCTTGAACTTCTTCAAGTTTAACAAGCTGAACTGAAAGATGGAGTTTCTTGGATTTAATCGATGACTTTGTACCAGTTTTTACTTTCATTTACGTATATCTGTAATGGTAAGTATTGCGATCGTGAAAATTTTCGAATATCAGTTTTCAACGGAAATACATGTTTTGAGGTCCCCTGAGTTCAAATAACCAAGTGTCGCAAAATGGTCGGTGTGTGTGTGTGTTTGTGTTAACAGTCTAGATCATAAACGAAAAGTAGTACGAAACTGATATTAAGTATTTAAGGTTTGTATATGGGCCGGATGTGAAAGCAACTTTTTCGTTAAAATCGGCTAACCGGAAGTGCCACTTTATATTAACGCTGAAACACATTTTTACAATTTTCTCAAAAACGGCTCTAACGATTTTGATCAAACTCGGTGTATCATTATATAATTAAGTGGTCTTTAATATCATTTAGGCACTAGCGGATCCAGGATTTCATTTTAGGGGGCACTTCAGCCCGAAAGATTTTTTTTTTCAAATGCATACAACGATAATTAATTTGAAAAAAAAAGAAAGAAATTAACTACCTATATGAAATTGTGTTTAAGTGGTTCTTGAAGTCCTATTAAATATAATTACACGAACAAGAATACTTTAAGAGATAGTTTTTAATATTTTTTTTCAGTAAAACATGGTTAGATTTTACCATTTTGGGAGGGATTTCACTTTCACTTGATTTCACTTTACAGGGTTTAAATGCCCTATTTTCATATATGTCTTCCTCTAAAGTACCTTTAATATGGTTTATTTTAAAAAGTTTATCATTTCGCATTATTCAGAGTTACGAAAAAATGCTACATATAACTTTTGATAAGTTAATAAAGGAGAAAAAAAAAAAAAAAATGCAGAAAAACCTGCGTTGCTATAGACTGTAGCGCCTAAACGAATGTACCGATTTCAATGAAACTTCGCTAAAGTCATTTTATCGATACCCTTTAAATTTATCTATATAACATACTTCAACGAAAAAAAGTTGGAAAAAAGTGAGGAGGATGTTAAAATTAAATTCCGAATAACTCAAAAAATATACGCTTTTTTGGGATATTGTTTATGGTTTTTAAAAGTTTATGGAATTTCCTAAAAAAACAAAAAAAAATCGTTAAAATCGGACAATTAGGAGGAAAGATATGGTCTCTAGTTTTTTCCCTGAAGAGGCGAAAATTTGGATAAATTTAAAATATAGTTTTTTAATTGTTGAGACTAAAAAAACGTTTTTTCTACAGATATTTAATAAAGTGTCTTTCCTAAGAAAGTAGTACCTAAATTTATACTTTTATTCTCAGTTCTATATTACAACACTGCAATCACCACTTCTGGAATCAACTTACTCATTGTCTGTATAGATAACTTTTTCAACTAAAAATATCACTAAAATGATATCACTCAAAAATATTGAAATTGGAGTTAGTCATTCTGTGGTTTATAAAAGCAAAGAAAGTTGTGTGGTTTATAAAAGCAGATGGAGTGACTAGATTTTTATTGCCTGTCGTCGATATATTAAATAGACATTTTGTAATTATAATGGTCTTAATGACCTGTTATCTGTAAGCTTTAAGCTTTAGCTGCGTTTAAAATGCACTTCAAAAAATTTTATAATAGCCCAGCATTACAAGAAAATAATTTCTATTCAAAGTAGATCGGTAAGTGAAAGTTGTGTGTTGCGCTCACCAGATTTTTTAAATTTATGATATAATGCAATATTACCTGTTTGATGCCATAACTTAGCTGTATAAAATATAAATGTGGCAGTAACTTATTTGTTCTAAAAAACACCAATCTCTAAAACATTAACGAATAAAAATTATTTGGATGAAAATTTATTCAAAAATACCCAACAATGCAGTATATGTTTTGAATGCATAATAGGTGGCAATCGGCATATTTTTCTGTGCTTTATTATGTTGAAAGATGATATGTGAATACTTAATGTTCCCTTAAGCAAAAATATAGTTAAAAAAGATCTTTTAATCCATAACCATCACATATGTACATTTAAGTGACTTATTACTAGTACATTAATACATTTTTTTTTTTTTTTATGATTTCTCAGTTTCAACTTGTAGCAAGATTTTATTGTAGAAGATTTTATGTTTGGAGTCAAAAGAGGATTAATACAAGAATGAGAGAAATTAAATAGAGTGTAGGGATTCTTAGTGGGGCCTTCGAAATTGTCTTCATTCAATCATTCCATTTGAAGGTTTCAGTTTTAAACCTGCACTTCATGGTTTAAGCAATAATATATATATATTCTCAGGGTAAATAAATCAACTAAAAAATTCAAACACTTTTTTTTAATAAACAAATAACATGCATTTCCAAAATAAAACTTATATCTCTATATTTACTTCTTATTTATGTTTTCAAAGCTTTGTACTAATGAGGGATTTTTCTTAAAATCTACAAATAAGTCTTAAACAACCTTCTTGGCTACCTCTATACAAACTGACAACATAAAAAAAGTTTTATATGAGAATTTATATTTTATAACTTGACATTTTATTTTTATAATCAATAGTGTTGATTAAATTATAATCCACAATAACTAATCTTGAAGGGATGATGATCATATAATCAAATTATAAAGAGTTACACTTTTTTTTTATTTGTAGCCATAATAAAAAATAATCAATCGCATTGACAATAATTATATTCATATTTATTTACAGGAAAAATATAATTACTAAATAAATAGTAAAAACCTGTACAAATACAAAATATACAAAGTGACAACATAAAAAAAGTTTTATATGAGAATTTATATTTTATAACTTGACATTTTATTTTTTTAATCAATAATGTTGATTAAATTATAATCCACAATAACTAATCTTGAAGGGATGATGATCATATAATCAAATTATAAAGAGTTACACTTTTTTTTATTTGTAGCCATAATAAAAAATAATCAATCACATTGATAATAATTATATTCATATTTATTTACAGGAAAAATATAATTACTAAATAAATAGTAAAAACCTGTACAAATACAAAATAGTTTGGAATTTAAAAAGTAATACGTCTTTCATTCAAAGGCCTACATTTGACAACAGATCAACTTCCAGCTTCATAGCTTGTTTCATCATAGGATGATGATCTGAAAGAAATAAGCAAAATAGAAATTCCTCAAAATTAATAATATTATATCATATATCAAATAATAATATTTATAAAATTATTTGTAATTGTCTACTAACAAAGTCTCATTATTATATTCCTTAATTTTAATCTTTTATTAATTTAAATGAAAAGATATTCGAGAAGTTAACTTCTACTTTAAAAAATATCAAGTACTTTTAAGCATATATATATGCTCTCCCAAAAAAATATTATTATTAAGTTTCCCTTCATTCGCATTTACATGAGAATTTCTGTTACTAATAATTGAATAAAATAAATAAATTAACACACATGCATGCACACAGGTATATATATATATATATATATATATATATATATATATATAATATATATTAAAGATATATAATTATAGGATACTGCATAAAAGGATATGATTATGCAACCATTTTGAAATTTATATAATTTATTGGTATTGTTTCTCTTCTGAAAATAACAGGCAACCAACACCAAAGATTAAGTATTTTGATCTAAATATGGCTGTTTGGTAAGTGTCATTACTTTAGTAATGACTTCCACAACAACGGTTCTGTTTATAAAATGAACCTTTTATTTAAAATCTAAATTTAACATAAATATATATATATATATATATATATATATATAGTCTGACTTTGGCAGTATTGAACGTCAGTTCGGGTCTGTGTTCATTTTTAATCCTATTAAGTTATACACTCCCTATAAAAGTGATTTTTTGTATACTCGTGTAATTCCTATTTAGGAATGCTTTTACAAATTTCGGTGGTGTTCTGAAGAGTGTAAGAGCAGCTGTGAAGGAATACATGAAGAGGTATTTCGTTGGAAGTTTGCAGCCGTTATCGCTAAAATCTTCAAGAAATTTCCTGTCAGCCCCCTCTTCTGTCTCAGTCTCATCACAAGCAGGTCTCCAGCAAAATGGCCGGTGAAGTATTGGATTTAAATTACGCTATCAAGACTTTAAAAGAGGTTTTGGATTACAATCTCTTGAGAAAAGACCTGCGACCGAAGGTAGGAAAAGCTATCGAAGTGATGGAAAAATATGTAGGTAATCTTTGTGACCAATCATTTAGTTTGGAAATCGGGGAGGTTATTAAAAAAGACAACCTCTCTTTAAATAACAAAATTAGTTACTCAGCAGTTGCCCAAAGGGTTGTAATGAAAGCACAAAATCGAACAGCCCATAAGGCAATTATTAAACCTAAAATATCATTAGAACCGAATGAACTTTGTAACGAATTTAAGTCTTTAGTAAATCCAAAAGATTTACACATAAGTTTTCAAAAGGTTGTAGAAACAAAAAACGGATCATTAATAATACAGACCGACAGGGAGAAAGATCTCAACGAAATTGCTCAAACTATAAAAGGCTCAAGAAAAATATCATACCATAAAATAAATAAAATGAACCCTCGTGTTGTTGTGAGAAACATTGAGGAAGAAATAAATTTACAGAATATAACCGACTACATAACTGCTCAAAATGATGATATTCATTTACAAAAGGATAAAATAAGACCTGTGATTATCCTCACTACAAGAAAGAATAGTAGTCGGCATGCTGTTTTGGAGGTTGACGCGGGAACTCGAGAATTGCTATTATATAATAAAATCAGCCTCGGACATCAAAAGGTGAGAATTCAGGATTATTTCCAAATAAGAAGGTGCACCAAGTGCCTTAAATTTCACCATAGAAGCAAGGATTGCAGAGGGACGATAGCATGCTCGAACTGCGGAGGTCAACACGCGGCTAGTGACTGCACTTCTCAAGAAATGAAATGTATCATTTGTCAAAACTACAACAAGTTCACTAAAAGCCAAAAGAAGCGCCCCACAGAACATTCTGTATTTGACCGAAACTGCCCGTCGTACTTGACAGAAATACAGAAATTGGCATCTAATACCAACTACAACATCCCTCTACAGTGAGTAATTAATAACCATAATATATACATATTTCAAAATATTATTGGGGACTGTAAACAATTAATTTTTAAGGATGGTACATAGACAATTAAACATGTTACAACTCAACACACATCATTCAAAATGCACATTGAACATGCTACAACAGTATATAAAAATGAAACAAATAGACGTTTTATTAATCCAAGAACCTTATACAAGATTAAATAAAATTGTAGGTTATAATCAGTCAAGGGTTTTTCAAACAATAGGAAGCAATCCCAGAGCTGGAGTCGTTGTGACCAATAAAAACATTGATGCCTGCATGATATTGCAACATTCTGATTGTGATTTTGTTTGCATAGAAATATCATACAGTGAATTAAAATGTATAATAATATGTGCTTATTTTGATATCACCCGAAACATAAATTTGGATTTACAAAAAATAGAACGCGTTTTGGATTATTTCAAAGATTCTAATATCATTATTGGATTGGACTCCAATGCAAGATCTAAATATTGGTTCGACAAAAAAACTAACGAAAGGGGTAAAAATATGGAAACTTTTATTGTTGAGAAAGATTTGTTCTTAATGAATATAAATTCCGAACTAATGACTTTCCAAGGGCCGCGAGGCAGTAGTAATATTGATTTAACATTATCTAATACAAAACTGATTAGACATAATATTGTAAAAAATTGGACAATTTCTAGAGAAACAAATTTTTCGGACCACAACATTTTGACTTATGAGTTACATTTACAGGGAAATGATAAAACTGGAGTGCTAGCAAAAAACTATATATATTTGACAGAGAATGGTGACTGGAATAAATTCTTGGCTAACTTAATACATCAGTTAGAAAAACAGTTTTTATCTCAACATTGTACTGATAAGAAGGAATTGACAGTTTATGATACCGAAAAGCTGATTCTTAATGAGTTTTCTCTTATGCCTACTGATATTATCATAAATAAAATGATAAAATCTATCGTAAAATCTTGCAATATAGCATTCAAAAGATCCGGCCATTTCAAAGGTCGAACTAGAAAAAGATCAGTACCTTGGTGGAACCCTGAACTAACTGGCTTGCGTAAAGAGACAAATCATCTAAGAAGAAATTACCAGCGGACAAAAGACGATGGACTAAGGGAATCAAGGAGAGTGATCTATCTCAAAAGTAGGCAAGCATATCAAAAGCTAATTAAAAGTTCCAAATTAAAGTCCTGGAAGACATTTGCTACTGCATCAAAGGCGTGGCAATGGCCATATAAGTATGTATCCAATAAAATAAAACCTCAAACCTTACTCACTACCACTTTGAATGAACTAGGAACATACACAACAGACACTAAGAATACATTATCTCATATATTAAATAAGATAATCAAAGATGACAATACAAGTGATGACACTAACGAACACAGACAAATGAGAACAGAAATACTTATCCCGCCTAATAATGACGATGACACTAATATCCGGGATTTTGAAATATTACAAGTTATTAATAAATTGGATGACAAGAAAGCACCAGGAATAGACAAAATTGACCCAAGAATGATAAAAAAGATAGCTGACTCCTTTCCAAAATTGATAACTGGACTTTATAAAACCTTATTCAAAAGAAATGAATTTCCTAAAAGCTGGAAGGTGGGTAAATTAACATTGATTCCTAAGGCTAATTCATTTTCACTGAGACCACTAAGTATGCTTCCTGTAATGAGTAGAATTTTTGAAAAAATAATAAAAAATAGATTAATGCATCATCTACTTAGTAACAATATACTCCACCGACACCAATTTGGATTCAGACCCCAATCAGGAACTGACGATGCACTCAGTGAATTGAACGACCATATCACCAGTACACTCCGGCAAAATAGTAATTTATTGGTTGTTTCTTTGGATATCGCGGGTGCCTTTGACAACGCCTGGTGGCCTGCGATTTTAAATAATCTAAAGAAATATAAATGTCCAAAAAACATATACAAAATCATTCAAAATTATTTTTCTGACAGAAAACTTGCAATCCAAACAAACTTTCATTATATTGACAAGAAATTGACGCTAGGAACTCCTCAAGGATCAGCACTATCACCTATACTATGGAACATCTTAATCAATACTGTTTTCGAAATAGACCTACAGGAAAATTCAACATTATTAGCATACGCAGACGATTTATTATTACTTATAAAACGAAGAGATTTCGATGAATTACAGACAATAGCAAACATAACATTATCAAGGCTGAGACGATGGACTAGACGCAACAAACTTAAATTTAATCTAGACAAGACAAAATATATAATCTTCACAAAAAAGAGAATTGTACCAGAATTGGATATTCGACTCAATACAGTAAGAATAACGCAATGTGATACATTATCATATTTGGGGCTTCTCTTTGACAGAAAACTGAATTGGAACAGACATATAGATAATCTATATGACAACACTTTAAGGATTATAAATGGACTATCAGTGGCTGCAAGAGCGACATGGGGACTCAGATCGGAAGTGTTAAAGGAAATTTATGAAGCTGCTGTACTTCCTAAGATGCTCTACGCTGTGCATGTCTGGCATCCGGCCGTTGAACGTAAGAAAAATTTGGTGAAGTTGGAAAGGCTTCAGAGGTTAATTGCGATTAAGATATGTAAGGGCTATCGTACACTATCATTCGAGGCCACAATATTATTGGCAGGGCTGTTGCCAATCCAAATGAAGATTGAAGAACGAACGACCTTATATAACATTAGAAAAGGAAAGAGAGGATACAAAGACCTGACCCTAGACAAAATAGAAAGAATTACTGACTGTAAATCTTGGTTACACCCTGCAACAAGTTTATGGACTGGACCGGGAATTACTTCTGAAAATACTGATGTTTTCACTGATGGTAGTAAGGACGGCGAGAATGTTGGATGTGCATGGTTGTTCAGAGCTCAAGATGGTAGGAATATAGAACATCAATATAAATTAGAATCATATTGCTCAAATAATCAGGCAGAAAAATTCGCTGTTTTAAAGGTTACTGAATACATATATGAATACCCTCTACAAACGAATACTCACGTTACTATAAATACAGACAACAAAGTTCTGCTAGACTCTGTTAATAATTGGGACATTCATGATTACTTGACTGACCAAATTAGAAACAAATTGTTAATGATGAGAACTGTAGGGAAAGTAGTGACTCTAAAATGGGTAAAAGCACATTGTGGGATTGAGGGCAATGAACGAGCCGATTGCCTTGCAAAAGAAGCAGCTAAAAGCGATTTGCCGCCATCGTATCATCAAGCTCCTTTATCGTATATTAATATGAATTTAAAGTTGGATTTCATCAAAAGATGGGATCACATATGGGTGACCTCAGCTAAGTCACCAAGCTTACACAGATTTATACCACACATTTCAATTCACAATTACAGACACATTCACAGTAATGACTACAAACTTACGCAAGTACTTACGGAACATGGGAATACAAAACAATATCTTAAAAGATTCAACATTATACAAACAGACTTATGTGATGAAGACGGACAGGTTCAAAATTTTAAACATATAATATATGAATGTAAACGATTTGACAGACAGCGATTTGAGTTAATAAAAAGCATAATTATCAAAAGAGGAAATTGGCCTGAGACGGAACAAAAGTTATTTACTGAATTCAAGACAGACTTTCTTAGATTTATTAGATCGATCGACTTCGACTTACTAACCAGGGATGGGCAGCGTGGGTGATTTCTTTTTGGCTTTGTTGGATTGACTTTGTGTGTTTAATATTTAATTTTCCGATTTAATTTTTGTGTGTTTATTCTTTGTGTTTTTTTTTTTGTTAATGTATATAAATTTGAACTAAAAATGTAAATCATGTGAAACTAGAAAAAAAAAAACAATTGTAAACAAATGTAATTCATGTAGTATGTCTTTAAGGCATGGAGCATGAAGGAAAAAAAAAAAAAAAAAAAAAAAAAAAAAAAAAAAAAAAAAAAATATATATATATATATATATATATATATATATATATATATATATATATATATTTTAGGAACACATTTCATCATTAAAAAGAAAGAGAAAAATGCTACAAGAATCAAGTTCTTACTTAATTTTGATTTAGATTAGAGATGCCTGCCTTTGTTATGAGGTTACTCATATAATAAAAAAATTTAGGAGTTGATCACATTGATTAAAGATGTCCACATTTTTTTATTCAACAAATTGTTAGATTATTTATTTTGAATGAATTTTATTTATACATTTTTACACATACCCAATACTTTCTTCTAAGGTACCTCTAAGCTCAAGTTCTCTTCGGGCCAGGGTATCCCATGTTACTTCTTCTGCTGGACATTCATAATTCATTCCTCTAAAAAAAATTGTCGGCATATATTAATTTAAAAAAAAAAGTTGTATCAATGGTTGTTAATAGTTATAAACTAAAATAATCATTTATAATGGAGATATAGTTGTATTGAGATATTATAGATGTAATCAAGAACAAGACGGTTGAGAGGTTTCTTGAACCTTTATCAGGGTGATGAGTTCAGAACTACTGTTCCGTGTAATGAACTTTTCTAAATCCTGTACTTGTCATTCCCATGAAAGCTTACAAAAGAGGCTGAAATATTGGTATCGCTAAAAGTTTAAACTTGCTAAGTGCTTTTCTTTCTTATCCTGCCTCCATTTTTTCCTTACAGTATCAATCATCAGGACATCAATTAAACTGAATTAATCTTTTTAATACATATTTTTTTCTCTAAATGTAATTGGAGTAGATTTGAAATATTTTCTCAGTTCAAAAATTAAAAAAACAAACCAATTCTTTTGCCCTACAATGTTAAGAAGATTTATTTCAATATAAAAGTTTTATTGAAAAAAATAAAAAGATTAATGGTTCTGATGATCATTTCAAACTATCCACAATTACAGCTAGTTCAAAAAATAATGGGAACTTCTTCACTAGCTTAGAGGTAGAGGTACTAGCAGGGGACTGACTGCTATCTGCCAATGTTTATAACCTGAACACTGATAATTCCGATAAGGCAGTGATAAGCCATCTCGTAATTCCTATCTTCGTATTATTGTATTAAAAATTCCTTTATTTTATGACACATATATTAATAAAAAAACACTTAAAGTAGATATGTACATATAAAAGATCAAAATGAAATAACAAAAATACACTTAAAGAACATATGTACATATAAAAGATGAAAATGAAATAATAAAAAAAAACACTTAAAGAACATATGTAGATATAAAAGATGAAAATCAAATAACAAAAAAACACTTAAGGAACATATGTACATATAAAAGAAAAAATATCAACACTATAAACGACACATGTACACTTTATCTTATTTATTTTGGTTCGAAAAATAGTTTTCTGCTATTTAAAATAGGGAGGAACGGGTCCTCTTCTTTGTGAACCCGTTGCCACAAAAATTCATGCCAAAAAAAATATGAATCGAGGTATTGTCTGGCAGTTCTTCCGTTTCCACAAACGGGCCAAAAATAAAGAATTTAATAAGTGAACGTAATAAGGGAATAACTGAAAAATTTAATGACTGAAATGTTTGGCGGGATAACAAGAGGGGGATTATATGACGTGACGTTAGATAACATAGATAAGAAGTGAGGTTTCGACCCGGCCTGCTAGTGAAGAAGTACCAAATAATGCTTCGGAACAATAAAATAAACTAACACTAGAACTGTTTTTCAAAATACTAGAGGATTCAAGAATTAATACAAGATGCTATAATATTCAATAAAATATTAAACTTCTTAATAACAAACTGTGCCAATAATAAAACTAATATATATAATTAATCAGCCATAATACCTATTGCTATGGATTGTTTCAGTCTTATTGAGAAGATATTCAGAGATAAAAGCATCTACCAAATGACTGTTTAATGTCTTCACAGCCACGTCGTATATTTTGGAGACTCGTCCTGGTTCTCCAAATTTTGCTTCAAACTTTATATACCACAACCAAACATCTAAAAAAAAATAGTATCAGTATCAGAAAATTCTATCTACGAGAAAAAATAATTCTGTTTATCTGAACTAAAAACAAAAATAGAACAAACCTGTGTTTGATTTTCCATATTGATTTACAGCTGTTTCATAAACATGCCTGGCACAGTTCACATTAATATTTGGTTGTGCATCTTCCAATTTAGCCATAGCTATATGGATATCTAGTGTAAAAGGAGGTGTTCTAGAGAGCACTGAATATGCTTTCCTCGCAGCGTCTAAAATAAAGTCTTGCCTTGTTAAGACATAATCAAAGGAAACCTTATTTACTATATACAGCCATTTTAATCTCTAATGTTAATTTTGATGTTAATATTCTAATTATTTGACTTTAAACGATCATTATAGGAATTTCATTACTTTGACAATAAATAAATATGAATTTTTGCAATTAAATTAAATAATTTACGGACATAAGGCAAATGTACCGGTAATAGACACTCCAAGATTTTTTTTTTAACACTAATGTCAACTAAAGCTTTAGTTATGATGGTGGCGCCCCTGGGCAATGATGTCATCCCCTCCCTATAAAAAAAATTAGATTTCTTGCTTAAGCTGTTTTATATAATGTAATATTTGAATTTTATTCCTTACAACATTCCTCTAATACAGTTGCTTTATTGATAAATTAACATTAATTATTTTAATACGTTTTGCATTTTTTTTTTATTTCTAACAAGTAGCAAGCATGGCTAGAGGTCGACCGGCACCCTCGACGAGCTCCCCTCCAGGTCTACGCGGGCCCCAGGGAAATTGTCCCGGTTGCTCTACCCTAAGGCCGGCACTGTGGTGGGTCTTTGCAAATTGGTTTAATTGTAAGAAACTTAAGCCTTTTATCAAAATTTTTATTCTTATACAGTCAATTAGTTAATTATTCATGAAAAACTTAGGAAATTTTGACAGTGAATATTGCACCAGTAATAGACACTTCGGTTTTGAGGTCAATAGCATTTTATATAATTAAAAAATAAAATAAATAATGCGCAGTTTTGAACAAAGAAATGGCAAACTACAGAAGTATGAATCAAAATTTCAAAATTATATCCTAAAGAAAAGTGATAAGGAAACCTCTGAAACAAACATTCAGCCTTGTTCCTTAAAAAATCAAATCCTATGAGTTATAACTGCAAAATTACTCATGTTTGCACTCTATAGGGCATACAAAGCTTATTATTATTTAATGAATTGAGAACTGTCAATTACTGTTACTAGTAAATTTTCCTTACACACACACACACACACACACACACACACACATATATATATATTTTAAATTCTTATGAATTTATTTTGGCAAGTTATAAGCACATGAATTTTATACATTTACCCTCAAATATGCAATTGCATAAAAATCCGGGCCTTGGCTATAAGAGATGGGGAAGAGGTTCACAGAAGATTGAATTCTTTAGTATTACAGTCTGTAAATAACCTAATAAAGTTTAACTGTAAATAACTTGTTTTGGCGGGCAATTGGAAATAGCCTTCCTCTTTTATATCAGGGAAGTAGGTTATTTACACTCGTGATTATTAAAAGAAAATCCTGGCACTGGATATAGACTTTTTGAGGGTGTTTAACTGTCGTAGGGAATTCGGGAATCTAATACCTTCTGTGACACTAAGTGACAAGAAACAATAAGGATATATATAATATGGGACTTAGTAAACACATTTTGAATGAATTGACTCACCTGGTTTGTTATTCTTCAATCATGAGGCATATAGAACAACTAAATAAATAAATGACTTTTCACTCCTGTATAACAAAATAATTTATTTCTACAACTGTAATAAATTGACTCTATTAAAGTGTTATAACTATAGACTTGATCTTCTAAATCTTGTAGTAGACTTCTAATATCGTTCCGCCTCCATGTCTCAGCCTCAAGTCCTCTGGCCTCCGTGTTTCAGCCTCAAGTGCCTTCTCTCCTCTTCTCCGGCGTCTTCCAGCTGTTGCTACCTGCTCGGGCCTTTCGGTACCTCCCACTTTCTTCCTTCTTCATCGATATAAGACTTTTCAATGAATAATTTGTCCACTGCACAATTGAGTACAATTCACAGTGCAACCTCACATTCCTATATATTCCTTCTCATTCCCTCACACAAAGAAATAAATACAGGGGACTATCTACTACAAGTCGAACCCTACTTAACACGAGTGATATGCAAATGACTTAAATGTTGAGTGAGTTCCTTTGATTTTATAAAACTAAAATTTGTAATATATGTTTTTATTTTCGCTATTATATTTATAATTGACGCTGACCAATTAAAAACACAACTGACTTATCTAACATTTATTTCGAAATGGTTAAAAAATTTCTATTTTTAAGTCTAACATTAACAATTTTCAATTATAATTTACTTACTCGGCAATCAATTTCACTTTGTAATAAGATAAAATTATTCAAACCTGAAGAGAAAGAAAAGTAACAGGCATTTACAATTCCTGCAAATTCGTTGATTCAGTGCTGACCTCATTGAAGCATCATTTTGTTCAGTTAAGAGACAGATCTGATAGCATCAAAGAATTCAGCACTAAGTATAGGAACGTGCCTGATGTAAGCTTTAATTGTAAAATTGTTTTACATTTCTTCAACCTCGTTAATATTACAATAGACATGGAATATTTAAAGTTAAAGTATAATCAGTATATTTACAATGATTTTTTATAGATCTAAAATATAATGTTAGATTTAAATACCAAAATAATTGTTAATATAAATTACAAATATCTAAAAAAACAACAATAATAAAATGAATCATGCTATCGTGAATTTTAAATAAATGTTTATTTAAAAAATATTATAAACTATTAATAGTAAATAATACTTACTGATCCCGCTGGTCATAGCCAACCATTCCATGTATCGACCCTTAAGAGCTGCACCAACGGTAGGATTATTGGCACCTTCATTCCACAAACTTTCAGCCTAAATAAATCAAAAATATAATTTTTGTTTTATCAAGATAGAGATTAATTAGTCTATAAAAGTTTTAATAAATAAATAAATAAAATAAATAATAAATAAATAAAACATTTTATTTTACTTGTTCAGATCTCTCTAACCCCAAATTGTTCTAAAGTACAATTCATCGATTTTAATAACACCGTACTTCTCGCTGATTATATTAAATTTATATTAATTTTTTAAATCTCATCAAGATTAACCATAAATCATGACATTTGGGGTCCGAATCAGCAGTACCACATCGCATATTAATATAATATCTCACCTTCTTAATATCAAACATCTGGTAATACTCCAGAGCTATCATCCAGAGACTGGCTTTGTCCGGGATGTTCGGGTGTGAAATGATCTCCCTCAAAACTGCCATAGTTTCTTCTTCACTTCGGCCGAGGTGAAAATGCAATCTCAATGTCCAAAGTGAGTTGCTCGAACCAAACTTCTCAGTTCCCCATCGCAGGACTTCGCAAGTGTCTGCATTATCAACTTCTGTGGCCTGTAAATATTATAAAAATATATAGAATTGCTTACATATAAAATCATTAAAAATTAAACTGAATCATAGTTATCGGGGCATTTATTTATGTACTGATATATAATAAAATGATCATAAATCTACAAACAAAAAACTATGAATATTTATAAAATTTGTCTCATTTTTAAAAATAATGAAATTTAAAACAATACTTCTTTTTTTGGTAGGTGAGGCACGATATGTTCTACTTCCTATAATAACCTTAAATACATTTACTGTAGTTTAATAACTGTAGATCCATTAATATATCTAAATAATTAGGCATGTATCGTTACTGTTATCGAAGGAAAATCAATCAGTAACATTTTAGAAAATTAAATTAGTGAATTTAATGATTTTTTTCTCTGTGAAACAAAACATTATCTACTAACTTTTAGTGCAACGACTTTTGACCTATTGATGGAAGGCAATGAAAAGCTCATAACTCTATTCTTGTAAATTTTACAAGGAAAAAATAACCACTTCAGTTACAAATTTCAAATTTTTCAGGATACAGAAAAAACATCATAACTCCTCCAACTTTTCAAATATTGAAACTTTTTTTTTTCCTCTGCCATAACATGCATTTATGTTAATGTCATGCAAAAATGACCTAATTTCGACATTAATTAGGCTTGGGGAAAATAAAAATTTGAATCAGACTAATGCTGTTTCTGCAATCAACTGTTTTTACAGACAGCTGAAAACTTGGAAAAAGGTAACCATTATAATTGTAAATAAGTGTAAGATTATAAGTGTAAATACAAAGGCTCAGGATTTTACATTACTTACAAAAATTAAGAGTGATAATACATAACATAATACATTATAATATAATTAATATAATGTATTGTAAAACAAAGAATATAGTATTATTTACAAAAATAAAGTTATACATATAGTGAATATATTTTTTGAATAAATAAGAGTATTCATTAAGAAGATTGTGTGGAAATATTTCTATTCGCTTCTGTAAATTTAAGCGTATTCATTTTGATAAACGTCAATACTGCCATATTCACTTTTACTGGTATAAATATAGCAGTATTCACTTTTACAATCGTGAATACGGCCGTATTTATATTTACAGCTGTGAATACATATCATCTGTATTCATGTTTTTTTTTATGAATATAAGTATAAGTACCATAAATATAAATGCTATAGGTATTTTTTTTTTAAATATAAATACGCCCATCTCTGCTGGTCATGCGATCCAGCGGTGGGTGCAGAAACCACGTCAGTTACTGACTCACGTTATTTCTGCGCTCAACGATCGAAAGACATCATGTATTTACACAGCTACGCAACAGATTAACGTGGTTCTTGCACTCAACACGCATCTTGCCTTTCTAAGCTTCTTTTCATCGAAAACGATTATTTTTTTTTACTCACCCATTCAATTGAAGAGAAGAATGGTTGGGCTGGTCAGTCAAAATAAAAAATAGCAAAAATAAATAATAATATGAGAAGGAGTTAGTCGAGGGTGAGGTCAAATAAATAAAAAAATTAAAATATATAAATTATTTTAATTTTTGCCGACGTTATGACCCACTTTGCAGGTCGTCTTCAGGGCTACAAAAGATACAAAACATGTTAAAAATAAAAAAATAATTATATTATTTATAATATATTTATTTTTTTTATATATTTTTTTTTATTTTCAACATGTTTTGTATCTTTTGTAGCCCTGAAGACGACCTGCAAAGTAGGTCGAAACGTCGGCAAAAATTAAAATAATTTATAATGATGTAGAGTTGGTTGACCGTTGATATGATATGAGAAGGAATTAGTCGAGGGTGCGGTCAAAAAAATAAAAAAAATTAAAATATATAAATAATTTTAATTTTTGCCGACGTTTCGACCCACTTTGCAGGTCGTCTTCAGGGCTACAAAAGATACAAACATGTTGAAAAAATAAAAATAAAATAAAAAATAAATATAAGTATATATAAATTACGAAGAAGTTGTCAGATACAGAAATAAAAGATAAAGAAAATAAATACATGATAAGAAAATAGATAAAAGAAAATAAATACATGAATGTTAACGAATAAATGAATGTTAACGAATAAATTGATTGAAAATTGAATAACTATTGTTACAGTAAAGTTAAAATATGGATAAGATAACATAATAATAAGATATCAGTGGATAACAAGCAAGTGGAGGTTACCTTTAATTGTAAATAAACAGATAACGGGACCAAAGGTTAAGAAGTGAAGAAATTGAAAGATTAATAGGGTAACATTAGTGTAATATTGTTGGGATAGATTATTAAGTATAAATAACTCTATAAGAAAACAATAATTTTAAAAGAATACTTTAAAATGTAAGAATAAATGTAAAAACAAGGTTATGATGATAAAGAAACAAAAAACAGGTTGTACTATATATAGATGACAATTGACATTTAGTTTTTTGAAAGCGGTAATGGAATGGTAGGCTGTATGAAGATAATAATAAGGTGTATAGTTGAAGGATAGGTGTGTTAAGAAAGGAATCTCAATAAAAGTCAAAACATACCGTTGGATGTGGCACTGCGGGAGGCGGTTGAAACACTGGCAGTGTCAAAAACTCTAGTTAGCAGTGTCAAAAAAAAAAAAAGTTCTAGTAAAAATAAACGCATACATACATACACATATATACACATACAAACACACACACACACACACACACACACACACACACACACATATATATATATATATATATATATATATATATATATATATATATATATATATATATATATATATATAAAAGGAGAAGTAAAAGAAAGTATAAATGGAAGTGAGAAGATTAAATAGAGGTTTATGATCGAGACTTTTTTAAAATGTTGATGATTTGGGAGTAGGCGAGTGATAGATTTTGCTTGTCGGTTTTTAAGTTAAGTGGTTTGTAGTCTAATTGAATGAAAACACTTTCCGTAAGTAGTCTTTTGTCGTGGTTAGGTACTGTGGCAAGAATGGAGGTATTGTCAAAGTCAAATGTGTGGTTTGAGGTTAAGGCGTGTTCAGAGAGTTTAGAAGCAGTAGAGTTCTTAGAAGTAATTGAGTATTTGTGTTGTTTGATGCGGTCTTTAAGTTGGTTTTTGGTTTCTCCAATATAGGCGGAGTTACAATTGGTGGTAGAGCAAGGAATGCGGTATACGATATTAGAGCGGTGTTGCGGAGGGATGGGGTCTTTTAGGTTGGAGTAAATATTGGCAAGTTTGTTATAGTTTTTAAAAGCAACTCGCAGGTTGGGAATAGAGGAACGTAAAGATTTTTGAATTCTATCCGAAAGTAAAGGGATGTATGGTAGAGATCTATATAAAGGAATGGGGGGCTGATTTTGAGAACTAGAGAAAGGGATGGAGGATGAGGGGCGGGTTTTGTAGTCAGTAATAAGTTTTTTAATGGTGTTGGAGGGGAAGTTATTAGACAATAGTATCCGTTGTATGCGTCTAGTGTTTGTTTCATGTAGGTAAGGGTCAGATAGAGAAAAACATCGGTGAATGAGGTTTTTGGCAACGTTAAGTTTTTGGTGAAAGGGGTGTTGAGAATAGTAGTTGAGTAATCTGCCAGAGTATGTTGGTTTTGTGTACCAGTCTGTGGATAAAGTATTGTTGGGATGTCTTTTAATGAGAAGATCGAGGAAAGGGAGGGAATAGTTATCTTCGTATTCAACTGTAAAAGAGAGGCGGGGATGATATGAGTTAAAGGCGGAAAGGATGTCAGGAATAGTATCAGGATTGACGATGAGAAGAAGGTCATCGACGTATTTTTTTATAAGAAATATGTCATTAGGAAACTGTGGGGCTATGGTGTTTAGGAGATCATTAAGAACAATGTTAGATAAGTCGGGTGCGAGAGGATTACCCATAGCTAATCCTGCAATTTGATTATAAAATTGTCCATGGAACTGGAGATAACCAGATTTGCAACAAAGTTGTAGGGATTCAATAAATGATGAACGGTTAAGGGAGGTATGAGACTCTAAGGATGACCAGTTATTTTCTACTATAAGAAGGGCTTTATCTATAGGGATGTTGGTGAAGAGGCTTTTAACGTCGAAAGAGACTAGAATGTAATTATCGGGAATGGTTAGGGATAATAACAAATTACGTAGATGAAAGGAGTTGTGGATATCATATGGATTGTCATGACTAAGGATTTGTAAGGATGGGAGTAGAAATTTGCTGAGTTTTAAAGAGGGAGAGTTGATATTAGAAGTGATAGGACGGAGGGGAGTGCCGGGTTTGTGAATTTTTGGAAGACCATAGAAACGGGGAGCCACGGAGTTATAAGAGATGAGGTTTCTGTAAGTAGGATATGTGATTTGTTTAGAGTGTAAGAGGTTTCTGATATGTTGGTTAAATTGGATTTTAAGAGAAGGAGTGGGGTCACGAGTTGTAGGAGCGTATGTAGATATGTCTGATAGGAGTTCAGTCATTTTTCTATTATAGTCTGTGAGGTCCATGATAACTGTTTTATTTCCTTTGTCCGCTTTAGTGATGATGATGTCGTCATGATTTTTAAGGAAGGAGCGTGTGGAAGAAAGATCTTTGAAGAATTGAGGGGAAAAGTTAGAAGTAGTGGATGGGGGGTGTTGGAGATGGTTAGAGATAATGTTAGTTATGGAAACACGAGATAATTCTTTATTATCATTAGAATGGTGAAAGATCGGATCGTTATAAATATATTCCAAGTCAGTAATAAGTTCAGGGATGAGTTTGGTAGAGGAATTAGGGGTGGAAAAATTCGGACCTAAGCTTAAAATGTTGAGGACGTTGGAAGGAATATCTATGGATGAGGAGTTGTGGACCCAATTATCGTCTCCTTTTGGGTATATCTTATGGACTAACGATTGCTGAAAAATGTCATTAAATTTAGTGGTGAGAATACTTTTTTTCTTTGATCTGGTAGTAATAAAGATAGTGGAGATAATTTGTGATAGGTTAGTCATGTGTTCGTCAGTCATGATGGTTTGTAATAATTGAGTGATGGCGGAAATTTGTTGGTTGAGGTGATGGATATGTTGTATGATTTCACGGATTTTCAAATTAAGGAGCGATTTTTTGAATTTTAAAGAACAGTTAGATAATTTGGAATTGAGTGGTTTGGAGATAGTAATGTGATTGAGGGAATTAGTGATTGATTTAGGAAAAAGAGAGTTGGAGCGGCATTTCAGTAAAAAAATGCGCTGTTCTAACGTGTCGGCAAGGCGTTTATGGAGCGAGCATAGGTTATTAATGTGGTATTTGTGACTAGAATAAATGGTTTTGAAAAATGAGAAGGATAAATTAGCTTGACTGGGAGCGGAACTTATTAGAGAGGAGGAGTTTAAAACTGAAGAGGTCAATGTGTCATCATGTGACGAATTGTTAAATGAAGATGGAGAAGAGTGTGAAGAGAAGTTATTAGATAACGGTGCTGCGTGATGAAAAGTTCTGGAAGGTTTTTCAAATCTGGTACTGCGGCGAGTGGGAAGAACAGAGAGGTTCTGATGTGCGGATGACTGTTGTTGTAGATTGTTGGATCTGGTATTAAGTCTGGAACTGCGACGTATGGACTGAGTGTTTGTATCCTGATGTTGACCCCGTGGTAATGTATTCATAATGATGTAGAGTTGGTTGACCGTTGATATGATATGAGAAGGAATTAGTCGAGGGTGCGGTCAAAAAAATAAAAAAAATTAAAATATATAAATAATTTTAATTTTTGCCGACGTTTCGACCCACTTTGCAGGTCGTCTTCAGGGCTACAAAACATACAAACATGTTGAAAAAATAAAAATAAAATAAAAAATAAATATAAGTATATATAAATTACGAAGAAGTTGTCAGATACAGAAATCACAGACTATAATAGAAAAATGACTGAACTCCTATCAGACATATCTACATACGCTCCTACAACTCGTGACCCCACTCCTTCTCTTAAAATCCAATTTAACCAACATATCAGAAACCTCTTACACTCTAAACAAATCACATATCCTACTTACAGAAACCTCATCTCTTATAACTCCGTGGCTCCCCGTTTCTATGGTCTTCCAAAAATTCACAAACCCGGCACTCCCCTCCGTCCTATCACTTCTAATATCAACTCTCCCTCTTTAAAACTCAGCAAATTTCTACTCCCATCCTTACAAATCCTTAGTCATGACAATCCATATGATATCCACAACTCCTTTCATCTACGTAATTTGTTATTATCCCTAACCATTCCCGATAATTACATTCTAGTCTCTTTCGACGTTAAAAGCCTCTTCACCAACATCCCTATAGATAAAGCCCTTCTTATAGTAGAAAATAACTGGTCATCCTTAGAGTCTCATACCTCCCTTAACCGTTCATCATTTATTGAATCCCTACAACTTTGTTGCAAATCTGGTTATCTCCAGTTCCATGGACAATTTTATAATCAAATTGCAGGATTAGCTATGGGTAATCCTCTCGCACCCGACTTATCTAACATTGTTCTTAATGATCTCCTAAACACCATAGCCCCACAGTTTCCTAATGACATATTTCTTATAAAAAAATACGTCGATGACCTTCTTCTCATCGTCAATCCTGATACTATTCCTGACATCCTTTCCGCCTTTAACTCATATCATCCCCGCCTCTCTTTTACAGTTGAATACGAAGATAACTATTCCCTCCCTTTCCTCGATCTTCTCATTAAAAGACATCCCAACAATACTTTATCCACAGACTGGTACACAAAACCAACATACTCTGGCAGATTACTCAACTACTATTCTCAACACCCCTTTCACCAAAAACTTAACGTTGCCAAAAACCTCATTCACCGATGTTTTTCTCTATCTGACCCTTACCTACATGAAACAAACACTAGACGCATACAACGGATACTATTGTCTAATAACTTCCCCTCCAACACCATTAAAAAACTTATTACTGACTACAAAACCCGCCCCTCATCCTCCATCCCTTTCTCTAGTTCTCAAAATCAGCCCCCCATTCCTTTATATAGATCTCTACCATACATCCCTTTACTTTCGGATAGAATTCAAAAATCTTTACGTTCCTCTATTCCCAACCTGCGAGTTGCTTTTAAAAACTATAACAAACTTGCCAATATTTACTCCAACCTAAAAGACCCCATCCCTCCGCAACACCGCTCTAATATCGTATACCGCATTCCTTGCTCTACCACCAATTGTAACTCCGCCTATATTGGAGAAACCAAAAACCAACTTAAAGACCGCATCAAACAACACAAATACTCAATTACTTCTAAGAACTCTACTGCTTCTAAACTCTCTGAACACGCCTTAACCTCAAACCACACATTTGACTTTGACAATACCTCCATTCTTGCCACAGTACCTAACCACGACAAAAGACTACTTACGGAAAGTGTTTTCATTCAATTAGACTACAAACCACTTAACTTAAAAACCGACAAGCAAAATCTATCACTCGCCTACTCCCAAATCATCAACATTTTAAAAAAGTCTCGATCATAAACCTCTATTTAATCTTCTCACTTCCATTTATACTTTCTTTTACTTCTCCTTTTATATATATATATATATATATATATATATATATATATATATATATATATGTGTGTGTGTGTGTGTGTGTGTGTGTGTGTGTGTGTTTGTATGTGTATATATGTGTATGTATGTATGCGTTTATTTTTACTAGAACTTTTTTTTTTTTTTGACACTGCTAACTAGAGTTTTTGACACTGCCAGTGTTTCAACCGCCTCCCGCAGTGCCACATCCAACGGTATGTTTTGACTTTTATTGAGATTCCTTTCTTAACACACCTATCCTTCAACTATACACCTTATTATTATCTTCATACAGCCTACCATTCCATTACCGCTTTCAAAAAACTAAATGTCAATTGTCATCTATATATAGTACAACCTGTTTTTTGTTTCTTTATCATCATAACCTTGTTTTTACATTTATTCTTACATTTTAAAGTATTCTTTTAAAATTATTGTTTTCTTATAGAGTTATTTATACTTAATAATCTATCCCAACAATATTACACTAATGTTACCCTATTAATCTTTCAATTTCTTCACTTCTTAACCTTTGGTCCCGTTATCTGTTTATTTACAATTAAAGGTAACCTCCACTTGCTTGTTATCCACTGATATCTTATTATTATGTTATCTTATCCATATTTTAACTTTACTGTAACAATAGTTATTCAATTTTCAATCAATTTATTCGTTAACATTCATTTATTCGTTAACATTCATGTATTTATTTTCTTTTATCTATTTTCTTATCATGTATTTATTTTCTTTATCTTTTATTTCTGTATCTGACAACTTCTTCGTAATTTATATATACTTATATTTATTTTTTATTTTATTTTTATTTTTTCAACATGTTTGTATCTTTTGTAGCCCTGAAGACGACCTGCAAAGTGGGTCGAAACGTCGGCAAAAATTAAAATTATTTATATATTTTAATTTTTTTTATTTTTTTGACCGCACCCTCGACTAATTCCTTCTCATAAAATAATTTATATATTTTAATTTTTTTATTTATTTGACCGCACCCTCGACTAACTCCTTCTCATATTATATCAACAGTCAACCATCTATACATCATAAATAATAATATTTATTTATTCTTTTTTTTTTTTAATAATTATTAATTATTTTTGCTATTTTTTATTTTGACTGATCTCCCTAACCATCCTTCTTTTCAATTATTCAGTACAGTCAACTATCAACCCACAATTAAGAGTTTAAATAAAAATAAAAAGTGATAACAATTTATTTCATGTAATGTTTACTCTTGATAAAAAATTTTTTTTATTAATCTTATACATAAATAATTGTTACTAGCAAGGAAGCAACATACCCAGAGCAAATACTGCTGTTCTGAAAGCATGCCTTCTTTATGCGCAGCTTCAAAAGCATTCTTTAAACAATTTTTTTTAAAAGTATGCGAAGTAGAAAAGTCTTCATTTATTTTCATAACATAATCTAGGTAAAACAACCACATTTCTTTAGTTGGAACATTCTTCAATCCCTCTTCATAGACAGAGATACATTTCCTGAAACAATTATAATTGATAAAAAACATAACCACACTCAAAAACTCAAATTCTTTCTAAACCAAAATAAACCGTGTATTACTTATTTTATGAACTAGATTTTCAGTTGAATTTTTACTGCATGCTGAAGTCAAAGATGTAATGTTTTGAATAATGTTTTTATTTGTATTTCTGAATATGAACACTGGCAGTCAGAAATTCTCAAAATAGCATTTTCTAATGAAAGTGTACTAACAGGCTTTTGCAGCGTAGCTATGAATATATAGGGTGTTCAGTAGAGTGAAGGGTGTAAAGTAGAGGGAATTGGGTACTTCTTCACTAGCAGGGGACTGACTGCTATCTGCCAATGTTTATAACCTGAACACTGATAATTCCGATAACGCAGTGATAAGCTTTCTCCTAACCTGAACACTGATAAGCTCTGTTGGATAGTTTCAGCTGCTCTTTGCCCCACTTCATCGTTGTCAAGTTATGGGAACACCCATAAATCAATTTTAAAGCCGTTAAAAATGAAATCCTCGAGCCCTCCAACCATGCTCCTTTCCTTATCGAAAGTTTTATGTCACAAATGCTATGACAGCATCTCCATTTGGCGTTCCTGGTTAACTTCATTCGATGACCTTGTTCACACAATTTCACGTCTGCAAGTCTCCCAACATTTTGAAAATATTGAATTGCCTGTTCTTCTGAAGACAGCAAATCCCATATTGTAACAAGATTCATAATATGAAAAAAAAAAAAAAAGAAAAATAAACACCAAGGGGCCACAAACTAAAAAAAAAAGAAAAATAAACACAAACGGGCCAAAAGTAAACAATTTAATAAGTGAATGTAATAAGGGAATAACTGAAAAATAAACAATGCAATAACCCAAAGGTTTGGCGGGATAAGAAGAGGGATGTTATGTGACGTAATATTAAATAAGATAGATAAGAAGTGAGGTTTCGACCCGGCCTGCTTGTGAAGTAGTACTGGAAATTCTTATAGGAGTGTTAGCAGAACTCAAGAGCAATAAAAAAGATCATATAAACAATGCACCAATTCTCAGCAGAAATGTAGGAAATCCAAGTTTAGTGTTTTTTAAAGTAAGTCATGCTTTTTGATGAATAGGACGGGATAATTAAAGAAATATCTAATTTAAGCAATTGACAATTGTTTTACTGTAAACTAGATAAATAAATACTGTGCGGTCAAATAAATACTAAATTTTTACAATAGTATTTTAATGGTTACGCCGACATTTCGACCCACTTTTTAGGTCTTCATCAGGGCGTGGTATAGCCCACTGCAGGTAGCAGTTGATAGACTGGCCGTCAAAACAGATCTAGTAATATTGAATACTTAGCCTATACCATACTCTGATGAAGACCAACAAAGTGGGTCGAAACGTTGACATGACCATTAAAATACTACTGTAAATATTTAATATTTATTTGACCCCACCTCCCCGCCCAACTCCTTCTTATATTACAGTCAACCATCTCTACATCGTTATGGGTAGTCATGTTAGTTTAAAACATGAATGAAGTTTTAAATTAATTTTCCTTTCCTTGATCAATTAGAATTACAAAAAAAAATAAGAATTGATTCCTTCATCTTACAATACGTTGCATTATTTTATTTCTAAATTATTTTGTCATTTGTTCATTTACCAGCATACTATGTGAATTATTATCATGGGCCAATATGTTAGTTGATAAATATGTTAAATAGTTAATGTAATTACTTTGTTTAAATATATATAACAAAAATTAAAAAAACATACCCAATTCTTTCTTCTGAAGTACCGTCAAGCTCAAGTTCCCTTTTAGCCAGAGCATTCCAAATGTCTTCTTCCTTACGATTTTGGAAGTTCTTCATTCTAAATCATAATTTGACAAATATTAAAAAAAAAGTTATAATGCTAGTTAATAATTTGGTACTTATGAATGATGTGGTCTCTGGTAAACCCCCCTTTTCTTATCTTATCTTACATCACCTTCTTATCTTATGTTATGCCACATAACCTGCCTTTTTATCTAGTGTAAGCTGTTGCGTGTGTGTTTATTGATTGAACTTTGCTGATTGTGTGTTATTGAAATGGATGTTGTTACATTGTGGGAATTGCCGTCTTCAGAAGAAGAGGCTATCAAATATTTTTAAGACGCCAGGACAATTGTGAAGGTGAAATATAGTGATGAAGATCATGAAATGAAGTTTGGCGGGAAGACGAAATGGAGATAATTATGTAGGGAGAGTTCTCCCTGAACAATGGATGTTTGTCGAGAAACAGACGAGTGTTTGATCGTAAAAATAAAGGACAGAAAGGCAAGAACTTTATTATAATGTATTACGATAAAGGATACAACACCCAACAACTGAAACTGAATGAAGCAAACTATAATCATTTTCAGGTGAATCAACAGTATAACTTTCTTGAGCCATTGACTGGGGTCCACACTCAACATATAAAACATTTGTGGGGCTCAGCTAAGTGGAGAAATAAGAAACATTGATTGACAGCAAGGCAACACCTCGATTCATATTTATGTGAATGTTTGTGGTGGGGTGGCGGGCTCACAGAGAAGAGACCTGTTCCTGGCTATTTCGCCTTCCGAAATGAATCAAATGAAAGTGTTTTGTTATTTATATTTCTTATTATTAAATTACAATATTATTATTATATTTATATTTCTTATTAATATATATATTTAAACATAACCATTTAATTGGGAATAAGGTCACTTATTAATTATTTAATGAGTAGCTTAATATGTGCTGGTGGACGGTGCTGAGACTGTCGGTGTGTCCCTGGCCTGATCGAAGCTCTATTTTTCCCATCGTTAACTTATAAAAAGAAAAATAAAGGGATCGAAACTGTTCAGTAGTTTATTAAATAATTAATAAGTGACCTTATTCCCAATTAAATGGTTATGTTTAAATTTAATAATCAAAGGTCAATTAAAGAAAAGTTGTATGTATGTATGTATATATATATTTTACAACATATACATACACACACACATATATATATATATATATATATATATATATATATATGTGTGTGTGTGTATGTATATGTTGTAAAATAAAAGTGTTTAGGTTATTATTAGATTTATTTTTGAATTTCATATGAAGATAGGGATTATCAGTGCGGTATCACACTTATCAGTGTTGAGGTTATAAACATTGGCAGATAGCAGTCCGTAGAAACCAAGTCATTCACAAGTACCAATAATTCTAATATCTGGTAACTATTAGTAAATTAGAGTAAAGTGACAATAAACCTCAAAAGGGGCAACACTAAAGGAATCTTATGCTGATCTGAACTTCTAGAAACATTCTATCAAACACTTGCTAGAAATAAGCCACAGCGCATTGGCTTGTTGACAAAGTAAACAGATTTTGTAACATAAATTAGAACTAATTTTGTCAAAATTGAATTAGTTAGTGTTGCAATTTATATGAAAAGTTATTAATTACAGAATTAAAATTAAAATCAATCAAATTTAAGGTTATATCTTAAATTTTTTTTTATTTAGTTGATAATTATTGCAGCAAAAATGGTCAAAGATTTATTACAATACCGCTTTAAGGATCTTATGAATGCTAAATTTCATTTAATGAATATACATTTTTGTGCATTTTATTTTCATGAATAAATAAATAAAAATAAATAAATAAATTATAATATGTTGACAATTGAAGCGCATATTAAAAAAAAGGAATAAGTCTATCTTAATTTTTTTTTCTATATCCATTACTGAAAAGTTATAACAATATGAGTACAATAAATATCTACTTAAAATTTAATTTGCACAATTAAGCTAAAAAGAAAGCAGACTGACTTTTGGAATTTATATTCTATCAATGGGAAACTTTGCACATTTTTTTTTTTTGTAATATTTTACAAATTCAGTTACATATTTTACTGAATTAAACCTTTAGTGACGCCATTAACAAATTAAGGGGCATATCAGTAAGATTTAAAAAATCTTTTATATCTCAACTTTTATTGACAGCTCACAAACTTAATAAAGACAAAAGTTAAAGATATTAGAGCAAATCCAATGGATTTTATTTGCTTCATTACAACTTTGAAATTTCTCTAGGAGATTTAAGAACTCAGGATTAATTACAGAAAATATTTATATCTTAAAAAGCACAAATTCAACTTATTGACGGACTACAATACCTGCCATTATTCATTATTTCAGTTTCTATTAGGCGATATTCAGAAATGAAAACATTCAATAAATTACGGTCAAGAGTCTTGATAGCCTGATCAAATACTTTTAGGACTCCTTCTGGTTCTCCAAATTTAGCTTCGAACTTCAAATACCAAAACCAAACATCTATAAAATTATTTCAATTAATAAGTATGAGAAATATCAGTCATTAAGTTTAAACCACAAAAGAAATTAAAAAAAAACCAAAAAAAAAACCTGTATTCGTCTTCCCATATTGATTTATTGCGTTCTCATAAATCGGCCTGGTGTATTTTCCACTTACTTTTGGCTGTGAATCCTCTAGCTTAGCCATAGTCTCATGGAGGTCAAGTGATAAAGGAGGCGTTGTCGAAAATGTTGAATATGCATTCCTTGCAGCAACTAAAACAAAATTTTTAATATTAAAGAATTTATTTAATAAAAATAATACAAAAAATAATGATGTAGAGATGGTTGACCGTTGATATGATATGAGAAGGAGTTAGTCGAGGGTGCGGTCAAATAAATAAAACAAAATTAAAATATATAAAATACGTCGGCAAACTAATACAATACAAAAACATAATACAAAAAATAGTATACATTTTTCTTGAAAGATAGGCTTTTACACATTTTTTTTCGATTTTCACGAAAACAAAGTGTTATCCACATTGATGTCACTTTACAGGGCTTAAATGCTCAATGTTCATATACACCATTATCTAAAGTATATTTAATTTGGTTTATTTTAAAAAGTTATCTACCTCTCGTTGTTAGGAATTATGATAAAAGACTAAATATAACATTCAAAAGAATTTGATGATTGAATAAAGGAGAAAAATGTTTATCCAGCTCGAAAATGAATCTCTAGAAATAATAATCAGAAGGTATGTGTATAATAAATCGTTGGAAAGTGGAGAATTTTAGAAAAAAGAATATCTAATTAGTAAAGTTGTAGAAAGTAACGGAGAGTGACGAAAAAAAAATATAAATAATAATTTCTGAAAACTAACATTATTTAACGTTAATCAGATGTTTCTAAGGAAATTAAATGAAATTTTCATAACAAATGTAAACTTTTAAATTTTTTTCTAAGTTTGAAAAAAAGTATTTAAAATCCACCGAATCAAGCCAATGCCATTGTTTAAAATGCTATTTCATTGCACTTGCGTGAAAGAAGTGAAATATAAAAATATTTCATGGATGTGTTTATAACCTTATATACATTTACTGTAGTTTAATAACTCTAGATATGATATTATATTTAAATAATTAGATATCTATTGGCCGTTTGTTCCAAAAAATTAAATTAGTGAACAATGTGATGAATTTTCTCTTTGTGCAATCCCAACATTATCCACTTACAATCAGTGTGACAACTTTTGACCTATCCATGGCAGGCAATGAAAATCTCGTAATTTAATTTTAGTAAACTTTACAATGGAAAATAACAGTTTGATAACTAATAGTGCTACAATCCATAATCATTTGTAGGTTAAATACTCAGGTATAATTTCAAATCTCTCCAGGCATATATGAGCCTTTCGGTTGACAGAATGACTAACTCCAATTTCAACATTCTTTATCATTACGTTTAGTGATGTTTCTAGTGGCAAAATTTATACCTTTATTCACAGTTCTATATTTGAACACTGCTATCACCTACTCTGTAATCAACTTACTCACTGTCTCTATAGATATGACTTTTCCAACTAGAAATATCACTAAAATTACATTACTCAAAAATGTTGAAATTGAAGTTAGCCATGCTGTCAACTGAAAGGCTCAGAGACTGAAGTTGTGTGCTTTATAAAAGCAGATGGAGTAACTAGATTTTTATTGCCTACCGTTAATATAATAAATATTGCATTTGTAATTTAAATGGTCTTAATTATTTGTTATTTGTAAGCTTAAAGCTTTAGCTCCATTTAAAATGCACTTAAAAAATTTTATAATAGCCTAACATTGCCAGAAAATAATTTCTATTCAAAGTAGAGCGGTAAGTGAAAGTTGTGTGTTGCGCACACCAGATTCAGAAATATATTCTATTATTTATTTAAAATATTATTATGATTAGAAAAAATACTTACGGATTCCTCTAGATATGGCCAGCCATTCAATGTAACGAGGTTTAAGAACAGCACCAACGGAAGGATTGTTAACACCTTCATTCCATAAACTTTCAACCTAAAATGGACATAGAATTATGCTTAATCAAATTAAAAGAAAAATAATATTTATCTTAAAATATTTGAATTAGCATTAATAATATATTAGGCCTGAGAATATGAAAAAAAATATTTTAACCGTTTATGAAATTTTTTAATGGCTTAAACTTTTTTATCTCAAATCTAGATCATGTTCTGAAAAGATTGGTCAATAAAACCTGATCCAACCAAATTAATAACAGTAATTACACAACTCGCCAAGGACGATATTCTCAACAAAACCTACCTTAAAGATAGTTTTAGTTATAACCTACATTTTAGAGATTACGTCTTGTTTCCATAGTGATATTTAAAGCCATGGAAGCAACTAATACAACCACTGCCGCAGTGTGAACTATATGAGAGTATGACATTTGTTGTTCTGTCAGTACTCTCACATAATTAGATTTTGTATGATAGATGTCAGTGCATGTTGTAGGAATGGAAGTGACAGTTATTGTTGAATTAAAGGGCAAGTGTAGACATCTAACAGTGAACTGTGGCATATCATCTAATGAAATCAACTGCTGCAGCGATTGTGCAGGAAAACGTTATCATATATTGTATCAATTGTTTTTGAACTTGACATAAATTCTATCCTAAGATTCTACATTAGTCGATTTTTGGAAGGCAAATAAGAACTATATAATCTATTGTTCGAGCAATTATTATGATTTTTTAAAAGTTTGGTTATTGAAATTAAGTTTGTAGATTAGTTTTTTTATCATTATTTATTGTGTAAGGTGTATAAACCAGGAAACTGCTGCTATCTCATTGTCATGACAGTACTACTATGACAAACACTGTCACCGTATAAGCAAGACTTTAGTGTGTAAGTGATCTGCAAGCCTAGGTAGATCACTTAAGGCAGGAGTCCCCAACCTTTTTCAACTTGATGACACATTAATAGTCAAGTGGTGGGCACTAATGTGTTAATGTTTTTCTAAGATTTTTCATTGTTCGATATTTTTAATAATAATAATAAATAAATAATTGTAACATATAAAAATGTATTGTTTAAATTCTTATATCAAATAAACATACACACAAAAAAAAACATTGCGGAAGGCAGTTACTGAATGTCATGGAGAACACTGTTACAGGTCAGAATAGGTGTGCAGACATGACGTCACACGGGCACTTGGTTGAGGACCGCTGATTAAAGGCATGTGCATGTTTTTATTTTTTTAAAATATTCTAGATCTATTATAGATTGATTAAATTTCTAACCTTGGCAGTATTAATCATTTGGTAACACCTGAGAACTAACATCCAGAGGCTGGCCTGATCTGGGATATTCGGGTTTGAGATGATCTCCTTAAACACAGCCATAGCTCCTTTTTCATCAGATTTGCTGAGGTGATAGCGCAATCTCCAGGACCAAAGTTTATTACTCGAACTAAATCTCTCAGTTCCATACTGCAAGACTTTGTAAGCATCTACAATTTCAACTTTTTTGACCTAAAAAAAAAAATTAAAATAATATAATATTTCATATAACAAATCATTTAAATATGAAACTGAGACATTGATATTCAATTCAAGGTTTGTGCTATTATTTAGATAGATAGATAGATAGAAAGTAAACTTTATTCTGGGACGAGGTCCCTTATGAATAACAGATATGAACAAAAAAAAATAAAAACTACATCTAGCCAAAAATCACATTAGTCAATATTGAAGAATATATACACTATCTTCAGTGAAATTATATTAAAACAAGTAAAAATAACACCATTTTGAGAAAAAACAGAGTAAAAAAAAACATTATTTAAATGAAAAGAAAACAAAATAAAATAAGCATGGGTTGATTTTTAAAATTAAAACTCAATCAATTTTAACAACCATTCACCTCAGTCAAAATCTGTTTCGCAATATTTATTTTATTGTATAACGTCATTTTGGGATGTGAGAGGGAATTGGTAAAGATGATATTTAAATGAGGACAAGGAAGAGGCATGGCGGATATCAGATGGCAAGGAATTCCAGAAGGCTGTGGATCGGGCAATAAAGGAATATTCAAACGTCTTAGTTCTTCGGGAAGGGATATAAAGGTCGGAAACACGGGATCTTGTTTTCTGGGAGTGGACCACGGGTTTAAACTGTAGGAGACTGTAGATGTAGGAAGGGTGTCTGGTGTTGATCGTTTGGAATATGAAAGATACAAGGAAATATTGTATGCGGAAAGAAGGGAAGAGCCACTTTAACTCGTTGTAAAGGTGGGACACATGAGACCGCCTCGATATACCGAAGTCAAATCTTAAGCACTATATTTATGAGGGTAGATGGAAATCTCTAAAATGACGTTGGACCAATACAAATCTGTAAGCAGGATTCCACTAAAACCACCTTTTCCATCAGGCAGCAGTTGTTGCCACCTTCATTATGTTAGGCTACATCCCGGCTCACCTTTTCTTCACCTTCATCAGTTTATCGATTGCCTGCGGTGCTTGAATTACGACTGCCATCCAGAACTGCAGGAAGAGTAGTATCAGACTGATGATGTTATTCACAGACTAGTCAGAACATCTCCCTTTCTTATGCGTCAATTCTAGAGGTATGATGACTCTTTGAAGAGTTTATCATCAAGGAAGCTATCATAGTTCTGCAACGGATTTCTTCACATATCAGAATGTAGGTAAATGAAAAAGTCAATATCCTCTCTTTTTTTTGTGATTGAAAGCTTCATAAGAACATCTTTGAAAGAGACAACATAACAAGTTTACCAACAGAAACAGAGGACTACTAATAGTCCTGTGAGATCGCACAAAAAAATTGATATGTAAAGAAATTTTTAAACCATTTTTTAGAATATTCATAACATTTAAATTAAAATAATGAGAGTCTGCCAATCAGATCATGCTATCTAAACGAATTGCAGCTGATTTAAAGAATACTAGGCCAGTAACTTGAGGATCGAAATGGGAATTATATTCCGAAAAATGAGAGAAAAGTTTTCATTTTTTTAACTTGTATATATGAATTTAAATATTTAAAAAACAAAATTGCTAACGCAGGCAACCAAGGGAAAACTTTTTATAGCCAAAACAGCCAGATTTTTTTACACTAATAACTCCTAAACGGTCCATTGAAACAAAAAACATACTCTTTAAGAAATTAAAAAAACGTTAATTAAATTGTTCATCGAACGCGTACCTTAACTTAATAATTTGATTAAGTGGTATGGTCAATAAACATGGCCAAGGAATGCTGAATTTTTATTAATGAAGGTATCTCTGATTTTAAATATTTAAACAGTATGGGTGTCTATTCTACTGAGTTATTCTTGTTAAGAGTTTAGTATATATAGCATAGGACTCTTTTCCACCTTTCAGCAGCGAAGGATTCCGAGAAACGTCAAAAAGAAAAGAAATCTAATTTTATGAAGAACAAACAAATCCCGATTCAAGAGATACAATTGACCTACATTAAAACGGTCGGGTGAAGGTGAGGTCAACAGTCACACTCGGAATAATGTTTATTGGATAGCCTGCATTTTGAACCGACTTATCTTGTAATAAGAACAAGATGCTAAAAAATTATTAATAATAAGCACAAGGTTCAAAAAATAAAAGTTAATATTAAGATATTTGGCAATAATAACTTCCAATTGGTAACAATTGAGTATATTTCTATTATCAACGTTACATGTTAACAAGTTAGTTGACGTTTCGGGATATTTATTCCCATCTTCGGAACTGCAATCCCAATAATCTTGTGGATGCAAGGCTTAAAATTAATAATAATGTGCTCCATCGTCAAATTTCTAATTCATGTTCCAAAATGTATCATCTAGAGCAACATCCTACTTTTGACCAATAATTGGGTATCTGCCATAGTGAAAAAATTGACCTTTAGATCTGACTGTTTTATCTGACATTATAATTAATTTTAAGTCTTGCATCCACAAGATTATTGGGATTGCAGTTCCAAAGATGGGAATAAATACTCCGAAACGTCAACTAACTTGTTAACATGTAACATTGATAATAGAAATATACTCAATTGTTACCAATTGGAAGTTATTATTGCCAAATAACTAAAAATAAATAGATAACTTCCGAGAAAAAAGTTAATATTAAGTTATTAAAATGTGTATTAAGTTATTAGCACAAGATACGAGGTAAAAGGTACAGATCTATTGTAAGAGGTGAAAAATGACAAAATGATGAGTAAAATAAATGAATGAGCATACCCAGAGTAAGTAATGTTTTTCTGACAGCATTTTTTCTTTGTGGCCAGCTTCAAAAGCTTTATCTAAACAGTTTTTCTTAAAAATGGGTAAATCATCAACGTCTTCATTTAATTCCAAAACATAACTAAGATAATATGACCACATTTTTCTTGTTGGGACATTTTTTATCCCATCCTCATAGACAGAGATACATCTCCTAAAAAACAAAAATATTTTAATTTATAAAATATAAATTTAAATAATTTGTATGAATTGAATTATTAGCAATTAGAAAGTGCTATAATTGATAAAACTTAAAGGCACTTACTTTTTATATTTCTTAGCAACTATGCCTACTTCAGTTTGAAAATTGATATAAAAACAAAAATATCATTTGATTAAGACAAAAATAACTACCTTATCAATTTTGAAATTAATAAATAATTTAACATAAGTTTGATAACTTCCACTTAATTAGCTCTTTGACACTTTCAGAATACTTATAGATTAAATAAATACATTAATATATAGATTAAAAAATTCTAAACAGATGGAAAGGCCTATATTGTAAAAACAAAACAAATAAATACCCAATTTTTTCTTGTAAAATACCACTTAGCAAAAGTTCTCTTCTGGCTAGAGTATCCCACGTCACTTCTTCATTAGGATATTTGCTTTTTATTCTTCTGAAATATTCATAAAAAATAAACATATTAATAAAGATAATATTACGAAATATTTTGAATAAATAGTAAATAAAATATATTACATTTCCATTAAAAATATTATGAAAACATATTTTATTTCATTAATTGTTATTTTCCATTTAGTAGGCCAACCTGAAATATTATTAAGGTGGATTGAATGGATGAGGGACACTCCTTAAGTGTTTTGGAGGATAGGTAGAGTGCTCTGCCATAAGCAATATAGTAAACATAGTTTAGTTAAGTTCGGTAAAGTATGACATAAAAATATTAAAAAGAGATAGTACTAATACACTGCCCTCAGACATTCCTGCTTTAACACATTTTATATCAGATAATTCTTAATCTACTTTTACAGGAAAGTATCTTTTTTGTTAAGTAAGAAATAAAATATAAATCAATAGCCAATGCAAAAAGTTGAATTAAGATGGATAACAGTTGACTGTTAAAAGTACACATAAGATAATGGTAATGTAAGCATTATAGTACATCAAGCAAAAAATTAAATTAACTAAATGATTATTACAAATAAATAAATAAGAATAACGGGGCTAAGAATAACTAAGGTTATTTTGACTACATATAAATTGTACTTTTATATATGTCTCATTTTTCTGGTGATTTTTTTTTAATTTTTAATGTTACTGAGGACTCATATGCATGGTTCAAAACATTGGCAAGCCTAATGCACCATATAAACACTACATATCCTCATTTGTTATCCTCTTTATAAATTGCAGTTTTAAAATATTTTGGTGCCTCAGTACTTGAGAACTGGGATACGTACTTTAGTTATATCCTAATTTTTTTTAGTCTCAATTAAGGTTTTACACAGCTTACAAAGCTTAAAAAAGACATTAAAAAATCAACTAAAGGCAAACTCAATCATGGACTAAAATTGATTTCCAAGAAAATCAGAGATAACATCTATAATTTTATATGATGGAAAGATGGTTGACTGTTGATATAATATGAGAAGGAGTTGATTGGGAGGTGCGGTCAAATAAATACTAAATTAAATAAATAGTATTATTTAATTTTTGCAGACGTTTCGGCCCACTTTGCAGGTCTTCATCAGGGCGTAGGATGTAGCACTGCGGGAGGTAGTTGAAACACTCAAGGAGTGTACGCCCTAATGAAGATCTGCAAAGTGGGTCGAAACGTCGGCAAAAATTAAATAATACTATTTGCTTAACTTAGTATTTATTTGACCGCACCTCTCTCCCCCCCCCCTCCCCCCCGATCAACTGCCTCCCGCAGTGCTACATCTTACACCCTGATGAATACCTCTTTTTTTTTTTTTCTTTTTTTGTTCTTCCCTACCTCGCCTTTTAGGCTATATGGGATTTTCCCGGGCCGGGGGGTGAGGGTGGAGAATTTAAAATCCCCTCCGGCACCGGGACGCGAACTCGTACTTTTTATATCATTTCAAATCTCAGTCATCCGGTTGCCAGGCAACTAGCGGTGCTGTTACACACGCTTTAGCCTATTCGGCCACCCCGCCCCCAACCCCCCCCTGATGAAGACCTGCAAAGTGGATCGAAACATCGGCAAAAATTAAGTAATACTATTTGTTTAATTTAGTATTTATTTGACCGCACCCCCTACCCTCCCCCGATAATCTCCTTCTAATATAATTTTATATAATAAAGATAATAATTCCATAAAAGCTGTCCTCCTCACACTGCTTAATGCGGTTCAAGAAGATAGATTATGATGATGATGAACAATAATAATTTACTAATAAATGCATAATATAACTCAATATGTCAATAAACATACTCTATTATCATATCCTGAAGTGATGATGTGAAACTGAACTCTTGAGTTATGTTGAGTAGGTCCACAAGAAATAAAACATCATTTATTTTGTTTATAGCAGCAGTATAAATAACATCAAGTAAAGTCCTTTCAGCGGCTGGATTAACAAATGTGTTATTCTTTTCTTTTTCATGATTCTCTAAAATTATAACAATTAATGGTTAAAATTATATCTTCAGTAAATAAACACATAAAATCGCTCATTCCTATATATTTAAATAATAATAAACCTCTCGCTTGTTCCATTTTTTGATTAGTATGTGTCAATTCAATTCTAAAAGCTTCTGCAAAGAGCAATTTGGAGTCTTTGTGAGTATGAAGACCTTTGAGTATAAATTTACGAGCACGTTCAATGGAATGGCGTTCATAAAATTCCCAATGGGCAGCAATTTTAAAAAGAACTGGTTTATCACCATGTAAATCCAACAGCTGATCAAATAACTGACTGACACAGGTATGCATTTTCTACAACAGAAAAGTATTCAAGAACACTAGAAAAAAAAATGATAATGGCACTGCTTATAATACCTAAATAGATTAATATAGAAAAAGGATTGGGTACTTGCATGAATTTTCAATTTTTATTCATTGATGAAGATTAGACTGTAAAAAGACCCCGGATTTTTTTTCAATAAAAACTCACAAAATAGGCCATATAATATGTAATAAAAACAATTGAATATGCAATAAACGAATCTCTAAATATGCAATTAAATGTCTAAAATATTCAATTTCAACTGAAATGATGGGAGAAAATTTGTATCCACTTCAAATTATTAACTTGTTTCCAATAGAAACTTGTTTTGAACAAAAATAAAAGCGAATCTTTAATGAGTTTTAAAAATCGTTTCAACTTTAGAATCTTAAAAATATAACTGCTTGTAAAAAAGTAAGAAATTGAAACTGAGTATGATGTTTAGCAGTTAAAATGAATTAGAAATGGATATAAAAAGCCAGAAAATGAAAAAATCTAGCTAGTCCATTCAGACGACTTTCCTACCTATTTCAGAAAAATTTTTATATCTTATCATATGTCCATAAAGAAACAAAAAAAATTGAATTAGATTTATTTTTCTGAAAATTGATCAAAGAAAAGATTTGAGTATGATTTATTTGATAAACTAAAGCAATGTAAACCGGCTTAAGGTAGATCAGTATAAAAATTTCAATACCCTGTAATATTGCTGATCAAAATCTTTTTGCCATAGCCTAATTTTGCAAACAATAATTTCTGTTAAAAGTAGAGGAAATAGTGAAGCTTGTGAGATGCGAGCAACAGATATTCTTACTATCACTTAGTAATATTTTTTCTCCTATTCACCCCTTTCTGACACTAGAATATGAGCCCGTAATCTTATATTGGAAATTGAATAGCTGTAACTTCGTTAACAGTTGTCTGCAATGAAATATAGTTTTGTAGGTAATTTCTTTACCTTTAAAAAAAAACAGACTAAACGGTGTTTTTCAATGAAAATTAAAAGGACAATTATTAGAACATTATAGGAAAGTTTGATCAAAATCGTTAGAGCCGTTTTCACGCTACAGTCTATAGAAAAACATGTTTTTTATTTGTTGCACATGGAGCATCCAATTTATGTCACAGGCATCAGTAGTCAAAACCATACAAAATAAAAAAAGAAGCAACAAAATAAAACACATGGAGAATATCAGATCATAAATGATGAAAGAATCATTGATTGTGTTAAAACTGATCAAAGGACAACTTGATATGACAGAAAATAGCAATTAGGAATTTAATTTAAAAATACTTCCGAGATTGAATTCATCCATTGTAGTAGCACAATAGATGTATTATGTTTCTATTTCACAAACACCCCATTCATTACTGTTTCAGAAATATGGAAATATTTTACTCTCAGCTGCATGAACAATGCAATTCAAAAAATGGTTATAAAAATTATAGGAGAGAAGATGAGTAACCCAAATTAATTGATAATAAAATCTATTTTCCAATTGATTTCACATTAATAGTAATCTGAACTTTAATCACACGTGCTTTATTTTTTATTCTTCATTTTTGTAATTACTTTTAATCAGATTTTGTTTATTTTAGCATAATTTTTAACATTAACCGATATAAGATATATTAATTTATCAAATTTATTTAATGTTGAGACATAATTTGCTTTTTTATTGTACCAAAAACTATTGAAATTGTGATCATTAAAAAAATTGTCTATCATGTTATATAATTATAAAAACATTTATGACATTTGATCACTTTGTGTGTTTTTATATTTTAGACTACTTTTCTCTAAATATAAAACATGAAAACAAAAATATTAATAAGTTGGGTAATCGGAACACAAAACCATTACTTTTAGTAGGAACTTGTAACAAATTTAGAAAAATGATAATGTCTTATTTTGAAATTCCAAACATATTATATATTACCAATTAAATAGAAATAAAACATTAAACTACTAACCATATGCTTACAAAACTTTATAAATGACACCCATATTTTGCAATCACTTGGAAATTTTCGTAAAGCAAAATAATACAACTTGTTTATGCGATTCGCCAAACTATACTCAAAATTAGCTGTCTTTTCCTGCACTCCTTTTTCCTACACATATAAAACATAAATGTAATAATGATCAGGAAAATAATAAATATATATCAATAATGAAAGTTTACAAAAACTTGTATACCTTTGCTTTCAGCTTGACTTTCATCAAAAGCTCAATTTCAAATGTGATATATCTAACTGTATCTTCCTTTGCCTTAGAAATTTTCTGAAGCTTATATTCAAACAATTTTCTTTTTATTACTATATCTCTGAAATTACAAAATTATATCAGTAAGAGGAAAAAAATAATCTAAATATACCATTATTTCAGTTAATATAAGAAGATAAAGTTAAAATGATGAATTTGTAAATACATGGCGCATATGAATCATAAGCCATACTTCCTAATAAAATAAGAAAGCAAGCTTAAATGTTAGTACGTAGACTCCTACATAATACCAACACCTTAAAAACATCATAATTAATAATCCATTTTCTACTTTAACTTCATCTTTAGGCTATTTAAGGCCATGATGACTGTGCATGTTAAAGTGTAATTCTCTTTAACGCTCTTGAGTCCAGCAATGATAGTTTACATCCCACTTTAGCAAGCTGAAAATTACTTCGTAGCTGACCATCAAAATAATTCTCAACCTCCCCATTCTAGAATAGAATTGATTGTAGCTCTAGAACAAACTTCCCCATTCCGTCATAAGTCAAAAATGGCAAGATAGCGGTAACGAAAAAAAAAAAAAAAAACCTTAAGGCTTTCAGAATATCTAACCTCGCTTAAAAGTGTATTTAATACGACTATAGTATATTTATTATATTTGAGATAGATAAAAGTTATTCATTAGTTTAATAATTTAAATAAAATAATATTAATAATAGTAAGTTTAATAAAAACTAAGTGTAGACAATTAATTTAATAAGAAAAAATAATTTTTAAAACTATGTTATACAAAACAGAAATATAAATTTGTGTCCAATATTACAAAAAATGAAACAAATACCTTATTTCACTTTTAGTGAACAATCCATAACTGTCCATCATCTCCATTCCAGGCGACGTATCTTCGAATTGCAATTCCTCTGGCTCAGCCATGGTTAATTGAAGTTGAACACAATACCGAGCAACTGAAAATTCAAATATGACAACCTGCTTTCAATGATAACCCTTGTGCAACATGAAGAGTAAAAACTAAATCCAAAGAGAATCTTATAACAGCCTGAAATAAATGAACCAGCATCCCGTCCTTAACTCAGCTCAATTTAGCAGCAAAATTATTATTTTATACCAACCAATGTTCTTGAAATTATTTGTTATATATTAAGTTATATACCAATTATTACAAATATGTTATATTTCCTTACAATTTATAGCAATATAGTATTTCATTCCCCTTCTCTTAGCTATTTGAAAATTCAGTAACTCTTTTATTAATATTTTCTATGATCAAACAAGACAAAAATATTTAGACGGATTAGGACCGGAACTAGAAAATTCGCAAGAAGGAGAATTTCATCCTCAAGAAATTTCTCATCCTGAAATAATCTTTATATGACTAAAATCAACAATAATCCCATCCCATGGGCATCGTCTGTTGAGAATACAAGATTCCGATTTAATCTGGGTTTATATATTTCTATAAAATTTGGCAGAATAACCACTGCTGTCTATTGCCTGTTATGTAAATAAATATTTTTTGCAAATATGTATTTAAGTAGTAATAAATTATATAAAATTAAGGTAATACTTTATTAAATTGGAAAAAACTGTACCGCTACAACCCTTGAAGTCTTGGGTTCAGTACTTTATAGTACTGTTTCAAGGCCAACGATTGCGGAGGGAGGTGATCGTGCCGTGATCACACTCAACCGCCAGATTTTTCCTCATAATTATTTATTTAATTAAGAGTACCCACTTTATCGGGCACAGTCGATGCAGAGCTGATGAAAAATTATCTGTTAGCAACCGGAATTGAACCTGGAACCTTGAGCTTTGATATTAAGTGCTTACCCACTCAGCAACTCCGCTCCCACTTTATAATGGAAAGTTTAAACTAATTTTTTTTTAAGATTCAGAATTTTCAGCAATGTACTTAACATTGACTTAATGTTTACTTATAATGAACTTTATATATAATACTTACATTTTCAGGTATATGATAAATGTATGTCAGCAATGTACTTGTAGCTCAGTACAGCATAACTTGTAGCTCTTATTTATTATTAATTTCGATCTCTTTGGATGCTGAAAGTTCAAATGTAGAAGTGTTTATTTATTTTCTGCTGTATGTCTGAATTAGAAGATGAATCTTCATGTTCATTGCCGGAGGTATTAAAGTTAAAATTGTTGCTATCATATTACTGATCTGTTTCTTTCTGTCTCTTAAATAATTGTACTTATTTAATTGCTTCTGTTTACTTTTGAATTCTTAAGTATTTTCATGTTTCCTTTATTATTTTACTAATTTAGGATGATGAAGTCCCACCAGAGAATCCAACTTCATTCTTTCATGTTCAACCTCCCTCTCTCAGCCAGGGATATGAGATTTGTAAGTTGAGCAAACATAACGCTAACATGTCAATAAAACAATTTTTATTATAAGATTCTCGTCATTCTAAAATATTCAATGATCGACAATACTTTAAAAACTCTTCTTTGTTAAAAGTTTTGTGTAATAATCTTTGGTCATATAAACAAAAAGAAAAGGTGTGTCTCTTAAACATGGATAGAAACCAGAAAGGTTTTTTGGTAGTTTTTCCTGCTATTGTTTATCATTTAATTATACTTATTTTATTATATCAAAAATTGTCTTGTCACATATTTGTACCTTTTTCAGGTGGATCCCCATATGATGGCTCTGAAATTACAAAGAAAATAAAGTCAACAAAATTTCGTTTGAGAGAATATGAAAACTGGTTAGGCTTTAAAAAACCTCTAGGTATTGTGTTTACACATTTATTCTCTTATATTGATGTCTATAATAAGATATGTTATTATTAACTGCCATTGTTTACTTATATATTTAAGATGAGAGGCGACTTCGTCAAGCTGTTTCAATGAATGATACTGCTTCTGTAATTCATCTTCTATGTAAAGGCGTTTCTGCTAATTGTTGTGATGAACTTCGTAGGTCTCCACTACACTTGGCTTCTTGTAAAGGTTATACTCGGATCGTAAGGTAATATTTGTTATATATTATATAATTATTATAAGCTTAAGGCTATATGTTATGTGTTGATAAATCTAATTCAACCATTTTATTGACTTTGATCTGCTACGCTGTCTGTAAGCAACTGATATCGATTTTTTAAATCCTTTTTGGTAGGAATAAACTCTTCACAAATGAGTGGTTCAAATTAAAAAATAATTTTAAGGTTTTCTGCATTTGGTCATCAGGGCCCACGAGCATCTCTATATTATTTTTATAAGCTGCAGTTAAAAAGGACTAATGCTGTATTTGCCATAAGATTAAAACTAGTTATGAAATTATTTAAAGGTTTACGTATTATATCCAAAAATGTTAATAAACAGCTGTTTCGTAATTATTGGTTTCTTTTTTTTTTCTTTTTTAAATATTATTGGACTATTTAAGAGTGTGCTTCTTCTCAAGTGTCACTCCGCCATGTAGATGATGGGTAGGGAGAGCACAAGATCTCCTAAACAAAGGGAAATTTCACTAGTAAATATGACAATACTTGGCCATTCTCTGAATGTTATCTATTTTATGATTTTTTAAATTTATTTTATGATATTTTTTCTTTCCACCATGTTGAAGTGGTGCTTAAATATGGTGTAACATTATTTGTGTCACATCTGGATATCAGCTAGGTCAAGATCTCATTGATCACACCCTACGTTTATTGCTGGAACTGGATGAGTGCATTCCTCTTTTGACTGATATTCATACAACTTCTTTAAACAGAATGTTCAGGCTCGGTTACATTACTGGGCTTTATTTTTTTAACAAGTAACATTACATGTACAACATGAAGAGAAACTACCCATTACCCATTGGTAGCGCTCCAATTATATTTCTATATTAGAAGGTCCCGAGGCCATCTTGTTTTCAGATGCCTTGTAGGGTTATCAGGAATAGAAGAGGAAGCAAGATTGGAAACAAGAGGGTTCGGATGGTTCAGAAGTTTATTATGGTAGGACAGGTATCTGGATTGAGCTAAATCGGAAACATATGGTACATTAAGATCTTTATGGTTGATTTTATTTGTGACAAAGTAGGAGGATTTTACGAAGGATTGGGCTTTATAATTAATTAAATATTCATTATTATTTGTAAAATATTCATCTAAATCCTCAAATTAATTGTTTTTTCCTAAATTTGTTCTAATTCTTTATTCTTTTATGCAACAATAAAGAATAAGACTGTCTTCTATATCAAAATGGAAACTTTTTCAGAATTCAGAAACTTGTAAGTCTGTAAATTACAACCGTGAAGATACAAGACTCCTATGGATTTGTGTTTATAATAGTATGTTGTTTGATCTTCTTATTTTCTACTTATGCCATGAAAACTATTCATAGTTCTACAACCTTTGTTATTAATAGACTAGTATTTTGTTTAATCTTGTGAGAGGCATACAAGTTTTTCTTCTTCTGCTGCCCTAATGCTAGTCTAGTTTTTTTTTTTTTGCACACTAAACTTTGAAATATATCAAATAACATTCAGTTACCAATAAGCTAAGTTTGGTGTGTTACAGGTCAGTAGCTGGTATTCTTGGGTATTTCTTATTGTTTTAAATGTCATCCTTCATTCTTAGAAAATTTTTAAGTTTAATATGTGATAATGAAATTATTTTCCATTACTTGATTATGTCCTAGTTTTAACTGTTAGGTTTATTAGCTATTTATTATTATAATTTAATTTTGAAGTTAGTTAATATTTGGACCTATATAACTAATGACTGAAGAAGTTCAGTTGTGTGGTTTATCCATATTTATTTGTGTCCTACATATTATGGTTGTAGAAATATTATATATACTAACTGCTACGATCATGTTCAGTTTTATAGCTAGTATTTTAATAATTTTTATTGATATTTTTTAAAGGATTTTATTAGATCATGGAGCTGATCCCAATGCACGTGATTCTATTGGAAACACTCCCCTTCATTTGGCAGCATGCACGAACCATATTGATATCATCATGTTACTTTTACAAGCAGGTTTATTTTTCATTTATAATTTATTTTTGTTGTTTTCTTTTATTATTCAATGTTGTGCAAACCTTTCCTTATTTAAAATATCTCATGAGATGACTTTTATATACATTTTTAAATTTTATTTAATGTAATGGATCTAATTTATTTATGTTTAATTTGAGGTATTATTTTACATGTTAATATTATTTTTGTGTTTCTGAGATTAGCTTTATTTATTTTTTTTGCTTTCTTTGTTGCTTTTTATTGGTTTAGGTGTCGAATTTAAAAAAAAAAATAAGCTAAACTGATTAGATTAAGATCTGTTTAAGTTAGTTGTTATTCTTACATACCATGATAAGTGTTTACTAAGTGTTTCATGATCAAATTGTAGACCGATAAATTATTGTATGTATTAGGACACTTAATTTATCTATTATTTAGTATCATTAAATTTTATAATCAATTTTGTTCAATTGGAAAATGTTATCAATAAAATGTGAAACACAAATCTTCCTTGTTAATCTTGTTTTGCTTTTTGTTGTAAACACGTTATTGTTATACTTTCAACGGTTCAGAGTCCAGGCTCATCATCAAGACCACACTTTTTGTTTATATAACTATTGTCATTTAAAAAAAACTTCCTGATAGGTTTGTTCGCATCCATGTTTAAAAATATTTTATAATTTCAAGAATTATCAGCTGTATTAAAAGAAAATTATTTTTGTTACTATGACTTAGAAGATTTGTGTTTTGCATTTAATTAGGGAGTGGAGTACATCAGAAGATAAGCCACACTTATTCTGACTGAATCTGGTTCGAATCTGGCGTTAGCATAATTATTTATTCTGTCCCGAGGTTGAGAGACCCTCCGAAGGCACACTCTACAAATGTAAGACAGCGTAATTAATTAACGGGAAATCCTGTTGGAGTTGGATCGAATCATCTCCTTACCCACCTTGGAAACAGTCCTTTAAAATGTTGAACCCAAGTTCCTTTGGTTGTAGTGATATAAGATTACTTTTTTTTTTACTTTCGCTTCCCTATAGGTATATGTAATATATAGCAACGGAAAGTATTGCGATCGTGAAAATTTTCAAATCTTGTCTTTCAACGGATAAACACGTTATGATGTTCTTCAAGTCCTAAATTGGTCTGTGTGTGTGTGTGTGTGCATGTATGTGAATAGTCTAGCTCAAAAACGAAAATTACAAAACTGAAATTGCTTATTAAAGGTTTTTACGTGCCTGGGATGTTGTAGCCACTTTTTTGTTAAAATCTGCTGACGAGAAGTGCCACATTATATCATAAATATTTACAAATTGTTCTCGAAAACGGCTCTAACAATTTTGATTAAATTCATTATATCAGTGTAAAATTAAAGGTTATATAATATAGGTTTTATTCTCATTGATGTTTTCTAACAGCGCTGAAATGCCTAATTTTCAAAATTTCTTCCTCTGAATTACGTTTAATTTTCTTACTTTCCTACCCATATTTAAGGTAAGTAAAATATTATGTAAGTAATAAAGTAAAGTGTAAAGAAAGTATTGCGATCGGGTCAACTTTCCGATATGCTGTTTTTGACGGATCGGTATATTTCAGAGCCCCATGAGTCCGAAAAACACATTTTCAGCCATTTGTCTGTCTGTGCCGTAGATTATTTCGGGAACTAGTTGACCAATTTTGTTGCTTCTTTTTTTATTTTGTAGGATTTTGACTATTGATGCCTGTGACACAAATTGGGTGCTCCCTGCCCAATAAGTTATATAGACTGTAGCGCAAAAACGGCTCTAATGGTTTTCATGAAACTTTCTGGAAGGTGGTGAAATTCCGTAAAAAATACATAAAAATCGTTCATTTCAGACAACTATTAAAGAAGGTACAGCTATTCAATTTATTATGTAAGATTATGATCCCAGAAAGGGGAGAGAAAAATGAAAAGTAAGTGAAAGTAAAAAAATCTAGTGCCCGCATCACGCAAGTTTTACTATTTCATTCTACTTTTAACAGGATTATTGTCTGAAAAAATTGGGCTATGGCAAAAAGTTTATTATTAGAAATATTAGTGTTTTGTCCGGTTTACATTGATTTAGTTTATCAAAAAAATCATACTTAAAACTTGTCTTTGATCAATTTTCAGGAAAATAAGTCAATTCAATTTTTTTTTCTTAATGGACATATTTAAAGGTATAAAAACTTTCCTGAAATAGATAGAAAAGTCGTGTGAGTGGACACACCAGAGTTTTTTATTTGAAATAATTACCATTTCTCATTTACAACTGATATAAAGGTAATAAGAGTAACATCACAGAAAAATGGAGGGGTCCACGTCGAAATCAATCATAAAATCCTTGGATACGCTAATGATATAGCTGTCCTTGGAAGTAATCAAGAAGACATTGAAAAACTCGCTACTACACTGATAAGAGAGACAGAGCAGATCGGCCTACAAGTAAATGAAGACAAAACAAAAGATATGATAATAAGGCGAAAATCCCACCTCCATAACAGTATCTGCGTCGAAGGAAAATCATTTCCGAGAGTAGAAAAATTCAAATACCTCGTCAACCACAATAACCTCAATGAATGACCAACAGGCAGAAATAGACCAGCGTATAACTAGCGCAAACAGAGTTTTCTTTTCCCACACAAAGGTATTGAAATCCTGAGAAATCTCAAACTAAAGGTGATATGATGAAGCCAGTTCTATTATATGGCTATGAGACTTGGACACTAACTAGCACTCTAGGAAAAAGTGTTGAAACATTTGAGAGGAAAATCCTTCGCACAATAACCAGAGCGATCTGGGATCAGAGTACTAACACATGGAGAAAAAAAATCAATAAAGAACTATCCCATGATATGAAGGCTTGGAAGTTAAGATGGGCAGGGCATTCAACTCGTAGCGATCCATCTGGAAGCCTCTACATAACAATGAATGTCTCAAGAGATGGAGCAGGCTTGTTAAGGCAGCAAAAGATCTACTTGGTTTGTAATGCCAACAGAAAAAAAAAAAAGATTGGTCAAGAAAGGCTTAAAAAAATGAATGAACGCATCTGTGATTTATTTTATATTATTCCGTTCAGATCTTCAAGGGTTAAGCAGTTTTTGCAATTTGAGAAATCCTCAGAAATTCCATATATTAGTTAGCAATTTTTTTATTCCTGAAACATAAGAGTAAGCATAAAATAAGTTTTATGCTTTACTCTCAGTTCCCAATTATGATTAACATCTAATTTTCCATAAGTATCTCTAGTTGTTATTAATAAGAAATTTTTAATTTTATTGTACTTAACAATATTTAGGTTAAGATTATTTTTCTTGATTTTTTTAAGGCATAAAAAAGTCTTTCTTCAATAGGGTCTTTTTTAATAAAATTATCGGTTAAAATGTTAGTATGAATGAAAATCTCAAAAACACTTTTAATCAACCAACATATTTTATTTGTTATGATAATATATGATAGCTAAATCAGGAACTTTTAATTTTTTTTTCCATCATACCAAATATTGTATTTACATACTTAGTTGCTATTTCCAGGTTCTGATGGGCTCAGCGTAGATAAGCTTGGAAGGAGTCCACTTCAGTTGGCCCAGTCAAAATTAAAAATTCTTCAGAAATCCAATGTCACAGATGAAGAGGTCAAACAGCAAGTTTCTCAGGTTTGACATGAAAAATTATTTAAGTAATTTTGGCACTTCATCATTATTTAAGTCAATATCTTTATTGGATCCTTTCTTCATAGTTTTTCAAACAAACCTTGGTTCCAGAAATTGAATTTAAGTACTTTGATTTTTGAACCACAAGAGAAGATCACCACAGACTTAATAAACCCTTTTTACATAGTTAGTTTCACTAAAAAAGTCAGAATTGTAGTTTTCATATTTTTCTGTAAGGTGTGCCAGGAAAGTAATCTTACCTTGCAACTTTACTTTGAGTGTTGTTTGTTATTGGTGTTAAAAATTTAAGAATGTATTACTATTTCCATTAATTCAACTCCATACATAGGGTGTCATCTTAATAACGGGAAATATTTAAAGAAGTGGTAGTAAACTTCAAGAGCAACAAAAAAAGTTTACATAAGCAATGTAATGTAGTACAGAGCTGGTCTGTCCCTTATCACTTAAATCAATTTTAAACTTGGTTATGGTTCCATTCCGCCATTTTTATTATGAAACAGAATATAATGAGTTGCAGTACCACTGACAATAACATAATAGAAAAATGGCAGGATACACAAGTTTTGAACAATAGTTTGTTTTCTGATTACAAAGAGAGTTGCTGAAGTGTGGTAAAAAATTACTAATATGTTTGATCAACTTGATCCCTTGACCTTATAGAATATTATAGTAAATATATTGTACAACATTATAATATACAATTATCTTTCTTGATCATAGTGAGTTCATCCAAGAAATTGGTCAAGAAACTTAACCGGAGGCGTAGCAAAAAATAATAGTACTAATAAATTTCACTTTTTTTTCTGATAATTAATAACTAAAAAAAACATTTCACCATTTTAAGTGAATTTTAATAATTTACTCTACGTTAACCATAATTTTAACTGTTTAATTTACATATTTTTAGTTTCCTTGTTATTTTAAGTAATTTATAACACAATATTTATTTATTAGGATGTCCCATAAGTTTCTTATTTTTTTCTTTATGCGAAATCAATAGACAATATTGTTTGTTTAAAGTTGATTTGCTGCTTTATATATGAATCATTCTGCTCTTTTACTCTTCTTCTATTTCTCAAGAACCCTCATCGAAGAATATTCATCGAGGTGCATTTTTATTTCGCTTTCGGATTTGTGAGATTTATAATGGAGAGAACTTTTTAATGAGAGAAATAATTAATTATCAGATGGGCTAAGGTCTGGGAAGAACGGAGGATAAGGTAAACTGTAAGAGTTTGTGTCTTATAGCCAACGCAACATGCAGTCTGAGTACAGTTTGATTGGGACGTTCTACCTCACTCTCCCTACTCCCCAGACCTTGCCCCGTCTGATTATTACTTTTAGTTTCACTGGTTAAAAAATCTTTCTTTGATAAATGTCACAAATCCGAAATTGAAATATAAACGCATCTCGGCGAATATTTTGCAAGTTTCAACTATTTTGGAAAGAGGGCATAATGAGGCTTCCTGATAGATGGAAGAAGATAAGAAAGCAGAATGGTTCATATATAACATAGTAAATCAACCTTAAACAACAAATATCTTGTATTGATTTCGCTTAAAAAGAAAAGGAAAGAAATTTATGGGACACCCTAATATATTTAATGAATGATCAATATTTTATAAGTTTAAATATTATTCAAGGTTATCGAATTGCTGCTGATGTTTGCACACGAAGGAGCAGACACAGAAAAACTGAGTGAAGCCAGAGATAGAGTAAAGGTTGCTGGATCACGTGAGCAGGTAGACATGGAGCTGAGAAGCCTTCTTGATAATCTTGAATCATTGAGTATATCTAAGCCAAGCACATGATTAATTTAATTCATTCTAAAGTTCTTTTAATACTTATAACAAATCTTAAGAATGTATTGTCCTTTCATTAGGATATATTTTTATATTCAAATTTAACTATAGAAAGAACTATTGGGACATTATTTTATTGCATTTTTTAATTTTAAACCAATAGACATGAAAATAAAAAAAAATATTTAAAATTTTTAAGAATACAGGTTTAGAATTTGATTAAATTCAAAAATTAATTTAAGTTCTGATGTAGATATTGTTTTTGTTTTGATTGCTTTGTGAATCAAAGTGACTTGACTGCTCATTCCTTGATCTGTCAGTTTTTTTCTGATGGATTTTATTTAAAAAAGTTATAATTGTATTTTATTAGTCTTTATTTTTTAAAATATTAGGAAACCTGACATTTATCATAGATTTATGAAATTTTCAAATTGTTAATTCATTATATGAAACAAAATTAATGCCAATCATATCATTCATGTTATAGCATAAATAATTTTTCCCATTAAAAAATTACTTTGCTTTAAACTAATCAAAGTATTATTTATTGTTGACATCTGTCAGTAATACACTTATATTGGTGTGTATTGTTTTACACTCTCCTTCTTATTTCTGGTTTTGATTTATTGTGAAGCTGTTTCAACTTTTCATGGCACATGACACAGCTATAAAAATATTCCAATTAGTTTAAATTTAATTAATTTTTAAGTGAATATATTTACATAAGGTTTATTTAATCCGAATTCCTTTTGTTTCTAAAGGATATTTTACGGCTTTAAAATTCCATAAGTTTATGATAATGATAAAATCAAGACCTCTTGATACAAACGATTATAGGTTTGTAATATTATGTAAATAAGTATTTATTAAACATATTCCATGCTTGTTGAATTGGCATTTTTAAAGATATTTGTTTATGGATCAATTTTTTATGTTTGTATTGTATTCATATTTTTTTAGGTTGAATTTCAGATTAGTTTTAATTCCTATACCTGTCGATTATAAATGAAATAAAGATATTATAATTTTAAACAAAACACAAATCAAGCAATTTAATGATACTTGTGTTTAAATTTGTTTTACCTATTATTTGATAAATATCTTTTTTAATGTTTTTGTTTATTATTAAGAAACAATAATACAAAAATGCTCTAGAAAGGAAAAATATATTTATTTTGGATTAAGTTTTGGATTCTTTCTGTGCCTTCTTTATACTGGGTTGATTGGTTCCTTTACTATGTGGCCCTCTTATCCTCATTTCCCTATAAATTACACTTCATTGTGTTCCTTGAAACTATTAATTAAAAAAAAAAAATCTTTTTTATACAATAAACTACTGAATTATCTTTAATATTTTTTTTTCTTTGTCACTGCAATGTTAAATTTCTTTAAAAATCTATATTATACATTGCGCCTTGTTGCCAATTTATATTGCCAATTATTTTTATTGTCGATTTGTAACCATAATAAGGGAGCAATAATTCTGGGAATAAGAATTGAGGTGTCTTTGTTACGGTCCGTCCCGTTTTGTATATGTTAAATAAAATTTGACATGGTCACCAAAAAGATTTAATATGATAGAGGGAAATAATCGATTTGGACTCTAAAACATGTTGTAAATTCAGTTGTTCAAGTCATTCATACTTGAGAATTCAAGTGCAGCTGTCATGAATTGGCATACAATAATAAAAAAGTCACCAAATAAATTATATTAATCAATTTACTTCTTAAAAACCACCTGTTTCTTTTTTAAATTATTTAAAGTACGTCCATCGCTTCACAACTTTAATTGCAAGCTATGTTCCGATGGACTTACAAGGTCTCAATATGCCCCACAGGACTTAGTGCAGGTTTTAATGTGACCTATGGTCCATTAAGTTTAGAGACGCCTCCTTTAAATGACAGTTGAATAGCAATTTACTCTAACAAATATTTTTTCTATGTTTCATACTTTATTTCTTCATGTAGATTTATTACCCAATACGACTTATGAAGCTTTATTATCTTTAAATTGATTTTCACTAATTTTAATTATTTTTATCAAAGAAAACTGGTACTGTGTAAGAAAACATCTAACTGTTTATCATTCGTTTTACTTTCACTTACCTATATGTAATATATAGTAAGGGAAAGTATTGCAGTCGTGAAAATTTTAATATTTGAGTTTTCAACAGAAATACTCGTTTTGAGATCCCTTGAGTCAAAATGACCAAGTCTGCAAAATGGTCTGTGTGTATGTGAACAGTCTAGCTCAAAAACGAAAAGTCGTACCAAACTGATCTTATGTATTTAAGATAGGTATATGACTCATGTTACAGCAACTTTTTCTTTAAAATCGGCTAACCGGAAGTGCCACTTTATATTAACGGTGAAACAGATGTTTACAATTTTCTTAAAAAACACCTCTAACGATTTTGATTAATCTTGGTGTATCATATTATAATTAAGTGGTCTTTAATATCATTTATTTCTTATCTCCATTGATATCACTTTACAGGGCTTAAATGCCAAATGTTCATATACATCTAAAGTACATTTAATATGGTTTATTTAAAAAAAATAACTCTATTAACTCTTTATTGACATTAACTATAAAAAATGGCTAAATATGAAGTTTGAAAGAATATGATAATTGGAAACTGGAGGAAAAAGAAAAGTGCTTATCCATGTTGAAAATGAATCTCCGGAAATAACAGTCAGAAGATATACGCATAATATATCGTTGGAAAACGGAGAATTTTAGAAAACTAATATCAAATAAATAAAGTTGTAGAAGATAACGGCGAGTGACGAAAAGAATATAAATAATAATTTCTGAAAACTAACATTACTTAACGTAGTAAATCACATGTTTCAAGGAAATTAAATGATATTTTCCTACTAAATGTAAACTTAAAATTTTTTTTTTTAGTTACAAGAAAAAGCATTTAAAATCCATCGGGTCAAGGCAATGACATTGTTTAAAATAATATTTCATTGTACTTGTGTGAATGAAGTGAAATATAAAAATATTTCATGGATATGATTATAACCTTAAATATATTTACAGTAGTTTAATAACTCAAGAGATGATATTATATTTAAAAAATCAGGTATATATTGGCGTTTATTCCAAAAAATCATCAAGTAACCTTTTAGAAAATTAAATTAGTGAATAGTTTTGACCTATCCATGACAGGCAATGAAAATCACGTAATTTCATTTTAGTAAACTTTACAATGGAAGATAACAGTTTAATAACTAATAGTCCTATAATCGATAATCATTTATAGGTTAAATATTCAGATGTACTTTCAAATGTCTCTAGGCATATATTAGCCTTTCTGATGACAGAATGACTAACCTCAATTTCAATATTCTTCATTATTAATTTTAGTGATGTTTCTAGCAGAGAAATTTATACTTTCACTCATAGTTCTATATTTCAAAACTGCAATCACCTACTCTAGAATCTACTTACTCACTGTCTGCATAGATATAACTTTTTCAACTAGAAATATCACTAAAATGACATTACTAAAAAATGTTGAAATTGGAGTTTGTCATTCTGTCAACTGAAGGGTACATACAGATGAAAGACCGAAGTTATGTGGTTTATAAAAGCAGATGGAGTAACTAGATTTTTATTGTCTACCGTCGATATAATAAATATAGTTTTTGTAATTTTAATGGTCTTAATGATTGATATCTTTAAGCTTTAGCTTTGTTTGAAATTCCCTTCCAAAATTTTATAATAGCCCATAAAATAATTTCTATTCAAAGTAGAGCGGTAAGTGAAAGTTATGTGATTCGTGCAACAGAGTTTTATATTATAGTTTGATTTGGAAAATGTAATATTTTTAAGACTAAGCTGAAACTTTTTGTAAAATTTTATATTATCAATTACTACATAAGTACTTAGTAATAATTCAGGTATCATGATATCTTCAAATTGTTGGACTACCATTCTGCTGCACTTATTTGTCTTTCTTGGATTTTATCTTGAAAAAGCTTCAATTTTCTTCAAATACACAAATAATTAGGTTGGTTTTAATTATAAAAACATCAAAAACAATGTTATTAAATTTTATATTTAACTTCTGATACATTAGATTCTTTTAGCAGTGATAATTATTAATAATATAAACTCTCATCCAGAGGTGCCCGGAAGGGGGTTTTATGGCACAAGTTGGGCCATCAAAATTAATGAGGGGGGCCACTTTTTGAAGGGGTTTTCAATTTTTGAGGAGGGCACAATCTGACAGGGTTATGAATTTTCAAAATGAAGAGTTTCAAATCAAAAGACATGTGGAATCATGTTATCACAGACCACAGGATGTGTAATGGTGTATAATCTACGAATATTTAAATTCTGCTTTTGTTTGCACTGCTTTTAAAAAGAAGATAGGAATAAAATATCTTAGGACGGTTAGGAAAGGTTTGTGCTCCATCGGCATGGGGAGGAGGATGGGCACCCCTACTCTCATCTATTATTAAAATATAATAAAAATATTAATTTCGTGGAGTGAGGCGGATATATGGTCCCTTCTTTGTACGTAAAAGAAGTTCTGGGTAAACTATCAAGTCATCGTTTGATTCTATCTTATAACTTAGTAGCAAACTCGATATAATAACCTTCATATTCAGCATGGCAAATTTTTGACCTGAAAACAAATATAAATCATAAAATTACCTAATTAAATAAAATATATAATCATAAAATTGATCATTAATTTATGTAGTGTTGAAATTTCTAGCCAGTTATTTCAGTATATTATCCAAATATTTTATTATTGTGATTACTGCTTTAGAAAAAATGTAAATTTAGTCCAATTGAGCAAAAATAAATTTCAGGTTGGATTGATTATTAAATCTTTTTATTTATTTATTTAAATATTTTTAATTCATTCTTTTAGTAGGTCTTAAAAATATATCTGCCTCGGTTCCCATTGATGTATTTTTGCCACTGGGTTCATATCAGATTACGTTGAAATACTCTTAACAGGTATAGTTCTGGTGGTCCGTGGTACAGACCCCTTTTTATTGAATTAATTAACATCCGACTGAAAGTTTGTAAATATTTGTCTGAAAGTCTCATCTATTTTAATAACCTACAACTATTTTATTTACAAAAACTCTTGGAATTGGGGCGTTTTCAATCTGGAGGGTGCAAACTTTGTCTATTTAATTAGGTACTAAGAACTTGTAAATACACATTTGCTTTCTACTTGGATCGTAAGATAATTTGATCACAAAATCAAGAAAAAAGTTAGCCTTCAAAAATATTGAGCCGTTTGGCGTGACCTACACCCCCAAATTTTCAAAATAATGAGTTTATATAGGACAATCGGCCCAATATTTTTGCAGGCCACCTTTGTTATCTACTCTGTGATCAAATTATGTTACAATCCAAATAGAAAGCAAATGTGTTTTTAGTGCCTAATTAAATGGACAAAGTTTGCTCCCCCAAGATTGAAAACGACCCAATTCCAAGCATTTTCGCAAATAAAATAGTTTTAGGTTACGATGAGATGAAACTATTTACGAAGTTTCAGCTGGATGTTAATAATTTGATAAAAAGATGTCCGTACCACGAACTAGTAGAGGTGCCATTGTTAATCTTCCACAACCAGTGCATACACTTCTAAAAGGTTTCCTGCTAACTTGTTGGACTGTAATTATTTCTAATAATCAACTTAGTCATTATTCGTATGAAATTCCTCCTAATAATTACCTATACAAAAAAAATTACCTATACAGTTTCTGGGTCCGGCTGAGAAAGGTATGTATGCATAAGCATGCTTATGTGGTTTCAAGTGCCTGTCTGGGTTGAACTTTTCTGAATCGGGGAAAAGATCTTCCCTTCTGTGTAGTGGATAGATCATGACATTTAAGTATGCCCCTTTCGGAATTGTATATCCATCTGCATAAGAAATTATTAAACAAGAATTAAGTTTTTCAGGAATTACATTTTCAGGCTTCTGTAGACATAAAACTGTGTGGCCATCAATTCCTGAGACAGTTTGTTTAGATAAGAGAACGCAATAGTAATTTGTATTATTTGAAGTATGAATAATACAATAGAAGTCAGAAGATAAAATAAACAAGTCCTGATTTTACTTATTTATGCATATCTAATTTAATGATTAATGATTGATTGTAGTGAATAATTGAAGAGAACATTGGTTGGGATGATCAGTCTATGCTTACTTTTTTTATCTCATATATTCCATTACTTTTAGTTGTTAATTCATTTTTCATTTGTTATGTTACCTTATTTTAATTATGTTTATTCCGTTAGTCCCTAATTTGTTGCCGTTATTATTTATTACTTAATTCTCTGTTACTGTCCTTATGCTACCTACTTTATTTTACTTTAAGTTTATTCTACCTACATTTTTTTATACTATACCTTTCACCTTCATATTACTTTTTTTTTTATTATTATTTAAAATTTATAGTTTCTCATACCTATTGTTATCTGTTTTTTTCTTAGCTCCGATGAAGACCGAAACGTCGGCAAAAATAAAAATAAATATACTTATTTATTTTTACTTTTCTTTTTTTGACTGATCATCCCAACCATTCTTCTCTTCAAAATCTATTTAATTTGTGTTGAATATAATAACATTACATAATATCTGCTAGAGGCTTTACAAATGTACATGTACTATAAAATTTTAATTTGTAAAAATTAAAAAAAGTGACAAACCAGACAGCAAGTCTGATGCAAATATTGTAGTTTTTCCAGTCCTGAAAACACAAATTTTCTATTTTTTTCTCCTGTTCAAATCCTATAAGACATTAAACAAAAAAAAAAAATCAACAACTAACTGGACAAAAACTATGTGAAATGAAAGGGAGATCGATTATGGATTTATAGAAACTTTTTATATTAGAAATTCAATGTAAAATGGCTGTTATTTTTTTTCCATACTTACCTGGAACTCTCTCTCTTTCGTTTAGCTGGAGTGCAGACTGGATGGCCCCCAGAGTTCTGTTCTCGGACCAATATTGTTTCTTGTGCACATCACTGATATTATGGCCAGAGTGTTTCAGAAAATACTCTAAAATTCATTTGTTTGCAGATGACATAGTTATCTGGGCTTCTGCATTGGCAGAGGAAGTGGTCAAGACTATGCAGCAGATAACTAATGACATTAAGGAACTTCTGGCCAACTCTAACAGACCACCTCAATTATGAGAAATACTATTGGATACTAATAGAGAGGCCTAAACTGGTTGTAAAAGCCGAGCAGAACGATTCGCTACCTCCGCTGATTATTATGGATGTCATACTCCAATCTGGGAAATTCTTGGAAGGGTTGGAGTGATGGTCAGTGGCTAGTTGCCATGTCCTGACCATACCAGTCTTGTAGTGAGTCGGTTTGTGTTGTGCATTCCTTCTGAAGCGTTTATGTTTTACTGAAATTTAGAAGAAATTAGGCTCTACGTTAAAACTTTGGTGTGGTATTATGACTTAGACTACATCTATATATCGGAAAGGGAAGACTCCAGAATTCAGAGGGCTCTCAACACAGCTATTCGTTCCATATACAAAAATGAAGTCCATCACTATATACTCTGACAGGCAATAAATTCCACCCACTTGATTTTTTCATGTTTTCATCTAAAAATATTTCTGCTTTGGATTGATCTATTGTTTTTAATGAATAAATAGGTAATCTTTGTGTTTGTTTTCAATTAGATATGTTAATATAGAGGACAATAACCCTTAATCCTTAATTCAATGAAATGATTATAGATTCCAATGTTTACTTTCTATGGAATCAAAATGTTTATTCAGTATCATTAGTTCAGTGCCGTTTCTTGCAGCACATTTCTTAGTCTCCGGCTTTTAATTTTTTCAATATTAAGTTTAAAAATGCCTCTTAGTGCTGAGGATGTTGCGCATGGTGTGGCACTTATTGATGATGGACGTTCCATTAGATATGCAGCTAATGCCATCGGAGTTCCATATGAAACTTTACGAGACGCCGTCAGGCGTTTTCGGGAAACTGGTTCTTACAATATAAGGCCCGGTTCTGGACGGCCTAGGGTAACAGAACCACGGGATGACCGGTTTTTGACTTTGAGAATTTTACGAAACTGGCACCTTACCGTTGTTCAAGCGATTCATTAGCTCGAAGAAGTTCGAGGTGTGCAAATGTCTGAACGTACCGCTCGGAGAAGATTAAATGAGTATGGATTAATGGCTTTTCGTCCAGTAAGAGGACCAGAATTGGCCAGAACTCACAGAGTAATACGGCTGGCTTTTGTTCGAGAACACAGCCATTGGACTATGGACGAATGGAGTGCTGTACTTTTTACAGATGAGTCAAGACTCGCTCTTGTCCCTTAATGGTGTGGGCTGTGATTTCAATGGAGCGCCGCACATAATTGGTTGTTGTTCGTGGAGGGTCTTTGACGGCCATTCGCTATGTAGATGAGATTTTGGAACCTCATGTGTTGCCTATCCTCAACGAAATCGGCGATCGTTCTATGCTAATGCACGCCCACATGTCGCCCGTATAGTGCAGACGTTCCTTCAACAGAACAATATTGAGGTTTTAGCCTGGCCAGCACGTTCTCCAGATTTGAACCCCATTGAACATTTATGGAATAACCTTGGAAGACGAATAAGAGCGCGTGCAACACTTCCTGATACACTGCAGGACCTTGAAAGGGCTCTTCGGGAGGAATGGGCTATCCTCCAGCAAAGAGACATTTCCCGACTGGTGGAAAGTATGCCGAGGCGTCTTCAAGAAGTAGTGAAGACAAGAGGAGGAAACGCACTACTAAGCGATGGTGTAATTAATTTCTTTTGTATTATATACAAATACAACTTTTTTTACAAGTGGCAGAAATATTTTTAGATAAAAACATGAAAAAACCAAGTGGGTGGGATTTTTCGCCTGTCAGTGTATATATTTATTCAACTAGTAGGCCCGTGCGAAAAATTCGCACAGCATATTGTTATCAAATGCCAAATTAATAAGCATATAAAATAACGCAACGTTTCAAAACTAAGGATAAAGAAATCAATTGTTGTTACTTTATCGATAAATATAATCGACAAAGGAAACAAAAATTAATTTAAATCTTCATAAATGTTTGGAACCAACATGTTTACAACTTTCATAAAGCTGTATCTTTGCTAAAAATTGTCCGATTTCGATGATTTTTTTTTGCTTTTGTAGTGAATTAAGTAATCTTTTAGTTATTCGCAAACAAAGTTTGTTTTCTTTCATAACTTGTTTGCCTGAATTTTCGGGGTGATTGGACTATTTTGTCCACCTGAAGAAAGCCTTCGAAATTGGTGGCTCAATCTTGAGATTTGGTGAAGAATTAACGATTATATGGCTTGCCTATCAAAAAAACCATCGATAAATAACATAAACTCCTCCTGTCTCGATCATAGAGGCCTTAAGTCGACGAAAGGAGACATGTATTCAATGACAATACTACAATTAACGTAAGGTTGTGTGGATGCGAATACTATGCCTTGCAATATTTCGAAAATAGTACGTTTTTGGGCTTAAAAAAGCAGAATCCGATAGTTCAAGCAGGATCTTGCTGTACGCATCAAAATCTTCAAGGTACAATTTGTCTCCTATCGATCTACAGACCTACCACCGTTCCAATATTGAAGCCTAGCAAAATGTTTGTATCGACTTTATTTATTTTAGAAAGAAAAACAAAAGCGAAGAATACGATTCGCTAACCCCCGTGAAATTCTGAATCAAATGGTACCCCATTCATGGTATTTGAGCATGACAGGAGCTTATATTTGGTACAGAACCGATTCGAGCCTTACTGTAATAATATATGTGGGAATGGGGATAGGAATATAACTATCTTAGGCTGGTTGTGAACTAAGGATTATAGGACGCTCGACTTGATGTGCGTTGCAAGATAAGTTTTAGACTCTATGGGTCTTGAAGAAGTAAGGAAATGGTTTGTAGAGGTACATAGCACAGCGGGATCTATGCAGGGAGGGGGAAGACGTCTGCTGAAGCTTCCCTCAAAATGGTAAGAAACAATCATATCTAATGAAATAAATATTAAAAACGTAAGTCTAAAAGTATTATTGTTCGGGTAATTTTATTTATAAGACTTCAAGAATCATTTGAACACCATATTGGCTGTTAGTTTCTTTCTTTTCTATCGAAGTAATAATCGTTGTGTATTTATAAAAAGTGCGGGTTGGTGCTTAGATGTTCCCATATCAATTTTATAAAATTCCACCCAGTACTTCCGCTTGTGCATGCGTAAATGTATTTTTATAGATATGTCAATATTTCAAAAACGGCTTGTTCGATTTAACTCTAACTTTAAGTTGAAAGAAAAGTAGGTTTTGGTAAAACGATTCTGTATCGATTTTATTGAATTCAATCCTCTACTTTCCCTTATATATGCGGAAATGAGTTTAACTTGATACACCTGTATCTTTAAAACCACTGGTTGGGAGGAAGTTAGGGATTGGTTAACAGATAATTAAGTAAGTATCAATTTAATAAAATTCTATCCAATACTATAAAAAAAAAACTTCCGTTTTCGGATTGATGAACGTATTATTTTACACGCCTATAGTCTGAAAACGGCTCGTTCAATTCGACCCAAACTTTGAGGAAATTTGGAGAATAGTTCAGAAATTGTCTGGTACCAATTTAATTTAATAATTAAAATTAATATAAATAACTGTTGACAATATTTCCTGTGAAATGTGGAAGGCATTGATCACACAAAATAGATATTAGGTTATTACAATATTTTTATGAGGTTATAACATTTTAGGTTTAGTTCAAAAAGTTAATTTGTACTGTATTTTCTGGTCACTTTCAAACGTTACCTTAAATGTAACATTAGATTTCATGTAATTTTAATTTATTTTTATTTTTTCTAGTTTGTAAAAAAAAAGTCTTATTTGTATATTTCTATTGAAGTTCGATCAGCTCGCCATGGTCTCGATTTCCCCCTTAACCACCGAAGTTGTGTGACCTACAATCCTATTTTTATTTTTCAGCATAAATTAGTTTTGCTCTGACTGCCGGAAAATATTGGTCTCATCAATTCCGAACAAACGAAAAGTTAAATTTTTCCAATGAATTTTTTTTTTTTTTTTTACCACTGAAAACATATTTATTAAGTATAAATCGCTACTGTTAGTGCAAAAGGCCATATGTAACAATTTTACTTTTTATTCTATTGGTGCTAAAGGTAACCTTTCGTAGTACGCAGCTGATGTAGGTAAATATCTATACTATGGAAAATAGCAAAGCAAATTGAAGTATGAAATTACGCTAAGAAATCATAAAGAAATAATTAGTTTTAATGCCCCCCTGTTAAACACTCAATTTTTAGACACGACCTTTGCACTAACAGTGCAGAATGTTATGGAATTACTATAGACTTTGAAATATATACATCGTTTGGCCTATGAAAATGGTGAGAAACAGTTACTTGGTAGACGTTTTTTTTATACATACTAACATTTATTCTACTTTATTTACCAATATTAGAATTCAATATTGTTGCGTTTTGTATTTATGAATTACTGCGCAATACGTTTTGTTTTCGGAATCTCAAGAGATACGCATATAACTCGGTATTACAAGTTGAAGTGGCTCTATCCATCCTATCGCCGTCTGTACTTCCTTGCTACCTTCCTTGCTACCAAGCCATCAGAACTCAGCGGCCTTCCTATATTTTTCACAGCCTAAATTCAAATATTCCATTCAATCCCGGCTCACTAGATCTCGTACCTCCGACCTCTATCCACCTCCCCACCGAACTGCAGCGTTTGACAAATCCTTTATAATTCAAGCCGTCTCCTTCTGGAATACCATCCCTCCCGATATCCGACATGTTTCCTCGTTTAAATCTCTCCTTTTTAACCACCTACTACTTTCCCAACCCGATTGATCATGAAATGTAGATAAGAGAACTTTTAAAGTTCCCCCAGAAATGATTTTCTATGTTATTTCACGTATATGTTATTTCATTTTCCCACGTTTGTATTATACATATCAGTATGTTTTTAGTGTAATAGTTCTATTTTTGTTTTATTCTTTTTTCAAAATCTTAATCTTAATAATAATTGTAAATAATTAATTTTATGTAAAGCCACACAGGCATTTATTCGGTATCTTTAATTTGTCCTAAAGGGACAACAGTCCCAGGATAATAAAAAAATATTTTCATTTCATTTCAATATTAAAATTCAATTGTAAATTATATCATACTAGAGCATATACTGTAATGCGAATTGTTCAGGTAAAAATGTAATTGTTATTAAAGTTTTCTCTGTAAGAAAGATCCTTAGGGCTTAATTATTTATTTACTTTAAAATAACCTTACTATGAGGAAGCACGACATCATGAGTCGCCTGCCTTGCTACAATCGGCACTGCAGGGTAAAGCCTCATCGATTCTTTTAGAACTCGATCCAAGTAAGTCATTTTTTGAAAGTCTTCATATGTGGGTTCCTGTCCCACTAAAATTTCTGACACTTCGCGATATACTTCTTCCTGAAAAAAAATGTAATACAATAGCATTTGTTCTGATTAATATATCAAATGTAGTTCTAACATGTCCGTCGGAAGCACAAGCGGATCTATAGAGGGAGGAGGGGATTTCGGGCAGAATTCCTCCAAAATGGTAAAATGTAACCATGTTTTAAGGTATAAAATATTAAATAATAAACTCTTAATGTATTATTGTTCGTGTAATTACATTTAATAAAACTTCAACGATCACTTAAACGCCATTTCATTTAGGTAGTTAGTATCCTGTTTTCCAAAATAATTATCGTATTTTTTTTTTAAGCTTATTTATTGAAAAATGTTACAATCTGTCTCAAGGACATTTATAATAGTATTCACAGATCACATTCACACTCTATGTACAGTAAATAAAATCAATTATACAGAAAAATAATATATATACAATAAATAAGAATAAAATAACCTTAAAATAAATGAATAAAAAGAACACATATATACCTATATACAATATTTACAATCTGGTGAAAGAACTCCAAACCAGACTTGTCACTCCAAGTGTGGAGGGAAAAGCATGGCTCCAGGAGATCCCTGTACTTCTCTCTCAACCGCGTCACTGGGGCTAAAGCCAGTCGAGATTTTATCGTATTAATGAAAAAAAAAGCTTTCGGGCTAAAACTCCCCCAAAATTAAATCCTAAATCCGCTAATAGTCAGAAGTAAACTAAAGGGGCAAAGTCCACACAATTTCATAAGGAAAACATTCACACAGTGGATAAATAAAGTAAAACAAATGTAATGTTTTATTGTTATTGTCATCATGTTTCCGTAAATTACAAAAAAACAAATTCATGCTTGCAGTTTTGAAATATATGGCTGCTGTCAAGGAAAGCACGTTTGTAAATGGGCAAAAGTAGTGGATAAAATTGAAATGAGACCACTTTTAAGCTAATGTCCAAGTTTCGTCTAACTTTTGGACAAATCGTTTTATAAAATATGTATATAAAAAATGGAGGGTGGAATTATATGAGTTAAATACAGTCACATATATATATATATATATCATATCAGTAAAGAAATGTCCATATTATATCATATTAAAAGTTTTATTAAATAATTCACAAACCTGAACATCCTGATGTTTTCCGAGAATCCAGATTGCAAAAGTTAAAGAAGAAGTTGTTGTGTCATGACCCTGAATAAAAAAAAAAAAAGTAAAATTGTATACGTTCAGAATAAAATCTAAATTGAAGATATATGCAGGGATGTATTTTACTTAGGCATCGTGTGTTAAATACGCGTCTGGCAACCTGGTAAACCGAAGATTACGAGTCAATTCAATCCCGGAGCTGGTGTTTTCAACTCTGACATCAATTCCCCATCAGTAAAAACTCCTCCCCTGATCAGTAAAAAACCCCGTAAGTAAAAACCCCCCGTGACAAAGAAACTTGAACGGTTAAGCAGGTGAAGCTTTTAAGAATTTTAATGTAAATCAAGAAGAAAGAAAATACAATAAATAAAGACATTCTTCGAAAAGTGGAAATTAAAAGCTTAAGGGCTGAAGCTCATCGGTTAAAGTAGAACTGGACTGGACACTTGGCGAAGTTGAAAGATAAAAGATGGTCTAAAACATGTGCCGACGGGATCCCAAAAGAGAACAACAGGAAAAGAAGCCGGTCGCATCTTAAGTGGAAGAACGAAATGACACGGTATGTAGGCGATGACTGGTGGCTTGTGGATAGGAATATAAGCAGATGGAAACAAGTTAGTTGCTTTGTTTCATCATATTCTGTTTTTATTTTTTATTATCCGAGTGCTTCCAAGTAGTTTTGCCAAAAATCGGTCTTGGTCTTTCACTTTGCAAGACTGGTAAAAAAAAATCGTTATTGTGAATAAAAATTAAGGCAAAATATTTACTAGTACTAGACAATTTTAGTTACTATATATAAAGAATTGGTAGAACCAAAATATTTTTGCATTTAATTGTTCCAATTTTTCAGTCGGGGTTTGTTATGTTTCCCCATTCTGAAATTTTACAGTAACTGCAAGACTGTTGTGAGACTCTAGCGCAAGACCAAGACCAACAAAACTGAGTGCGCAAGACTTATCTTGGTCTCGCAATTGGGCAACACTACTTCCTGGACTGTTCTGTTTACTATATGGCTTTTGTTTTTGTTTAAAAAAAATTGTATATTATGCTCATATATGTTGTTAATACTATATAATTGTATATTAGTTTTGGAAAATTGTCTGTAGCGATTAATAAGTATGCTGTGTTTAAAGCAACCCAATGTAATTGGGCAGCACCCTTTTATGATAATAAAGTGATTCTCTCTCTCTTAGGCCTTACATTGTTATTTTATAGAATAAACTAGCTTTACCCGGCCACGCGCTGCTGTGGCTTAGCCTGGCAAAATGAAAAAGAAAGAAAATAGAAACCACATATGAGTAGATTAATAGCAAAGGACATCTGTCATTTTTAAAAGGTTGGGAAACAAATTTGTCTGTAAAATGGCTTCAATTTAAACTAATTCTAATGATTTTTTTTTTCATGATTCAAATTGAACATTCATAATCATCTGAGTAAATATGCCGTCATTCATAATCATCAGAAACAGTCTGAGTTGAACTTATAAAACTAAATAAAAAAATTAATTTAAAAAACGTATAATAGTATTGACCTACATAATGAGAATCATATAAATTCTTCAAATGATAATTTCAATTACTGTAGTAATTATAAAATTTTCGATTAATCAATAAAAAAATAAAAAATGCTTGCCGACGTTCGGTAGTGAGGAAGCAAAAGGAAACGGCCTTTTCTGAAGAGAAAGCAGTGAATGTTTAAAACCCAATAACTCTACAACGAACCGTCCGATTTCGATGATTTTTTTTTATTTTGTCAGCAATTCAGAAATCTTTATCAATAAAAAATTGTGTAATTTTTATTTATCGTCAAATAAAATATTGAATTCATCGTAACATTTTTCAGGTTGTTTTCGGGAAAGAGTTTTATACTTATAAATAAAAAGGGTTTCAAGGGGAAGACTTTAGCCAAGTTTCGTTAAAATCGGTAAAGCCGTTTTGGCACTACAGTTTATAGCGACACATTTTTTTGCGACTTTGAACAGAAAAACATTTACATTTTCATTTTTTTTACATATATAAAATTTTCGTAAGACAGATGTACTATGCCAGAAAACTTCCCAGGAGTGTACGGAACAACTTCCCAAAGTTTCATGGCGATCGGATCAATGGTTTAGTAATGCACAAAGGACCAACAGACAGACAGACAGGCATACATTCATTTATATATATATATATATATATATATATATATATATATATATATATATATATATATATAGATTCATATGTTTTGTTATATTTTAAACATTAAAAAACAAAAAAGTAATAATTTAAACATATTTTTCTCCGTTAAAATTCCTCCTTAAGGAAGAGGCTTTTGTAAAATAAATTGATGTCAATAAAGCTTATTATCATTATTATTATTTATTATAAAATTAACAAAAATAATTTAAAACTAATATTCTGGAAAAATAGCCACATGGCTGCCGAAAACCATATATCATCTCTTCCCGTTTCTCCTGCTGTTCTCTAGCTTGTGCATGACTTCCAAAAATCGGGACTTTTTCATAACGCCGCGGGATGGGGGACAAATTCTGGAAAATCGCTACTGACGTCTATGGTTTTTTTTTTTTTTTTTTTTTTTTTGGAACTGATTTAAGCCAAGGAAGTATGATTGTTATTGAATAAATACGCGTACATAAAAAATAAAATATTATTACAAGAAATGTTAGGAAATTAATTTTAAAATACCTCAAACATAAAAGTTATCACCTCATCCTTAACATCTTTCTCAGTTTGAAAAGCAGGTACCTTATCACGTTTCATTTTAAGAAGAAGTTCTAATAAAGCTGCTTTGCGCTTCACTCCTAGAAAGCTCATTATTGTTTTCGTGTTTAATAGAAAAAAACAAAAACAAAATATTAGATATAAACTAGAAAAAGTGTTTTTGTTTTTTTAACTGACCTAATACTGCATCTCCACTTGCATCCGAATCATCTCTAACATCAATATTTTCGATCTCCTTCTTCCTGATTACCTGAGATATAAGTATTGTTGATATGGATTTCTTTGAGAATAGGAAATATAAAGAATCAATATAATTACTTATTATAAATCAATTTAGAGTTAACTAGTTGGCCCCTGCGAATAATTCGCAAAAAATCTTGTTTACTGAAAAAATAGCTAAACAATATGGAAATAAGAAGTTCGTATGTATTATGTGGTCCACTTCCAGAAAACAAGATCCCGTGTTCCCGACCTTTATATCCCTTCCTATAGAACTAAGACGTTTGAATATTCCTTTATTGCCCGATCCACTGCCTTCTGGAATTCCTTACCTTCTGAAATCCGCCATGCCTCTTCCTTGTCCTCATTTAAATATCATCTCTACCAATTCCTTCTCACATCCCAAAATGACGTTATACAATGAAATAAATATTGCAAAACAGATTTTGACTGAGGTGAATGGTTGTTAAAATTGATAGAGTTTTAATTTTAAAAATCAACCCATGTTTATTTTATTTTGTTCTCTTTTCATTTAAATAGTGTTTTTTAATTTTATTGAATATACTATATATTCTTTAATATTGACAAATGTAATTTTTGGCCAGATGTAGTTTTTATTTTTTGTTTATATCTGTTATTCATAAGGGACCTTGTCCAAGAATAAAGTTTACTTTCTATCTATCTATCTATCTATCTATGAAAGGAAGGAATTAATATTTTTTCGTTAGTTGATTACAATATTCCATTAAACATAATAGACCAAAATATTTGTACAAATTGCTTTGCTAGGACCTATTTTTAAACACTGACTGGAAAGATAATAAAAGTAATAAAGGGAAAATAATTCCCCGATCATGAGATTTTCTAAATTATTTAAAAAAAATAAAATGTAAGATCAACCAAATGTCTTTAAGAAATAATAAAATTAATATATCAGCACAGAAAAAAAATTGTAGTAGACTATTCTAATAAATGCAATATCTTTAAGCTGGAAGACATTCTTAAGTATACGAAAACTAATGGACTGTATCTTTATTAATAATTGTCCGAATCTCACGTTTTTTTTTTGTTTTGTAGGTAATTTAGTAATATTTCTAATTATCATGGGTACAATCCAGAAAACAATGCATACTTTTTGAGTTATTCGCAAATAAAGTTTCTTTTCTTCCATAACTTTTTTTCCAGAAATTCCGGAGGAATGGGACTATTTTTCGCATGTAAAGGAGAAGAATATCTTAAAAATGAGTGGTCAATCATTGGATTTGATGAAGAATTGACGATGTTATGGCGTACCGAAAAAAAAAACCTTTTAGAAATACTATATAGGATAATGCATTATAAAGCTAAGCTTTAGATCATTTAATGAATAAAAACAGGTGCACCCATCCCTTCCTAGATCGATGGGGTATGCATTTTATTACTCCCCTTCCTCTACCAAGAAATTTTATGTTGAAATGTGTCTCTCCCAAAATTTCAGTCAAAAAGTGACACCCGCAAAAAAAAAATTTTTATGGCACAAATTTCCTCATGAAATCTCCTGGAAACCAAAAAATAAAAAAAAAATCTTTCGTGGGACCTCTTGTGAAAGATGATTGATACTAAGTAAGTTTTAATATTGAATTCCCTTTAGTCATAGAAATTATCAACTAATACTAAAAATATTTTCTGTTATCATTTAATTTTTGTATTATAAATTTATTACTTCTAATGGTAGAGAAAAGAGAATATTTAGAAGATGTTTTTCCTTCTTCCGGCGACCAGACAGCGTATAATGTGGTTCCATCCCAAGTAAAGGATTTTTTATTTTTTCCATCAATAATAAGGTCATTCTGAAAAAAAGATTATTTATATATTATGCTACTGTCATTAAGATTTAATTGATCAAATCGAATTAACTTACCTGTTCAAAAGTTTTTTTTGTTTTCAGTAGCAATCACACTGCACAACGATTTGAATGAAAAGTGCCGTTTTGGTGCTTGGTAACACTCATATTAAGAAGTATTAAAGCATAAACTTACTTTAAACATTCTTTGTATTAATCATGCTATTAAAATGTTATTTTAAACGGAAGTTTTATTTATTTATTTTTACATTTTATTATTATTATAGGAATAGGTCCTTTGACCATTTTCTTTTTAGTCTGCGTTGATCAGATAACAGGGAGCAGGAAATAGAAAGAACTAATGGATTAGAGTTGAAGAATGAAATGGAGTGTATTTGTCGTGGATGTAGGATTTTACTGTTGGGATGTTTAAGTCGTTATTTATAGTGTTATTTGAAATGAACCAAGCTGCGTTGACAATGTTTCGTAGAATTTTTTATTGCGTTGTTTGTATTTTATTTATATTTGTTTTGTCTAATCCTAAAGTTCTGCTCCGTATGTCCAAATTGGTCTCAGTATGATGTTGAAGATCATTAGCTTGTTTCGTAAGTTATGTGAGGATCTGTTGTCCAGAAGATGTGAGAGTTGTTTATATTGTCTAGTCAGTTCTACTCTTTTTACTGCACTTATGTATATATGTAATATATAGTAAGGGTAAGTATTGCGATCGTGAAAATTGTTTAGTTTAGTATGTATGTTCCAGGTAAGTCTTTTGTCTAAGTTGAGTTCTAGGTACTATACATTTATACTAATTATTTTCAATCATTGTGTGTATACATTACTAAGAGAGAAAGTTACTTGGGTGGATTTGCTACTATTTATTTTAATTTTACATTTTTCGAATCATTTTTAAAGATTATCGTGTTTTAAAGAGAAATTGATCAGATAGTAAGATTTTTGTGTGAAGGATAAGTGTAGTTTTAATTTCTAAAATAAAAATATGCTTTTTTTTTCGTCTTCTGAATGTTTTTAATTTTTGCAGTTACAGGCGTTTGCAAAATACTTGGAAGTATCTAAACGTGCACAAAATCCAGAACTGAATATAATATTTAAACTAATTATTACAATTGTAATTAAGTTAGTTTTATTTTTGAACGTAAAATGATTTTCAAACATTTAAACCAGTTGGTTATAATTAAATTTATACTTCAAAGACTTATGTTTATATAAATCTTCGTGCATATTATATAGTAGATATTTATTTATGAATAAATTATGTAATTGTTCAAGATTTTAAAAATAATGAACGATTTCCAACTCCAACGATTTCTTTATATATATATATATATATATATATATATATATATATATATATATATATATATATATATATATATATATATATATACGAAACATGTATTTCTATGTTGTTTTTTTCGTTCTTCCCTACCTCATCTTTAAGGCTAGGCAACACGGGATTTTCTCGGACCAAGAGGGTGAGTGCGGGGAATTTCCTCCGGCACCGAGACTCGAACATGTGCTCTTTTTAATCTCATAACTTAGGTTATGTGGTTTCCGGGCAACTCGCGGTGCTGTGCACACTTTTATGTGTAATGTCACGTGTCAATGCGTTTATAAGAAAGATTCATGGTAAAAATGATTTCTTACCTTTCTATAGCTGTTGGATACTCTCCTATTGGATTTGTCATAGCATTTAATTCAGTCCCCATAACAGTTTCTAGAAACAAAAACGTTATTGCATCTAACAAACAATTCGTTTATGTATTTTTAAAATAATGTTTAAAAAAAAATTATACGAAACAATGGCGTTACTACATGATTCGGGGAGGGAACGGGTTAAAGATTTAGATATTTTCGTGGAGGTGTGACGCTAAGGAATGAGAGTTTAAACCTTCGTTCGCAAAATATATTACTTAGATTTGAAATAAAGATAATCCAAAACAATCTCAAATAAATTAATATCAAAGTTTACTCAGTATACAAATGATACTGAGTTTTATACAATTCTTTATAAAACTAATCCTCTAGGAAATGAGATTATAAAAACATTGTTCTAAGGCTTATAATGAAATACTTATTTTATGTATTAAAGTGAAAAGAGATCTATATAGTTTGGAAAAAACAAAACAGAAGAGAGGTTCTTGAATAGTGTTTCCGCCACATTTTTCACAATTTCTCTTCTGGTCAGGCAGATTTTCCCTTTGTACTTTAAAATATGAAATATACAGTATATATGAATATATTATATCCTCTTGAATATATGAAATATACAGTAAGGGACAGTACTGCGATCGTGAAAATTTTTGAATCTGAGTTTTCAAAGGAAATACATCTTATGAGGTCTCCTGAGTCCAAATAACCAAGTACCGCAAAATAGTCTGCGTGTGAGTGTGTGTATGTGACCAGTCTAGCTCAAAAATGAAAAATGAAAGTGAAATTGCATATTTAAGGTTTGTATATACATGAGATCTTACAGCAACTTTTTCGTCAAAATCGGCTAGTTGGAAGTAGCACTTTACTTCACTGATGAAACGCATTTTTACTATCATCTCAAAAGCGGCTCCCTGAATTTTGAAATGACACGTGATGAGAGAGTGCAAGCAGGTATAAAAACATCAAATAACTGTCAGGGGTTGGCAGAAAGGACCACGTGACCCTCTTGCCGGACTAGTTTCCCACACCAGTACCAGTACCAGTATTTTTTTGCGTTAATATCTTTAATTACAATTAAAGAATTACCCGCAACTGAATCGAGAGCGCAATCTGATATAATGTGTGTCAATGGGAAGAATCCTTTCCCGACTTTGTCCTTGAGGACCTTCAGGAGAGTATTGGCGCATTTGCTGAATGTCGGCACAAATTGGTCGAGTATTTTGAAATGAAAAGTCGGGGTGATGGCTTTCCTCCTCCTTTGCCACAGTTCACCTGCGCAACAATTACAAGTAAAATATAAATAACATTAAGAATTTCATATGGGATCAGTTGAGAAGCGAGGTTTGAAATTAATGGATTCAATAATTTTATATCAGATATAATTATGGCAGGTATATTGTTAATTATAATTATATTTTATATTGTTAGATTTATTACTTAGCTACCTTCAAAACGGTTTCCTAACCTGTACTGAGAAGAAGCCCTGTTCCAAGCCAAGGTTGTAACGCAGAGTAAGCATCAGACTTGGTGATTAATGTTTTACTGCTTAGTGCCTGAAATTGAACAATTTTCATATTTATATAAACAAGATATAGCTTTGAAATCGGATAGTATCATAAGGAAAGGGATTCATTCTTTAGAAACAGTTTTTTTCAGAATAAAAAATAAATATCTGCAATCCAAAATTTCAAATTAACACATTCCAAAACATACTATAATATTGAAGTGTTTGTTACACGATTAACCAGCATGTTTAATCAACTAGTATTTTATCAATAATTTATCTTATATATTATATAACAACTTCTAATATAACATACAACTTCTAATATAACATTATTATATAACAACGCGGAAACTATAAAACTAAATACGAAAACTATTTTATTGAAAGCCGACGTTTTGACCCGACTTTGCAGATCTTCTTTAGGGAGGTGTGTTCAGTGGGATAAGCAAAATTTGATGCTCTACAACTTTGATTCTATGGGTTTTTCATCTTTCATTCATTCATGTATGGCACAACATCCCGTCACCGAGACTGGGCCTCCTCCAAGAGCCTCCGCCAGTTGGCTCTATCTTCTGCTGCAGCTCTCCAGTTCCGCACACCAAGCAGGGTTCTCGCATCATAGGCCACGTTGTCCAACCATCTCGTCCTCGGCCTTCCTACCCGTCTTACGAGGTGCAGCTCCTCCATCATTATTTTTTTTGGTATTTCAAGGGTGCTCATTCTGGCCACATGCCCTGCCCACCTTAGTCTGGCCAGTTTAATATACGTGACTACGTCGATGTCTGCATAGAGAGAACTGAGCTCCCTATTTTTTCTTTTCCTCCAGACATCACCCTCCTTTACTGGACCATAAATCCTTCTGAGGACTCCTCGCTCAAAGACACTCAGCTTCATCTCATCCCTTTTGGTCATCGTCCAAGCCTCTGAGCCATATGTCAAAACAGGCCGAACAAGGGTCTTGTATATGATCAGCTTGGTCTTCTTTGAGAGGTACCTACTTCTTAAGTGTCGGCCAAGTCCAAAGACACATCTATTGGCAGCCGTGATCCTTCTTTGTATTTCTTGAGCCATGTCATTCTTGCTATTGATTTCAGACCCAAGGTATATAAAACTTTTCACTCTCTCAAACTTAAAAGAACCTACCTCAAATGGAGAGTTCAGATCAACCTCACCGCCAACTCTCATATACTTAGTTTTCCTCTCGTTGACTTCTAGACCAAGTGGTCTTGCAGCTGCTTCAAGGCTTATAAACGCTTCTCTGAGAGCTCGTTCAGACCTACCTACTATGTCAATATCATCAGCAAAACCAAGAAGCTGTGTCAGGCGATTGAAGATTATATCTTTGGTCTGAATACCGGAGTCTCTTACAGCTTTCTCCTCTGCCAAATTGAACAATAGACAGGCGAGGGCATCCCCCTGCCTAACCCCACTGCTCACTTTAAACTCTTCGGAGTCGTCAGAACCGACGCGTATTCTGCATCTCGAGCTGTCCATGGTCATCTTGATTAGGCGTACGAGCTTCTGAGGGATGCTTAGCTCCTCCAAGGCACAGTATAGTTGCGTTCTATCAACGCTGTCGTATGCTGCTTTAAAGTCCAGGAATAAATGGTGGGTGACTACCTTACGCTCCATAGTCTTTTCTAGGATCATCCTCAGAGAGAACAGTTGATCAGTCGTTGAGCGTCCTCTTCGAAATCCAGCCTGATATTTCCCCAGTTCCTTTTCAGAATACGGGAGGATTCTCTCAAAAAGAATGTTAGAGAGCAGCTTATAAGCACACGAAAGGAGTGAGATTCCTCGATAGTTAGCGCATTCTGTTTGATCTCCTTTCTTATGTATTGGGCAGATAATGGCTGTTGCCCATTCCGTAGGCATAGCTTCCTTCTCCCAGATGGTCAGCATTAAATCATGCAGAGCTTTCTTGAGTTCTTCACCTCCACATTTCAACAGCTCTGACTGGATTCCGTCCGGGCCTGGCGCCTTTCCATTTTTCAATTTCCTTAGGGCGTTTTCCATTTCCTCCTCATCCGGGGGTTCAATAGAATTCAGGGAGTCTTCCTTCATTACACCTACTTCTCCAGGCACCGTTCCTCTGTTTAATGCGCCTTTGAAATGTTGTACCCATCTCCTTAGTACGTCATCTTTGTGGCTTAAAAGAGTTCCATTTGTGTCTTTGCATGCCGTCACTCTGGGCCTAAAAGCTGCCCTACCCTCGTTTATTCTCTGAAAGAACAGGCGACTTTCATTTTGGCCTCGCAATGCCTCTGTGTCCTCCATGTTCTTATTTTCCCAAGCTCTTCTCTTTCCGCGGAATAATCTCTTCTCTTCGCGTCTTTTTCTTCTATATGTTTCTTGGGAGAGCCTTGTGGGACGCTGAACCTTCTTTCTGTAGGCTTCATTTTTCACTTTTACTGCTTGAAGGCACTCAGCATCAAACCATGGGGGCCTTCTAGATTTAGTCTCGTAGCCAAGAGCTTCTTCTGCTGCCTGTTTCATTGCGTTGCTGCATCTCTTCCACTGTTCATCGACCATAGAGCTGTCATTAATTACTTCTTCGTTAAGTTTCGTCTCCACAGCTTGTTGATACGAATATTGGTGGTCTGAGTCCTTAAGTTTAACCACATCAATCTTCTTCTTTGGTCGTTGGTAGTGGTTTTTAATCAGCGAAATTCGTGATCTGACCTCGGCAATGCTCAAATAGTGATCCGTGTCCATATTTGCACCTCTATAAGATCTTTCATCTTAGGGAACTCATTTCCAAGTTACAGGGCCATTTATAGTAATTTGTCCGAGTTTTTAACAAATTTGGTAAAACTCAGCGTTGGTTGACCGTGGTTTTATGAATTACCGCGTAACAAAATTTTAAAGTTTATGTACTCGTTTGAAGCAAAATTTAACGTTCTTTAATTTATTAACGAATACATTTTTCGTATTGATGCATTGTTTAGGAGTTATAGATAAAAAACCTGTTTCTTACATGTCTAAATCCATATATACAAGTTGAAAAAATAAAAACTTTTCTCACATTTTTCGCAATGGATTACCCGTTTCGATCCTCAAATTACTGGCCTAATATTCTTTAAATCATCCACCATTTTTGAAAGCAGCGGCTCTGGATCGGCAGACAAGGTTTTTTTTACTAAGAATAACATATACATTCGTAATTTACAATCAAACCTTCGCCTGCGATCAGGTCGAGTTTTGCGCCCTGGCTCCAGGGCTACTAGCTGAACACCCCTCCCTGAAGAAGACCTGCAAAGTCGTCTCGAAACGTCGGCTTTCAATAAAATAGTTTTACCACTATTTAGCCTAAATACGAAAACGTTAATGAAAGCCGCTTTAAGAACTAAGGCTCAAAATAAACACGGATAAGAAAGAATATATGGTTAGCTGGAAAAATGGCGATATTGCCGGTGATATCGATATAGAAGGTGTTTGAACACGTAGAGAAGTTTAGTTATCTAGAGTATACGATAAGTAAAAAAAAACGAAATTGAAGAAGAGATTAAGATTATACTGAAGGCGGGAAATGCTTGTTTTTTTCTGTGACAAAATTACTTAGCTCGCGCCTCTTGTTCCGGAACTTAAAAAAAAAGAATCTATAAAACCATTATCTTACCTACAGTTCTTTATGGATGCGAAACATGGCCGCTTACATTGAGGGATGAGCAACGTCTTAAGGTTTTTGAAAATAAACTATACGTAGAATATTCGGACGGAAGAATTAACTGGAGAATTTAGACGGTTACACAACGCCGAATTGCTGAGATTTATCCGGTTAATATAATTGAGGTGATCGCGGCGAATCAAATGGACTTGTAAAATTGTTGCGTTTAGTAACTAAAGAATTCTTAAAAGGTTAATATTTGCTGTGCCGAATGGTAAACGTCCTAGAGGTAGACCGAAGCACTAGCGGATCCCGGATTTAATTTTGGAGGAAGCTTTAGCCCGAAAGCTTTTTTTTTTCATAAAAATGACGATAATTACTTTGGAAAAAAAGAAAGAAACTATCTATATGAAATGGTGTTTAAGTGGTTCCTTAAGTCCTTTTAAATGTAAGTATATGAACAATAATACTTTAAGAGATAATGTTTTAATATATTTTTCCATAAAACTTGGTTATATTTTACCATTTTGGGGGGCCTTCAGCCCGAAAGCCCTCTCCCCCGTAGATCCGCACGTGGACCGAAGCGAAGGTGGGAAGATTGCGTTAAAGCCGATCTGAAGGGACTGGGTTTGATCGATGAACGGTGAAGGGAGTTGTGTAATAAGGGCTTGATGGTGTCGGCATCAACCTTCAGAATTGGTAAGCCTTTTATCATTATATGACAACAATGTTAATATATGTTTCGGTTTATTGCAAAAAGTCATTAAGTGGCATTTTATAACCTTAAATCCTTAAGAACTTTGATGGATTTTTCCTTTGTAAAATCAGAAAAATGTGCACTTCCTGTAACTATGAATTTCTCGTTTCATTTGTTGAATATTTTGTAATTAATTTGCAAATTTAATTTATCAAATAGCTTTGATAGGAGAAAAAAGATGAAATACCCAGAAGGCGCATTAACATATAAATTTTCAATATTTTCCTAACTCAATTAGGAGAGTGTTTAGAGGTTTGCAAAAGACTAAAAAAAAAAAAACGGAGAGGATTAGGCATAGGCGCAAACCTTTTATTCTGGTAGGGGGGGGGAGAGGAGGGGTGATGGACCTCCCAAAAAAATTCTCAGGAGAATATGTATAATTATCTATAAAAACTGTGGGTAATAATTACCATATTCAACATAATTAATGGCTAACTAATAATATAAAAATAACTTTTTTGTATGGGTATATTTAAAAATGTACTAACAAAGCAATTGAATTGATTATATATTTTTATTTTTATTTAATGGTTTGAAGGAATGAGATGCTCATTTCCAATGCTTCAAATTTGCTGCGAGAAATATGATAAATTCTTTTCGTAAAAATGGAAGCATTCACATCACTATCCAGGATTTAATTTTGGGGGGGAGGGCTTCAGCCCGAAGGATTTTTTTCATATACATGTAACGATAATTAATTTGAAAAAAAAGAAAGAAAGAAACTAACTACCCATATGACATTGTATCTTATTGATTCTTGAAGTGCTATTAAATGTAATTACATGAACAGAGATAGTTTTTAATATTTTTTTCTATAAAACATGGTTATATTTTACTATTTTGGGGGGAGAAGGGGGCTTCAGCCCGAAAGCCCTCCCTCCCCCGTAGATCCGCCTGTGATTCACATGAATGAGTCATAAAATCGTAGTATATGTTACTACTTATGATTATCTTTGAATATAAACTAAAATTTCAATTATAGGGTGTGATATTATACCTGTGTACTTACTTCTAAGCCTTCGCGGGGGCATCTCATCTAGTAGGCTTTTCCTATTTTCTTAATTCATTTTTGTTTGCATATTTTATTCACTCATGAGGATTAATTGTGATCGATTTTGATTTTATTTTTGTTCTACGGAATATTGAGAGGAACGACACGATATTCTCGTACCCTCTCTATTTTTATTAGGGAGGCGACAACCCCCACTCGTCTCGCCCGAACTCTGTGCCAATTACTACAGCACACTAACACCACGAGATGTATTCCAATTATATTAGCACGACTAGCGGATTCAGAATTTAATTTTGGGGGGGGCTTCAGCCCGAATGATTTTTTTTCATATACATATAACGATAATTAATTAGAAAAAAAAAAAGAAAGAAATTAACAACTTATATGAAATGGTGTTTAAGTAGTTCTTGAAGTCCTATTAAATGTAATTACACGAACAAGAATACTTTAAGAGATATTTTTTAATATTTTTTTCTGTAAAACATGGTAATATTTTACAATTTATTTTTTTGGGGGAGGAGAGGTTCAGCCCGAAAGCCTCCCTCCCCGTAGATCTGACTATGATTAGCAATAATAATGAGAGAGACCTGTCAAACAACATTCCGTATCACGTTGAAGAACTATGACTTGCCCGGAACATGTTAAGGCAACCTAACCCCTCACAAGAATTGACAAACGGCAAGAGCCTGGAAAAACGAATACACAACAATCGCCTTCTTTCTAAGAAAGTTTATTCAATGCCCCTAGCGGATCCAGGATTTAATTTTTTTTTTTTGGGGGGGGAGGGTTTCAGCCCGAAAGATTTTTTTTTTCATATACATATAACGATAATTAATTTGAAAAAAAAGAAAGAAATTAACTACCTCTATGAAATGGTGTTTAAGTGGTTCTTGAAGTCCTATTAAATGTAATTAAACGAACAAGAATACTTTAAGAGATAGTTTTTAATATTTTTTTCTATAATACATAGTTATATTTTACCATTTTTTTTGGGGGGGGGGGGAGGAGGAGGCGAGAGGCTTCAGCCCGAAACCCCTCTCCCTCCCCCGTAGATCCGCCTGTGGTTTTTTTTTTTTTTTTTTTTCAACTTTTAATAGCTTATACATCTATTTATAAATTACTCTGGACTTACAACTCAAGATAAAAATTAAGTGATATTATCCATTATATATAGATTGAAATGGACTTCTTAATTGAAAATATTTGTCCACCAAACATCTTTATTGTTTACTTTCCCCTGCAGGGTCTAAATGTTACGCCCTCTAGTCCCCTCTCTGGGAATGGACCTATTATAATTTGGCACTAATTGATCAAATAACTCGTATAAGTAGAGTAGGTGATGAATTATGGAATTTTCAAATTAAAAAAACAGCAAAAAGGAGGTCAAATCCGTGTCCTCTGTGTAGGGAATATGGATCAGTTTTTTTGCATTTTATTGTTGTACACAGAATCGATGTACAGTACATGACACAGGGACACATCGTACCTCCCCAAAACCCATCACAATTTCTACTTGTATATATAGATGTAATTATTTGCTATTCTTTATAGCGGGGTGTTTTAATCAAATATCATCATTATATTTTTATAAAGAATTTTTTTATAAAAGAACTTGAGAAATTTCGAGTTAAATGTTTCGCTTTATTTACTAGTATACTTTATTAGTAAAAACGTAAGCCCATTTCCTCGTTATTTGAAAAGATTTCCAAGTTTATTCCTGTCAAAACCTGAAAAATTGTGATAGTAGCGATACCTAGTAGTCGTATTTAAAACTACAACATCTATCAGGCAATGGGATTCCATTTCTGTTAAAGATTGTACTTTTTATTTTAAATGAATTCTTATTATAGGTTATTTATATTTACTAAACTTGCTTTGAATAATTAATTCGGTCATTTGAAAAACATGTAAATCATTCAATTTATATTTTATGAAAATATTTCAAACTACAAATACTTAATCTGTATATTATTAACTTATATTTCAATCTCAAATACAATTGATTAATATTTGTTATATAATTAAAATAATTAATTAAGGTTGAATATAATGTTATGTTTTACTACTGTTATGATGTTTCATTATATTCTCTATCGTTATCTTCAACTTTTGGATGCAGTTGTCTTACTAAATATTTTTTGATAAAATGTCATATGTTTTTACATAATATTATCGTCGAATCGCTATAAACCCTCTAATTTCTTCTACTATTTATTGGCACTTTTGATGTTTTGATAAGACTATTGTGTAACTATTAATCTTAGAAATGATCGATTCAATTTTTCAAAATATTTTATCAATGAAACGCATAAATGTATGATTTCCTTTTTTATACTTTTCTTCTCATTAGTTCTTAATTCCTTTTTATTTATTTTTTCAATCTATATATTTTACTTGCTATTCTTCAGATTATGTTTGGTCAGTTTACAATATGGACTCTTAATATTCCACAGTAATATTAAAAATGGGCACATAGAAAGGGAAATGGGCACATGATTTAGACATTTATATTATTGTAAGCAATAAAAAGAAAAGATATAATGATAAAATAAAAATAAAATTTCTTATCATAATTGTTACTTGAATGTCTTCCGGCTCTGCAATGATTATGTGAAGTTGTGGACCGAGCCAAACACGAAACGTGGGTCCATATTTCTCTATACACTCTTTCCAATCCTTTGGACCATCTGAAAGTAGAAAAAATAATTATAACTATAATTATAAGAAATAATAAATAGGAGATATGTGAGGTAAAGTATTTGAAATCTGCTTAAATATAAATTCTTATACTCTACAAGAAGACCATGAGAAATTGTGAATCTTGATTCCACTTCAGAACAATGAAGTCTGAAGATATTACTTTGATGGAGACCGCTAATATTGTTGTCAAAGCCACACATGTCAAAAAATTCTAGCCACCATGTGATATAATGATAAAATAAAAATAAAATTTCTTATCATAATTGTTACTTGAATGTCTTGTCTTGTTACTTGAATTCTAGCCACAGTGCCGGCCTTAAGGCCAGTCCAGACGCTCTGTTTTGCACAACGTTTTGTCTGCGCAGTCGTAAGACGGAATGAAAACGTTGCAATTTTTAGAGCGTCCACACGGCACAGACATATCTGTATATTTTGCTCAGTTTTGTGTGAGATCCTCATGGAGGAACTACTACTCTCGTCAATTTTCGCGATGTGTCTTATTAAAAAAAAAAGATTGAACATCTCAGAAGTACCCTGCGTTCAAAGTGGTCGCGGAAGTGGCTTCTAAAAAGATAGCACTTTTCCCATATCAAATTATTGCGTGAATTACGTGATGAACCTATTGGTTGGCGGAACTAATTGCGAATGGACAATGACACATATACTTATTTATTGGATTTAGTGACACCGCATATCAACAAAGAAAATACTTGAGATGGCTTGAATGTTTCGTCTTCTCTAGCCCCAGACCATTGTCGCCTGACGAATTGAAACTGAGTAACAAAATGAATCGGAAAACGGTGCTACCGTCAACATGCGCCGACTTGTCTGCGCAGTTCAAGGAAATCTATGCTCTCTGGCTCAGTTTTACTAAAACTGTACCGTCTTAAAAATGGATTCAAGTTGCACAGTTTTCCAGTCCACACGCAACATTTTATCTGCAACAGGGGGGGGGGGAGGGAGTGCTTCAGCCCGAAAGATTTTTTTTTCATATACATATAACGATAATTAATTAGAAAAAAAAGAAAGAAATTAATTACCTATATGAAATGATGTTTAAGTGGTTCTTGAAGTCCTATTAAATGTAATTACACGAACAAGAATACTTTAAGCGATAGTTTAAATATTTTTTTCTGTAAAACTTGGTTATATTTTACCATTTTGGGGAGGGAGGAGCTTCAGCCCGAAAGCTCCTCCCCGTAGATCCGCCTGTGGTCGGCACCAGGAATACTTTAAATGGAGGTCAGAATAGGAAGGCTTATTCGCACAAGTCAACCACTTCCGCCGATTCCCATATTGCCCGCAAGGGATGGGAAGAGATTAACTTTTCAATATTTTTAAATATTAACATATTTGAGTTCTACCAATGGGTAGTTTCTCTTCATGTTTTACATGTCATGTTAGCAATGTCACATTTACTAGTTGTATTTTTAATGTAATAGAGTTGGAAATTTCATTAAAAAAATAAATAAAATAAAAATATTAACATGATAACTGACTTATGCCGTAAAGGTTGAAGTTGAAGATATTGCCAACTATTGGGTAAGCCTTTGGGCCTGGGATCTTGTTGCCCATCTCCCTCAGTCTCTTCTCCGGTCTAAACAGCCACCAGATCATGAAGGCACCCAGTGCCAGCGTTATCAGAATCATGTACATTCTGTAAAAAGAATTATTAATTATTATTAGTCAAATTTTATTTATTGTATTAGTGTATTAGTAAAAATTTAGTAAATTAGAAATTTTTAATATACTTTTATTCAATAAAAATGATTATTATTTTTTTTTGCACTTTCATTTACTTAGCTACATCTATCAATTACAACTATTGACAGTCAGCAGATGTGCTGACGTAATCATGAGAAAAAAAATAATAAAACCAAAACAAAACAAAAACATAGTATATACAATATAATATATACAAAATTCGGCATTCTCCCCCCTATCTACATTTAAAACCCGCCTATTCCAATTTCTATCCCAAAAACAGTCAGACACCCCCCGCTAACCTTTTATGTAAATTTATATATTATTCGAAATGATTCACATAATGGTATATTTACATATAATTCATGACTTTAATACTTACTATTAGATTCGTCTTCTTTTTTTTTTTCCTTTCTTCAGAAACACAAAGTTTATTGCTAGGAAGAATGTAATGCATTTTTTTATTTATTTTTTTTAAAGTGTATACTTATGTTTTACCACTGTACATAGTTTTAAGTGTCTCGGCATGGTTTCAAGTGTTTTGTATATAGATTTTTTTTTTTTTTTTGTTCATAGTATGTTGAACTAATATTTTCTTTACTTTTACTTTTTATGTTTGTTTTTACTTAGGCCAGATATAATACTTTAATTTTGTACTTTTTTGTTATTCTAAAGGGACTTCGTCCCAGAGTACAATTATTTTTCTATTCTATTCTATTCTATATACAAAACGCTTGATAGTCATGAGGAAAAGCATTACCCAGCGGTGCTAACTCCTTGTGCAACCGCTGATGTATCTCCATACGTTAAACCTCGTTCACAAAAAAATACCATATCCACCACTACTTTATATTAAAATTTTCAAATTATTTGTTTCGGTAATTACAATTGCTACTAACATTCAACAACCGTTTTGTATTTCTTTATACCAGACTAATGTTCCTAATTTCTGAACTTGGTCATTATCCTTATCGATCATTATCTTTGCCATCAACACCGACAATGAGAACTATGATAAAGGAGTTCTACGGGTTGCCATTCCCAACTAAAATTGCTATTATAATATCAGAGCTCGTGTAACAAAGATGATATCCTTCAGGGATGACAGATGTGGTTATTGGTTGGTAGTGGCTGCGTGAGAAACGTCTAATTCCACACATTAATGTTTATTCTTATCTCCATCCATATTGTTTATTCTTAGCAGGAATCATGAACTGTATCCAGTGATTGGTTCGTTCTAAATGCAATAGTAAGGAATCTAGGATGGAAACTGTTGGACATCGATCTTCAGATATTTTGCGAGAAGACAATCAAAGCACAAGACGACAAGTACAGGCATAGGCGCTGACTTATGAAAATTATTGAGGAGGGGGGATTATAGAATCATGGAGTGGAGAATCTGGAGGAATATCGTACCACAACGGCAGCATTGGGGGTTCAAGCCATGAGAACCCCTAGTAGTCGAAGCCTAAGAGATTAAGAGAGTAAGGCCTTTTAGATTTACTATAAAATATACCGTTGAGCTTCAGTAAAAATCCAGACTGACGGATGAGAATTCTTCAATTGGATATATATAAATCATTATATAAATAGGCAAACACAAAACGGTTCAGCCCGTTTTACTCCTCTATTATTCAACCGATTTTCTTCCTTCTTTTTTTGTTTAATAGATATTGACGAGCTGTAGTGTTATCAATAAATAAAAATATGAAATAGTATGTGAATAAAAATATAAATGGAAGTTTGTTCAAAACGGCTTATCTCCGAAAGTTCTTCACCGATTTCTTTTAAATTTTGACACAACGTCGCAATAATATTTAGAAGTGTTTTTGTATACGTTTCATTATCATCGGGCCTTTCCTTTCGAAATGGCGGCCGAAAAACGTGATTAGCTTTAGACTGTAGCGCCAATACGGCTTCAACGATTTCAATGAAACTTGATTAAAGTCTCCTCTTTACAATTTATGCATATAACATACTTTCTCGAAAACAAGCTGCATACATTTTTATGATGAATTCAGTATTTTATTAGCGAATAACTCAAAAAGTATACATTTTTTATGGATAATTCCAATATTTATTTGAAAGCTTCCTGAATTCCCTACAAAATAAAAAAAATCATCGAAATCGGACTATTTGTTGCTGAGATATATCATTTCAAACATTGAGTACTTTTTCTTTTGCAATGTCAATTTCCCCTATTTTGGTTATTGATAAATCGAAAACTTTAAATTTAATGAAGTGATCGGAACTACTATTTGAAGAGATGATATCATGGAATGTTACCTAATAAATTATATTTAATAATAAATTCTATAGTTATACTCATTCATAACTTAAATACTGCACATACAGTACTTAATGGAACACGAATGAGAGGGAAGTACTTACGGGAGCTACTTTCAATAAAAGAAATAAAAGAATTTTAATTCCAAGAATTAATTTAATATTTTCTAGTACAATACTTCCATTCGAATTTCAAAGAACAACGTTCTTATTAATAGCTGCATTTGCTATGACCATAATCAAATCGCAGGGTCAAACTTTTGAAAAAATTGTGTATTATAGCGACGTCCAGTAATTTCGCATGGAGAGATGACAATCACGTTAAAATTACGTTAAATTACGTTAAAATTACGTCAAAGCACGTTAAAATTAAAATTAAAATTTTGAAATTTATATTTTCAATGGCAATGGTCAAAAGGCTATGTACTAAACAATAACAGAACATCAAAAAAGAACATTGTTTTCAGAGAATTTCTGCATAAAAATGGATTTAAACTCAGTTGAAATTACTAATTTTATTTTTTGTTTGCTTGCTTAATCATAACATTAATTCATTGTGATAATAACACACATAAATTAAAATGGATATTAAATATTTTGAATGAGTCTACTTTGTATTACTTATAAATAATTTTAGGTAGTTTATGCTCAATATTTAATTGAAATTGAAATTTTGTTTATATCAATAAATGAGGATTTTTGAATCGTGATTTACTCTTTATTTATTGAATTTATTTTTATTTTAATTATGTTTTCCTCAAATTTTTAATGGCTATGGTCGAATTTCGACCACTGGGCGAACACTAGTATAAATAAATATATCATCGGATACTGTTAGGATCCATGTGGGTTCTCTCAAACCTCATCATATTCCACCTTTTCTAGGATTCGTGACTAGAAAACGTTTTCTAGTTAAAATCTTTTGGTAAAAACATGTCCAAATTTAATTAGAAAAAAAGGAGGAAATGTAAAATACTGGATATTTTTGGTTTTAAAAATGTTTTATTCTTTGAGGATTTTTGGGTTACTACAAGTGAGGTTAGCTATCATAAATTCCTTGTAGCTTTTATTAGTATATGGTAAATTAATATTATATTACTAAGATCGCATGCCATCTTGATCATTGCAAGCAGAAAATTATGTATGCAAATAGCGATCAGCGCCATGAATATAAATTTCACAAAAGCGCATATTTTACTTATAGGCGCCAAGCACAAGATTAAAATCATCTTCGTTTAAAAAAATATTTATATTATGATATTGTATTTAGATATGAACGTGTTACAAGATTTTTTTTCTTTTTATTATTCTTTAGATTGATTTTTTAAAATCTTTTTTACATGTATGTTTTTCTTTCTATTATTAATGAATATTTGTCTTATTAAAGTTATTATATATTTTATATTTTTTATGTACATATTTGTTTCTTGTCTTAATTATGACTGTACACACTAGCGGATCTAGAATTTAATTTTGGGGAGGGCTTCAGCCCGAAACCTTTTTTTTTCCATAAAAATAACGATAATTACTTTGGAAAAACAGAAAGAAACTAACTACCTATATGGAATGGTGTTTAAGTGATTCCTAAAGCCCTTTTAAATGTAATTACACGAACAATAATACTTTAAGAGGTATTTTAAAAAAAAAATTCCCCATAAAACATGGTTATATTTTTCCATTTTGGGGGAGGGCTTCAGCCCGAAAGCCCCCTCCCCTCCTCCCCCCGTGACTGTACACGTAAAGCTATAATGCCCAGTGTCCTTGATTGTGACAGATTCTATTATTATTATTCCGATAAAAATCTTTTGAAGTAAAATAATAACATAGAATAGAATAGAAAATAATTTTATTCTGGAACGAAGTCCCTTTAAAATAACCAAAAAGTACAAAATTAAAGTATTATATCTGGCCTAAGTAAAAACAAACATAAAAAGTAAAAATGAAGACAAAAAAAGTAAAGAAAATATTAGTAAAACATACTATGTACAAAATAAAAAAAAAATGTATGTACAAAACACTTGAAATCATGCCAAGACACTTAAAACTATGTACAGTGGTAAAATATAAGTATACACTTTAAAAAGAAATAAATAAAAAATACATTACATTCTTCTTAGCAATAAACTCTGTGTTTCTGCATAAAAAAAAGAAAGGATAAGAAGACGAATCTGATAGTAAGTATTTAAATGATGAATTATATGTAAATATATCATTATATGAATCATTTTGAATAATATGTAAATTTACATAGAGAAGGTTAGCGGGGGGTGTCTGAAGGGAATTCCAGAAATTAACAGAGCGAGCAATAAACGAGTTTTGGAACGAGACAGATCTGTGAGAAGGAATGTAAAGGTCGGAAGGTCGAGATCTTGTGGACAGTGAATGGACTGAGGATTTGAACTGGAGAAGGTTGTAGGCGTAAGAAGGACGATGATTGTTGATGATATGATAGCGGAACGTACCTAGAAAATATTGTCTTCGAATGGAGGGGAAGAGCCACTTTAATTCAGTGTAATGGTGAGACACTTGGTATTATCTCGGGGCACCAATTACAAATCTTACGCAGCTGTTCATAAGTGGCAGTATCATTATATATATATTATGATAAATAAAAATATTTGGAAATCCTGAATACCATAACTAAAATAAGAACTTTGGAACTTTTG